TTTACTCGTGACTAAGTTGGAAAAATTAAATTCCTAATTTGATAGCGAGTTGTAAGAAAACAGTTGGAAGAAGCTGACATGAAAACATGGTCGCATGGTTTTTTTTTTACATAACCACTCAGCAAAATGATTGTAATTTTTTTTCTCCAATAGAAATCTTGAAACTTTCACAATCAAAGTGATATATCGAGCAAATGGTTGCCCTACTGTGTCCAATAACTCTATCAAAATTCAATAATATCATCCTCTTTAAGACGACAGTGCTGTTCAACGTTCTCTTTTCGATGACTTTCCAAGTGTATTCTGTCATCAATTTTATGTGAACGATTCTTGGGAATTTATCAAAGAATTTCTTCTGAGCAATTGTACAATTTCTGTGCAAATTCTACCAAATACAGATACAGAAATTTGCCTATAAATTCAACATAGTTCCAAAGGACGAAGTTTAGCTTGAGAGAATGATAGAAATTTATATACAAATATATTACACCGAGATAATTTAAATTATTTGCATTCCATGCTGAGAAAAAGACATTTCAGCGATTTGATGAGGGAACAGTGCTCAAGATTTTGTGGGTAAATTTCTGAGCGAAGTGAAAATCTCATGGTATTTTCCATGTTTTTCCTCACTACCAGCATTTCCAAGTGCCTAATTGCCACACTTCTCAATTACAAATGGTGAGGGAGAGTTCACACAGCGCTCCAGTTCTGTATATTGAGTGGGTTCTTCTAGGAATACACACTTCAATTGGACGGAAAGCTCACTTAAGAGACTTTTAAGCTTCTGATATGTTTTTAGAAGCCCAGGAAAGAAATATTCTGCTCCACCCCAAATGAAAAATTCCTCCCAATGTGTCTATCTTCTCACTGAAGATGATTATCATGGTCCATGGAATGGATTTTGTGAATTCCGTTTACATGTTTCACTATAAATTATTCATGTCTGAGCTTTTGCCATTTCTCTTTTCGATGTATATTCTTGTTCTTTCATGCCATCTACAAATGTACACACACCACTTTCCAGGCCAAACACACACACAACATTTTGATGAATACACATCTACGGAATTGTATAATAATCTGAATGTAAAAGCTTCACTCTGTCCAAAGGAAATAAATGAGAGCTTTGAACTTGCGCCGTCACATGAAGGTGGTTTATCTGAAGCGAAAAAGTATTCCCACAAGATTTTCAGGCTTGAGGATTTGCTTGAGATTGATTTTTCTCGAAAAATTCACCAAAACACATCGTATGATATTATCTAAAGGAATTCTTGTCTGCTGGAAATTTTCCAAATGACAGGCAACCCTCGAGCATTCAACTCTTGTAAGCTTTTCGCCTCTAAATTCTGCTCGTGCCCAATGATTATTCACCCCCTGCCAGAACCTCTCGGGAAATTTCGCGTGTTGGATTTTTTCCATCTGCTTTCTTCAGCAACTGACTTCTAGAAGTTCTTTTTCCACCGGCACCACACCAAGAGACCCTTTAAGAAGGGATGAAAAAGTCTAGAGAGAGGAGAACTCGTCTTGCGTGTCAAATCTTCCCACCAATATCTTTGAGGGATGGAGTTGGAATATGTTCTAGGTCGCGGCACGTCTTCATCCTTCTCATAATGTGCTTCGTCCTGCTGAACTTTTTTTCCATCTTCTCATCCTCTCTCAGAGGTAGGAAAAATGGGTGGGAAAAGGAAGTCTGAGTGAATGTTTTTTCTAGATTCTGAAAAGGACTCGCACAAAAGTGGGGAAAACATCTTGTTATGAGTTCCTTTTACACGATGAAAATTGTTTTATGTGCTAAATTTACGCAAATTACTCTCTTTTGCATTTCTCATTTCAATTTCTCACTATATAGATTACTTTTGTCGAAAAACACTCGAGAAAAAAAATCAACTCGCACCTTTTCCCATGAAACTTCTTTTCAATACAATAACTCAATGGATTTTCACTTGATGGTAGCGCTTCCTTCCCAAAAATTCATTGTGACGGAAAATTATTTTTCTTCTGCCAGACTTCTCACCCTTGGATGTTAGTTATATATTTATAATATATACTGGAAGTATAATGAAAATGTTGTTCTTTCACATCGTTTCCCTTTCAAGTGTTTGGCGGTTAAGGAATACGCTACCAGCGACTTTTCCTTCTCATCCACTCATCTCCAAATAAACAAGAAAAGTTACTTTGCTTCCCATGTTTTCAGGGTAACAATAAAAAATCACTAATGAATTTGTAACACTTTTGCCAACTTTGTTGGTCTCTAGCATTGAACCCACTGAAGATTTGAAGCCGTCTTCGAGGTTGGAGCAAAAGGAGTATATTTGACATTGTAACAATTTACCATCGAGCAAAATAATCACAGAAACAGCCCCCTTGAGAGCTTTTCTTGCACAAACTTTGGAACTTTCCCACCGATTAATTCCCTAGATTTCCCACAACTCCTATTTTTCTATACTCAGAGAAGTAAAAGAACACAGTTGAACAATATTTTGCAGGGAGACTTGGAGGGAGATGAAAACTGGACCAAACTGATAATAAACTCCTTAAAACTGTCCTGCCGGTGTGGCGAAAAATTATTCCTTCAAATAAAGTTATTCCCACTTGCGCGCCTTAGCATTGGACTATTCATTAAAAAGAACCTGCAATTTATGTGCAAAAATACTTGTTATCATATGCCGACAAGTCTACAGTGAATTTCATGGAAGTTCATTTGTCTTTCTTCCCGCAAATTCAAAAATTCCACCTCTGTGAGATGATATACAGCAGTTTCTATCAGTTTTTCAATTTATATCACAAACTAGCTTTGCAATGAGAAAGTTTCTCATTGAAATTAGCAGAATTCATCATGCGATATAGTACAATAACGAAATTTTGTGTATTTTCCCAAGTTTCACGTGAACATAATAATCCTGAAGAAAATCAAGCAAACAAGGTTGTGATCCAGAAGTTGCGAATAATATATTAAATATTGTGTAGAACATTGCAAATTCATGCATCTGTTGCTACACGATACCAACGAATATTTCCTCGTCATAATTAGCGTGTAATTAAATTAAATCATCATTATTTCTTTCCGCGCGCTTCTTTACTTCCTACTGTAATTAATGCTAATTCCGAAGACTGCCATGACGTACCCTTTTTCACCCTCATTCAAAAATTCTGCCAAATTTTTAACATCCCATTCCACTTTAACATTGTGTTACGGAAAATTTCCACGTGCTTTATTACATTTGCCAACCTTCGGATGGTGTGTATTTAATTTTCCAATAATTTCCTGACGAAGTATTCCCAGGGTGAATACAAAAAAGCGAGATTTTTTCTGAGTTCGACATAAATTTACAATGTAAATTTGTCAAGAGCAAATTGCTATTGTGATTGCGCTATCATATCGCATGAACACCAGGAATGTACATTTTGTGGAAGTTGTCATTTCTGAGCCTCCACGTGTGATTTTCTGAAAATTCTCCTCATGGCGTGAGTATATATAGTTGGGTTTCTGCCATCAACTCTCATGTGGCAGCTCACCGAGAATTTTCATCAATTTCCTCTCGTGGGAGCTGAGGTGAAATTGAGAGAAAACTGATGTGAATTGATTTTATATTATTCATTGTCTCTCGTTTTTGCCCGCTTTGGCTGCCAATAAACTTGGATACTGGAGGTATCGGTGTAAAAAGTTTCCGCGATCATTCACGAAATCCTCACGGTTGCTTCACTGTGCCATCCTTCCGTGCGCCCGAGAAGAACATAATGTAAATTGAACCATAATGTTGCGGAGGAGCAAGTCGGGGGTGGAAATCTGCCCAAAATGATGCTCATGACTGGATGGAAGAACCACCTTAGAATCTTATTTATATTTATTGTAGATGGGTGTTGCCTTTCATCTTAACTACAAAATATTCCCGTCATTCATTGCCTTCTCACTCTGAATATGTGTACATATGTATTTTGCCATGCAATGTTCTCTGCATATAAAAGATTTCCTCGCATTTCACATGGCACCGAGAAGGAGCCAAGATACTCGGCACATCGCATCAAATTAATTTTTTTTATACATACTAGAGAGGGAGCAGAATATAAAATGTCTCTTTTATCTACAGCGTAACCACCTTGGGAATTTTGTTTATTAACTAAAGGAGTGTAGATCAGACATGAATTTTATGCTACTATTCAGCATAAAAATTTTACTACAAATATATCACTAGATTCTTCCAAATTTATCGTCACTATTTTGACTATCTCAAGACGTATAGTGTTACTAAATATGACTCCTCAAAGCTAATGTAGTTAAAAGTTACATTATAACTGAAACTCTTCATCACACAATATCGTATATTGGACTTTGTTCTGTTCAAAACATATTCATGAAACACATTTCCATTGGCTTAGATTGTTTTGATATACACAAAGTATCTTTTCCTCAGAGACCAATTATGGAGTAGTTTAATTGTTCAAGTGTGGCTAATTATCATGAAGCAAAGTAATTCATGCTGAATTCAATCAGCAATAAATTCTGGATTCTAATTAAAATTTAGTCAGCTTGAATAATTTCTGAGAGAGTATGATTGAGTGTGTGTGTTGTGCAAATTTTATGTTTTATGACAAAGTAATATTAATACAGTCTAATTCCGAAAATATCGGCAATGCAAATAATGTACAATTTTGTGAACTATAGTTTTTTTATTCTCTTCTAAATGATAGAAGTAAAAGTTGATTATTGTTTTCCCTACGAGACTCCCATTAAATTAGTACTCACTCATCACACGCAGCCTTTATTGAATTGTCAATACGATACCTATACCATTATACAAAATGCCAATTTAGCATAATCAAATAAACTCGATGCAAGTACCAATTGCACGGGATATTCGAGACTGACAGAGGCATAACACAGTCAATGGTATAAAATTACATACATCATGCACTTCATTATTAAAAATATACAAATAAAAAAATGTTTTTTTTTTTCTTTTTATAAAATGACGATATTTTTCTTTTTGATCTACTTGCAGTGTGCGCCGGAAATCCGGATGCCAAACGCCTGTATGACGATCTTTTGAGTAATTATAATAAATTGGTGCGACCTGTGGTGAATGTGACGGACGCTCTGACAGTACAAATAAAGCTAAAATTGTCTCAATTGATTGATGTGAACCTCAAGAATCAGATTATGACGACAAATCTGTGGGTGGAGCAGACTTGGTACGACTACAAGCTCAAGTGGGAACCAAGAGAGTACGGCGGCGTCGAGATGCTCCATGTGCCATCGGATCACATTTGGCGACCTGACATTGTGCTGTACAACAAGTAAGTTACTTCCGGAAGGGAAGGGTGGCTCATTTGGGAAAGTGTTGCTCGGGCGGAAGAAAGCGTCTGAGCCCGCTCAAGACTTCAGTAGAGTCTCCTGGGAAGATTGGTTGGATGAAAATTATTCAACATAAGCCAAATCTCTCGGGGAAGCACTCGATGCTAAGGATATTTACTCAAGTCTGCGTTGAAGTTTAGGACTGCTTAAAATTTCATACAGAAGCACGATTTGAAAGCCTTTAAATGACGCAAATGTTTCAGTGCCTCTGATGCTACAAGAGACTCATATTCATGTTCGCTTAGGAATTACTTATGAAGGATTATATTTGAAATGCATTTGACTCTACAACCTGGGCATTTGAGGGAAACAAGTTGTAAATTCATCATCAATTTGACATGCAAGTGCGAAGAGCCGCTCTTCCTTTCGCCCATCCGAGAATTCTCACTCGATCACTCGTGCGATTTTCCGAGCACTGAATTATGCACCCTTCATTTCCATGTCATTCCACGCTTGTCAATGGGGGAAAAATTACAACTGTGCAGCGCTGATGGGAATTTCGAGGTGACACTGGCCACAAAAGCCACACTCAACTACACAGGACGAGTGGAGTGGAGACCGCCAGCCATCTACAAGAGCTCCTGCGAAATAGATGTGGAATATTTTCCATTTGACGAGCAAACGTGCGTTATGAAATTCGGCAGTTGGACCTACGATGGTTTCCAGGTCGGTCAAATTAATTTATTAACTTTTTCTCCAGTTTCCGTTCATGCTGCGCTTAATCCATATATGATGGGAGTTTTATTAATTTTCTCTCTTATGAATTGTAGGTCGATTTGCGCCACATTGACGAGTCTAATGGCACAAATGTGGTGGAAGTTGGAATTGATCTAACAGAATTCTATACATCAGTCGAATGGGATATTTTGGAAGTTCCTGCAATTCGGTAAGAAAGTCAGAGAGTTTCACATAATGCTCATATGTGATATTGCTCATACTTGCTTTGTTTCAATTTCCAACACCATCATATCACGTCTAGCACCCACTCACAGTGGTTTTGCACATCAATTGATTCTCACATTTCCATAGCAAGTCATTTACACAGAACCTCGACACAAGTGCCCCAATTTGGGATGTCATTAAGGAAACTGTGTGCAGAATTAGAGGTGGTTTCTTAACCACGTCAAATATTATATTTTTGCGTCACTTTTTGAATAGCTCGGGAAATATGGGGGAAGGATAAATCCGAAGATAACAATATGCTTAAGGAGATACAGCGCACATCATATTTCGAGCATGAATTCATTTTTTCTCTCTCCTTTTGTAAATTAATGCAAATCCATGAGAAAATTGATGAAAGCTCAGCGGTTGAGCTGGGATCCATTCAAAATATTGAATTTACCGGATTAGGTAATTTCATCCCATAAGATGATACTCCCAAAATATATCCCGAGAAACTTGTCAGAGCTTCTCATGCAAGATGAATATCTTAGGCACTCTCGGGCTCAATGTGAGAATCTCTTCGGAAATCTCTATTGAGTGTACACACATTTCTCCAGGCGCACAGCAAAAGATTGTACAATTTGACAAATTGAAGACAAAGTTGGGCGGATTAGAGAAATTTGTACAAGAAATTCATTATGAAGGATTGATCTATCATCCTCATACCATATCATGTGTGGAAAACTTTACACTTTCACCCTCACCCCCGATGAGGGAATTCCCTAACTCACGCTGTCTAGCAAATAAAGTTCTCAACTGAGAAATTTTGCTTCAATTTCTCCCAAAAACCACACAAACACACATTTGAATGAAATTTAGGGCGAAATTTCAAGAGGAATGAGCGAAGGATCCGGATGAAATGAGGATGGAAAGACAATGAGGGATTCTGTGGGAGTTTCACAAAGCCACATCCCAGCCACATACTCATGGGGATTTTATGATTTCACCATCACGCTTGAAAAAATTCCTCATTGTTCTTCTGGCGGGCGACAGACCAATTTTAATGCAATTCCACTTGCAAGATGGTGCATCTTTTCTGGTCATGATGCTGAAAAACAAATTATAATGCTTTTTCTCATCTCTCTGTGCTTTTCTCTTCTGCAGGAATGAAAAATTCTACACGTGCTGCGATGAACCGTACCTAGATATAACTTTTAACATAACAATGAGACGCAAGACGCTCTTTTACACCGTGAACCTCATAATTCCGTGTATGGGGATTAGTTTCTTAACGATTTTAGTATTTTATCTGCCATCAGATAGCGGGGAAAAGGTGAGATTAAATGCCAAAATTTCCGTCACACCAAAAGACTACCAATTTATGGGTGATGAAAGAAACACTCAGAAATACATTATCCAGAACTCAGAGTTGGATATGGATTAGATGAAAGATTCTCTGCCTTTTTGCCACTGTGTTGAAGCTCTCATGTGCTTGAATACGAAAAACATACAAAGAGATACATGAACTTGTCGAGATTTTAACGAATACACACCTTATATACACATTCATCCTAACTATGTAGTAAAGCTTACACAGGTACAAATTATTGTTCATTTCATCCTAGTACCACAAAAAAAATCGCCAAGAGTGAGTACAAAAGCACGCAAAAGCAATAAAACGTGGTCAACAGTGTTGCAGATAATTCTTTCCACAGTCAGCTCATGTTGGCCACTGAATTTGTGGTGACAAAATAAATCTCAATCTTATCCGTGTAAAAGCCATCCGTTATCCCTTTCTAACTCTGAGTTTGGTGAAATTTCGACGAGTCATTTCTCTTTTACTCACATCTAATATTTTCACCTCTCTTTAACAGGTATCATTAAGCATATCTATCCTACTTTCACTCACTGTGTTCTTCCTGCTGTTGGCGGAAATTATTCCTCCGACATCCCTTGTTGTGCCACTCCTGGGGAAATTTGTCCTCTTCACTATGATTCTCGACACATTCAGGTGAGTTAAACTTCTCTCTCATTTACTACGTGTCTTTATATAATACTGTTTACGACACTTTTTTACGAGAATTTCCCACTTTTGCTCCCCATATATCTGAAATATTCATAATTAATCACGAAAACTCACTGTTTTCGCTCCTTTTTTCATGCCATCCTCTATTTTGCTCCATCCGAAAAGTTTAACGTTTATTCAGAGTACGCGGTATTTCATCCAGAGTCACTCATGAAAAGCCACACATTGATAATTCATACAGTTTTGCTTAATTTGACTCACTAATGAGTTACGAAATGTTTCGGGAAATTTCACTTCTTTCCCGGGTGGCATAGACACTTCCGGTACTGATTTTGTTGAAATTTATGTTTACATTTTGTGCATGCTTTATACTCACATTCTGATGTGCTTTAATTGAATAATATGCGTCTTCTTCCTCGAAAAAATTATTTATTTTTAATAAGCATTTCGCATGAACGAGTTGTGATTCCACGGATAATTGAAACTTTTTCTATTCTATTTTAAAAGGCGTCAATTTTTTCCATTTATATTCATAGAGTTTTACAACATGATGTAAAATATAATGAAAATTAACAAACACTTTTATAACTCTAACTGAATTTTCGCTGCAAATGCGAATTGAAATGTGCAATAATTTCGTTTAATTCACTCCCACAGAGTTTTTTCGTCTGCTTTTTAAAATTACTTTTGGTGAAAAACGAGGCAGAACACAAATATTTTCCAGTTTACATACAAATGCTACAAACATTATTCTGGTAAACTTCCTCATTTGAAATTCATCTAAATTTTTGCGAAATGTTCCACAGTATGGTGGAAAGTTTGAGGCACTTTGAGCTTTTAGACGAAAACAGAACCAGAGTGAATGAGGAACGAACGTAACGGGAGAATTTGTAGATGTGCTTTTGGGGTCTTTTATGTATCGACTTGGTGGATTCTTTTTTATATCCCAGAAGATATGAGCAAATTTCACCTTCGACAAACTTTAGTCTTTTGATTGTATGTGAGGCTAAATAGAATATCACCTAAGGGAAGAAAATACGCCATGTGAACAAGCTCCGGTGTGTGAGATAATGTAAAAAGCATTTTCCACGTGGTGTCACTTAATTGACCATTTTTTGAGACTTTATGGGAGCACACAACAAGTTGCTGTGGGTGTGAGATGAGCGTTTAGTGAAAAATTAATGTGAACATTTTGTGTCATCATCACGACTTGCTCTTTGCCAACACCGCCATATTCATTTGCCACCCTCGGGCTGGCGTTAAAAGCCATCGGGGAGTTGTAAATATATAGCAAATTGCTCGAGACATTCCCCCAAGGCGTAGGTGACTCTTTACATATGATACAACTTTCAACATTATGCCACGAACGAGTAAATCAATTTTGCAAAGTGCGTCTCATGCTACTCACTGGTACTCTTAAGATAGAGAGAAGAAGTTTTTCACATGATAAGACATCCTCTGTCACTTTTTACGCGCTCAATCCACCTTACAATGCACCTGATCGTACTTGCAAATCCCACCAGTAGTGTGTCAACTATCGAAAAGTCGAGGGGTTAGGAACTTGTTCAGGCCACTTAAAGTGGGATTGAAAGTATTGCACTCAGTAAAGTTGAGAGGTGAGTCAATCTGCATGAATAGCAAAGTTTTAATTGAAACACTTGCGAAAATATTAAGTTGTAATGTATCTTAACAGACATTTTTCTGAGTAGCGTCATTAATATGGCAAGATCAAATACACACGATTACAGAGCTTATTCAGCGTAGGAGAGAAGTTTTAAAGGATTATCTAGTTAGACAATTATTCGCATTTTGTGCATAAATAACTCATTATGAATGATACACAAACATATTGCATTATTTATCGTTTATATATCATTTTCGCAAAAATGAGTTCACAAACAAAGCAATCATACTATACATATAAGCTCAAAGCAATGTGATTTTCATTATATTAGATAAAACAAATTCAAACCGAAACTCACCTCTTAATCTGCAACTGTTTTTCAGACAAATTGAACTTTGTTGTATGGTTTTGAATGATAAAATGCTAAAAAAAATCATTGACTGCACAGCATAGTTTGCTATAATATTAATTTGAATAGATTTCACATATGCAGCTGCGATATACGCTGAGTATATTTTATGCAAAATTTGCAAAATAATTCTATATAATTAAAACTGGGAACGCAGTGAAAATAGAAATTTCCATTTAAATCTTATCTAAGTAGAATTAAAATAATAAATTTATAATATTTGTGCTTATGAAGCAATGTTTGTATATTAGCCCATTCAATTCAATTTATGAATGTGTATAAAACCTCATCAATTACATAATATATTAAATCATCAACATTTCAATTGCTTTACAACTTTCGTCAGTAAGATCTGAAAAGCTTATTTCAAACAAGTTGAACGGATTTTAAACAGGAACAATTGATTTCCCTCGGAACAAAAATTTGCACAAAGTTGGAGTTCTTTGTGCCGTTTGACTTTGAAGGGTGGTTAATCACACGACATTGTGGATCTTTGGGCGGATGATGATCCGCCTGAGGAGTGTAACAGTGAGGATGCGAGGAAGCTTTGGGGTGTGATAAATGTTGACATTATCTGGGTGGGGAGAAAATTTTATGATGCTGCGTCTCTAACACGTTAAATTTCCCGCATCTTCTTCATCATTATTCAAATGCTGAGTGTCGATTAGTGATTTTTCTCCCTTTCGTGGCGAAATATCTCACATTGACATTAGAGAACTTAATGATCTCGAGCATCTTTGGGGAGGGTGAAAGAGAAATTGCAGGAAGGAGCAAAAACCCATTAGAGCGTCGAGATTGTACAATATTTAACGAAGACAGACTCGAGTCACTCCTTGTTTGGAATCCCCACAACACTTTCTTGTAATTGTGACTCACTCCCTTAATGGACTCTCCATCAAAATCACCCAGAGTATCTTGCAAACCGTATTCAGAGAAAAGCATTGCCAATAGAGATATCGACAAATTGACTGAAATTGCCACCACAGTTCTTGCAGACTTTAAAGTGTACTACACAATTTACTCAATAATTTAAGGATATTCAAGAAAGTTTCTGTGGCGTTGATTGCGTGAAAGGAACAATTTTCCTATTTTCCGACTCATAAATGATTTCCTCCTAATAATGAACTCTTCTGTAGGATTCATTAGTAGAAATACCTTGGGATTTATTTGAAAAGATCTTAAAACTCTTTGGTTCCCTATGGAAAGCAGCTGCAGCTTTTCATCCATTGAATATGCTTGAAGCTTTTGAAAAGTTTTTAGGGAGTTCCATTAATGCAAATCGAACGATTTATCTGCCATGCAGAGCTCCTCATCATTGATTGGTAAATTGATAGTTGGTTAAAGCAAAATTGGGCGCATTCTTCACTTAAATGCGGCAAATAAACTTTGACGGTAATTTTACAGTAGAGTGAATAAATTGTTGCAGATTTATTCAGCGAGAACCACCCACAGATTTCTTGCAACACATCCAATGATGGGCTTGCAAGGGAAATTCTCCTGCAAAATCCTTATAAATTTATTTTCATATAAATTTCCTCCTTTTTCTCTCCTCTTCAATCTTCAATTCATTCCCCTTTTACACATGTCTTTTTACACTCTTTATTGGATTGGCTGGGAAGAAAAAGGGAAAATGGAAGACAAAAGAGATTTGCTGAAAAGTGAGTTGCTAGGAAAAATATATACAGTAGGAATGAAAGTGGTTTTGAGGAAGATGTATGTATATGTAAAGTACTTCCCTCTCTTCCCATTTTGTATTTTGTCGTGAGACATATAACATAAATTCGATGCTATGACATTTGTTTGCCATTTTGTAAAATTATATGACAAATAACACCAAAGTGGAATTTAATATAACTGCCTCTTCTCTATTTACTCTCCGCATCATTTCACATCTCAATTTTGTGGCAATCATTTCGTCTTTTAGGAGTCAATTTTGAACCTAAGTGCTCGCAATTTATCCAATATGTTTAGTACGTGAGATTAAAGGATTCAACAATTATCTCATTCTTCCATTCTGTTTTGGACCACATGTATTTGCTCCATCACTGATTTGAACACGCTTTACGCAAAGAATCACAAATAACCGCCACAAGTGCAATTGAGAGCGTAACATTTTAGTTTGCTTTAAACTCCAGAAGAATAGCTTTCCTCAACAACAACAAAAAAAAACTCCCCACATATGTATTTACGTTAAACGAATTGGTGAAATTTTCAATTTACTTTCTTTCTATATATAATATAAAAAAAAATCCCGATTGAATCGTCCGATAAAGTGTGACCGAGATGTGATTGTGATTACTGGAAATTGGCCAGAAAATTGATGATGAGGGTTTTTCCGCTGAACCTCTTTCACGTGATAGAACCTAGAGATGAAAAATCGTCACTTTAATGTGTGCTTTTTTTTGGAAAACCATCCAATAAACAATTTTCCACTTTACGCCTTTTTTAACCTGAATCTGGTCTCTTTCTCCCATGCACGTTCCTAATTCCCCAAATTTACGCCAAAGCGTAGACGCATTGTTTTGTCAGGCGGAGAGAGGAAGAAATCCTCAAGGGCTTTTTATCAATATTTCATCTTATCACTTTTATGCTTACTTCCTTCCTCGTGCCTTTTTTATCGACCAATAAAGATTGGATGAGTGATACGAAAATCAATGCGGAACACTCCGCATCTCCCGTACAAGCGTAACTCGAGATTGAATTAAAGAGTGAGTTGGCATTCTTATTACTTTATTAAATACATAAACTTTGTATTGAATTTACTTTTCCTCCTTTGTCATGGAAAACACTTTATGCCCACCCTTTTTTTCATTCACGACCCGAGGGAGAAAAGTTACGTGGTATCCTGAAATGTTTGTGCCCAGAGTGAATAATAAGAAGGGTAAATTTACTGAAAACTTCCATAAAAGATTCACATAATAAAAAAAGAGATGAGAAATTTTGTAAATATTCCATCGATACTTTTTTACAGCCACATCATAGTTCCTAATTTTAAGACACTTTTCTCTGTAAATTGATTTAGCTTTATTTACTGAGTTATTTGCAAATTTTCTTACATCTTACGTAAGTTTTCATTGTGCTTCTTCGAGAGAGCAAGAAACGAAACTATTTATCGTGGGTAATCTTCCACAGACCTTTGATGTAACTTTTGGAAGTTGTGCTATTTTTCTTTCATAGTCAGTATTAGAAACTTTGGGGAGTTTAGTGAGTTTGAATTAAGCAGAAAATTTCTAATCCCGCTTTATATATATATTGTGAATGTAGAAACAATGTTGAATGTTACTTCTGCAATTGACAATTAACATTGTTGAACACATGCATCTCTATATACATCAGTGATTTTCACAGTGATAATGTTTTTGACCTTATCTCTGTGTCTTCCTAAGGTGAAACAGATAAAGCTTGATGTTTATGGGATTCATAACATTTCCATAAATTTTACGGCAACATAATAACCCTAATATTCTGTTTCGATCAATTTTTAAGGCATCGAACCCACATAATGCACTTGAGTGTGTGCGGCGCGATGTAAATTGGGAAAATTGTTGGGGATTTTCTCAATTTTATGAACAGAAGATTGAATTTCACCGTGCAATTCGCTATCATTAGTATTCATGTGTTATTTTTTGTGCCAATATTTTGAGAATTTTAGCATCTGACCAATATGTACATGTAATTTCAGCAGAATTCTTTTTTACACCGTTGAGAGTAATTGAATTTCTCTGTTGCTGTGGCTTCTTTTGTCCACGAAATTGATTCCATTGTGGGCGGGTGACGACGCTGTACGACCTAATGCAATGAAACTCGCGTGGCTCGAGTGAATCTTGGATGAAGACAACCTCAATTGCACATGAAGCACTATTAGCTGAGAATTTAATTCAAGATTCATGAGTGGGTGGCGGTAATTGCGCTTTTTATGGCCTCACACTGAGGCGTCTCTTCGCCACTTTGAGTCCTCCTCAGGTGCGTCTCTGCGCCACCTGAGCCGATAAACTGACAAAACACTCAAATTTGTAATTATCCTATCAATTGACGACTACGTTAGGGTTTCCCAAAGTTCCACCTCTTCAATTGACACGCAAATTTCTACTCAGCGTTTTCACGTGACTGAAAAGCTATGACGAAATCTCCTTACCATCGAGATTGACAAACATCAAAAGCAAAATGATCAGATAAATGTCATTTCATGCTATAATTTAATCCCATAGATCTTTTCCAAAATAATTCTTGAAAATGGCTTTAAGTATAATGAAAATCAGATTGAGAATACTATGAGTTTTAGAAAAAAAATTCGATTAAGTTTTCCAATTGTATTATAATAAATGTTTCTAACATAATATTCAAATGCACTAAAATCCGCTATAAAATTGTATAACTTATGCCTCTGTGATTAAAATTGTCCGTCGCTATCACTAATTCTGCAGGATATGTAATAAATCATTGTGCTGTGTGATTATTTCTAAATTTCTGCATGTTATAATTGATGATTCATCAGCTGGAATACTTAATGGGCGCATTTTAATGAGCGCTCCCTGGCTTTTATGCTAATTTTTGTGATTTTGTTTGGGCGTGAGATGCAATGTTTGAAAAACATGGGGTTTCATTTTATTTTAAAATCCAGCAAAAACACATCACTTGCAGTTTTGTTTCAGCTTCCAAATTCCTCTGTGACAATTTATTTACTCATTATTGCTGAGAGATAAACACATTTGGTTGATAAATGGAAATACCAGGAAATACACATTTGCGTATGTTTGCTTATAATTAAATATTTGGAAATGCTATGCATATATATGTGTATATATATATATATATGCTAACAAAGAACAAATTTCCCTCATTCACTCCCGGGTTGAGCAGTTTTTATCTACGGATTTCTGGAGCAAGTGGGAAATGCGTAGAGCGATGAGATTGATTGGGAGCAATTGAGCTACTGCGTTCGTTGCGTGATGCGAAGGTGAAAATGTAATTTTGTGGCGCTTATTCGCTTGAGTTGTGATTTGAGGAGGGCAAAAAGCGCATCACTGTCAATGCAGGGAAGGGACAGAGTGCATTCAATCGCAATCAATCTCATGATGTGGCTCGAGTTTTTGTGCCGCGTCAATTGTTCTTGGGGTGATTCATTGAGTTGTCTGAACTGCCGCCTCCACTGACCATACTCTCTCTATCTTGCAGTATATGCGTCACGGTTCTTGTGCTGAATGTTCACTTCCGATCGCCGCAGACCCACACAATGGCACCATGGGTCCGGACAGTTTTCATCAATCATCTGCCTAAGCTGCTGGTCATGCGACGTCCTCTCTATCCATATGACCATCGAATGCAGTGAGTAACATTTTTCATACCATCGCCCCCGCAGTGGAAAATTTTTCCAACCACATGCGGAGCGGACAACAATAGATCGTCGGGCGGGATGCCATGAGTAGAAAAAGCGTCTCATCCACCGACATTGGTGGGAAGATAAAACACAGAATTGCACTCTACAATTGACCCCCAACCACTGTCCAATTGTGGGCTCATCGACTCCATTCTCAGCCCAATTCAGCTGCATAAACACAATTCTTTTCCCACCTTTGCAAATCTACTCAGACAGAATACAATTCAATTGAAAATTTATCTTGTGTGAAGTGCTGCGCATGAGAGATGGAGGAAGTGCCGAGAGACAATGGCTGAAGTGTTTGTATAAATTGTGGAAAGAATGCTTCTTTTTTCTTTACACTTTTCTCTCTTCGATATCAAGGAAAGTTGTCTCTCAAGTCAAGGAAAATGCAAATGCAAGGTTTGGTGTTTCTGCGATAGAATTGAGTTTGCAACTAAATAACTTATTTCGATAATGTTTCCATTCTAAATAAGGATCTCATTAATTTACCGGCACAACAAAGAGTATCTTTTCTCACTCACCAACGAAATGGAAATTTAATTAACCTTAAAAGTTGAGACGAGTGTATAGAGTTTACTTCGAAATTAAATTATCACTCGAGTATCAATTTTATACCTGAGAAACCTAAAGCCCCCTAATTGAATTCCAACTGACCTGAACACGATTGCTTTTGAGCGTGCATATTTCACCGTCTACCTTTTCATAAAGTGTTTTTGACTGTTCTGAATTCGATATTTGGGTCAAGAACAAGGAGGTCCTGATTGAAATCACATCGATGGATTTATTCATAGCAGCAATACCACCGCAATCCCATCGGGATATCACAGGCAGATACTGAAGTTTACACCGTGAATTCCTAATTATAGTTGGAAAATTGCCCGCATATCACGGAAACTCATTGTTTGCAACTTTCGACACAGACGAAATTAATCAATGTTATTATGAATGTGTGCAGAGAAATTTTACAGACATGTGGGTTCTGGAAGTTAATTGAAATCGATTATTTCTTAGTTCTACTTCTTGATTGATCATATTCGACAGTAACACGACCAAACCACTTTTCAATGGAACCCAAATTTATCGAATTATGTTCAACAATAGTGAAGCGACTATATATATGTATGTAGCTAAACGAGAACTTTGTTAGGTAAAGTGAAAAACCCAATGTCTAAATTTATAGAATAAACCTAAACTTTTGCAATTCACCGATCAGCATAGCCAAATGCAAATTAATTTGGGTGTAAAAGTGTGAAAACACTCTAAAAGTCTGTGAAAGTTTCAAACAAATTTCAACTATCCTTCAGCTAGGATTGGTTGCTCAAAGAAAAGCACTCAATCTATAATTCATTCGATTGAAGTGCAATTTGAAGAGCAAGTAGACTTATCGCCATGTCCATGTGGAGGACAGCACCAGGAGTTCCCTGAGGACTCCTTGGCGCATATTGTGTTTTACTCAGATGGAGTAACTTTCAACAAGCTTGTACAGTGTGGTTCTCTCCCCTCTCCAGCGCGAGCTCCCATCGGTACATGGTGAGAACCTGCAATGGACTGGAACTGAGGGACCCCATCCCGCCACTGCCGCCGTCCGTGGCGCTCACGACCTTCGACCCGAGCCTCCTGCTGGACCACCATCTGCTTGACTCGAGCGACCCGCTGGGTCTGGGCTCGTGCAAGCTGCACGGCGACTCGGGGCCCTGTTCGCCGCACCACCATCGGCACCATCGTCATCTTCTAGACGAGCTTCCGCTCACCTTTCAGACGGATCTGCTGGACGGATCGCCGGAACCCCTGTCTATAGCTACGCTCACGCCGTCGCGACGCCACCAGCACGTGGCCACGGTGGACACGGGTCGTGTGCTGTCGCCCACCATTCCGCCACCCCCGCCACCCTCCATCAGCATTCCTCCGCAAGCCACTGCCACGGAGCCCGCGGCCGCGTGCAGCTCCACGGCCGACGGGCCGCCGCCCGGGACCAGCCACTCAGTCCGCCACCGGTGGCACACCTGCCCAGAGCTGCACAAGGCCATGGACGGCGTCACATACATCGCCGACCACACGAAGAAAGAGGAGGAGAGCACGAGGGTGAGTCCCAGCATAAATGCACCACTTAAACTTTGTCATATTCCATCTCAACTTGCGCTTGTCATTTCAAAAACATTTCCATAATATACGTCCGAACGGATGTTTATTCATCTGCATTTTTGTCTTCCACAAGTGCATTAGAGCGACAAATCCCACATTCAGAGAATTTGTACATCAACGAAGAGGCAATTGACATGAAATTTTAATTATCAAAACTGATTCATGTGCAATATGATGTCAACAGCACTAGTGATTTATGTAACTTCCTGACATCCAAGAGACTCCCTTTCCCAGAAGCCATGCTTACCACAAACCCAAAGTCATCCAGTGGGTTGAATTGATGAGTTGCTTTGGGTTTCTGGGCACTGTGGCGCAATTATCATGAATAAGGCAATTGGATGGTGGCATACATTTTCAGGTGAAGGAGGACTGGAAGTTTGTGGCCATGGTACTGGACAGACTCTTCCTCTGGATCTTCACGATAGCCGTGGTTGTGGGCACGGCCGGAATTATCCTCCAGGCGCCAACTCTCTACGACACTCGCGTGCCCATCGACATAAAGATGTCCGAGATTGCAACGACCACCGCCAAGCCTCACATCGCGCGACCCGTCTTATAAAGGGCTGAACACTGCGACCAGCGGAGATGTAAGTTAAATAGAATTTCAGTTGAAACGACATTCCCGCTCAGTTGTGAGCTTGACAGCACACTTTTTGAGGAACGAAGTAGCACAAGAGAATTGTCAGGAAATTCATATGGGACGATTTCCACTAACGTTACAGTTATTTTTATAGACGCGGAGCTTGAGTGAGGAAGAGTCTAAGATTGGAAAAATAAGGTGGAGAAAAAGCATTCAAGCCCCGGAGGAAGTGATCAAAATGTGCGGGAATAGGAGAGGATTTCTTTTATTTGTTTGCAATTTTACGTGACTATTCTTAAAAATTCACCCCACGGGAGGATTTCAATGCATTGCTATCTCTATCACACTGAATGTCACATTTATTTGCCGTGAAGTTCACGGAAGAGCTAAATTGTCCCTCAGGGTAGTGAAGGGGCAGAGAACGTTGTTCTTGGATAGAATATTTTATCAAATAAATTGCACGATAAATTGATACAAATGTCCAGTGAGAAACGACATTTATATTCCAGGTGAAAAATGATATTATACACATGACTATGCGAGAGGATGGGAAAAATCCTCGAAATTAGACACAATTTCCGCTTCTTTTCAATTTCATTCGAAAGATTGCACTTAAATTCTCCGTTGATGTCTTTTATATTCCTCATAGTCATTAATTATTTTCTGCTTTACTTCGCACACTCTTTACCCTCAATGATAAATCATTTTGTCTACTAGTTTATCCGCACATGAATTGACGGGGAAATGAGGGAAATTCGCTGGGAATTGAGTGTGTGTGTGTTTTTTTTTTACTTATTTCTATGAAGAAAGAGTTCAGAATCAAAGCGCAGTGATTTCGAATGACGATGTGGAAAAATGCTTTAGCAATTTCAGAATGAATGCTCTTTTGTAAATCAAGGAAGCGAACAATTCTTCTCTAGCAAAATTGCAGCACTTTTTGATCACTTTCCACATTTTGTTCATTTAATTGGTAAAGTTGTTAAGTCTTTTGCTTCTCATGACAAGAAGTATAAATTCCTTTATGACTTAGAATAATTTTATGTGAGAGTTGTTTTGAAGAGATTTTGAAGAAAAAAAAAAGTCCCACGACCATATTAGGTGACAAAATTAACATTAAATAGTTATTAACTAATGCAGAATGAGAAAAATCGTTATAGTCAATGAAGGGAGTCCTTCACACTAACTTCTAAATTAAGGATATTTAAACAAGTGACGAAATGTTGATAGTAAAAGAAGTGAGAGCAAAAACATTGAAAATATCATTAAATGTGATTTCATTTAACAATTCAGATTAACAAGTTAGAGTGAGGAAGGCAGAAAAATATTTAACACAAATTCACACTGCAATTAATGATAGAGCACGTTAAGAAAGTGTTTAATTCTAATGGTAACAGACAGATGAGGCAGATTATTAGAGCAGAGATAAATATTTGATGAAAAAGAAAACAGAATATATAACAGAGAGATGATAAATTATTTATTTTCCTAGAAAAGTTGTGTGTGTTTAGATGACAGAGAGCGAAAGCAATTTTTTCACCATTATTGAGAAACACACTGTGGACAACTTTGCTGTTTGATGCTATCCAAAGAGGTTGATTGCAGAGTGAGTCAAAAGTGAAAACATGGCGAAAACAGAAAGATTTCTCGATTCACTGTGTATCAATCATTTTAGAGAATATTATTAGTGAGATATCGCCACATTAAAATATTGCAACAAATTCAATGGGAAAATCCGTAAATGGCTAAACTGAGAACGATGTGGAAAGCGGAGGAATGTTTACAAACAAGTGTGATTGGCTTTTAATAAAAATGTTCACGTATCATTCAATATGGTGATTGAATTAGAGATGTTTCCTAAATTGTCACTTCAAAATTGTTCAAAACCGGACATTGCTATCAGATTCATTAATATGAATTTCCATAGAACATGTGGTGAAAAATTGTTACACTTTCATGTGTGTGAGGAGTCTTGTAAGATATGTTATTTCAGTTTACAGTTAACTTTTTCTCATGGCATATGTAAAAGGAACCCGCCTCCATTGTACCATTTTGTCTTGGAGAATTCCTTTCTAATTAATTATCCCGCTCATGTTGTGCAAAACACACCAGAAACAACGACATCCTTAATCCTATTGCGACAAAAAAAAGGAGTTCCCCACTAGACAAATGGTGTTTGAGTGAGAGAGAGAAAGATGGAGTGGAAAGAGAAAAAGAGCATTCACAGATTCATTTTAAAAACTTGTGTACTGAAGAGAAAGGAAATTAACACTGAACGGAAAATTTCTGTAGACGAAGGAAAAAGAATTAAGAGATAAAAACAAACAGTGGAAAAATTAACACTCTTTTCTTCCATCCAATTTGTTGACTTTTTCCACACAGCACGGCGCCTTTCACGTGAATTTTGGGGAATGAATGAAGGGAATTACTTGGAAGATTGAGAGCTTCTTGTCGTATCCCTAAATGAATTCTATTAATCGATAGATGAGAAAATAATTTCTTTACCAGCGCCAAATTGCCTTTCTCCCCATCGCACGTGTTGGCTTCTCTTGGAACGACGGTGAAAAGAGCATTTCTGGCCGAGGAAGCGTCCTGCTCACGAGCTTCCTGATGAGCTGTGTAATATGGCACAAAAGTTAAATAATGGCTCCCCGCGGCGGATTTAGCGGTGAAATTGAAAAATCCCATGGAAAAGCTGACATCAATAAATAACAGGCGCATGGTCATTTAGTAATTAATTAATAGCAGCCTGTCGTCACTATGAAGTGTAATGTTTCATGATAAATGGACAGATTTAAAATGTGATTTTTTTTGCTATCTCCGCATTTTACCGGAATTCATTATTCTCCACCATGCACTCGACAACTCTTTCACTTGCTCTTTCAACATTTTTCACGCTGAGCGACGGAAAGTGCTCGCAATTAAATAAATCTGTAGTACTTTACGCAGGTAGAGAATAGACTCACTTCCAACTCTCACTTTCATTCTTCTGCGGTCCTTTGAATGCCATCGGAGTGTCTTATGAGCTCCTGGTACATTTATGACCATGTCGAGTGACACTGACTCAGTTACGTTGCACAGGAAAGACATTCGCAATTACAAGAGTCCGTCTCAGCATGGGATTTTTTACACACAACAAAACACTCGCTCTTGCAGCGTTTCTTTCTCGACGATGAAGTTTGCCGGATTCAATAGTCCTTCGTGTTCTTTTATACTTTAGGGACATTTGAAAAGTTTCACACATATTTTCCTGCGAATTTAAGAAAATATCGATTTTGTCCCTTCAAATGAATTGGAAATGTGGTAAACAAGAAAATCATTCACCTTAGACACAGCATAAACAAATCCTAAAAGTAAGACAACCATTTCTGCGTCAAGAAAAAGGGAGTTCCAAATGAAAATCTTGGCAAACTCCTGCAAATACAAGTGCAAAACCAACAGCGATGCAGTCTCTCCAGGAAGTGAGTGCAAAATACAGGAATCATCAATTTCCTGCGCACAGCGTGCATTTGCCTGCAAATGAGCATGGCTGAAAGGAATGGCAAAAATTCATGAGATGCAATTAAGTGAAATTGTTCTTGGCGAAAGACAGAAATGCGCCAAACGAGTCAAAATTATTGAAATATCAGGAAGTAAAACGACCGTAAGCGATGCAAATTACCCAATAAATCGCTTATGTATCCAAAGTTGACATTTTGTTGGATGAAAAAATGCACATTTGTGGTTTCTTCGTCTCTCATTGTTTTCATAGATACACATATATATATATATATAATACAACTATTACTCTTCCGTATCGTTTCTTTAGGCTTCTTCTTGCGTTTGTGGGATACAAAAAATTCGCATGATGGCTTCTTCTTCGTCATTCACAGACAGTCACACAGAAAAACGCGACAAACACAAAAGAACGCGATATTAAATATTAAGATAAAATTAAATTACGTGTAAAGCGTGAGTCTTCACCGTCAAATTCCTTTGCTACTGTTGTAAATGAGAGGAAATTTCCTCCCTCATGTCATCTTCATCAACTTTTGATGATCCTTCGGCGTCCTCCTCGCCAGACGCGTCGTCATTTTTCACTTTTCCGTCACGATTTTCACGTATTCGCCTCAATTTTCTCTTCAGTGTCATCATGCCTGCAAAATGAACATTCCCCCATGACTCTCGTCTCCTACATCGGCCTCCCTCCGGCCAAACACTCCCAAAGGGTGTCCCTAAAAAGTTCTTATCACTTACATTTGATCGTCTGAAAGGTTCGTGCAGATGAACTTTCCGCTGGTGCTGCATTGCCATTGCTTTTCCTTTGGGAGAAGGTAAAAAAAAAACACACAGACACAAAATTAGCGTTGCAAGAATAGCAAAAGTGAAAAATCAATAATTTGAAAATTGTGAAAAGATAATGAATAATAAATATCATAATTAATGAAAATTATGCATAAGTTTTATAAAACTAATTGGATTAACAAAAATTGATATTAAACCTGTTCAATCAATATTAATTAAAATTATAATTCAGTCATGATTTTTACAGAACAAGGTACGGAAAATTAATTGGTAAAGTAATGTCGGAAAATTAACATACTGCTATTGGAAAAGCTAGTGATTCTCACAAAAATTTGCATTCCTATTGCCCTATTCGTGTCTACACACATTGCATGCTTTGGCGATGAATTTACGCAAATTACAGGCAAGAATGCCAAAGGGTCTGCCCTCAAGGGGTGAAATGGCGAAAAGCTACTCACTCTGTGGCCAATTTGACTTCAAGAACGGATTTCTGGAGTGTTTTATAGTGCCTGACATCCGGTGAATCCTTGAGCATGATGCATTTGGCCACATTTCCACCCCCGATGCACTCAATGGGCGCAATATGAAACGTCTGATGGTAGATAAATTGCAGGATGGGCTGCATTGGAGTCGGAGAATCAGAATACAATTAATTGCAGTCGCATCCGCAGCGCTTTTTGCATGTGCGCCATAACAATACTCACGGAGTTCCACACACACGATCCATACCACAGCCATGAGAAAATGTTGAGCCAGGCATTGAAATTCTTGACGTAAAGCGTCGGCAGGAGGAACTTGAACGGCATGAGGTTGAGGAAGACATAGGACCACGTGATGAAGCGGAAAGTGGCATAGAGGATGAAGAGAATGTCTCTTGAGGTGGATGTGTGCAGGGCAGAGAGGAGGAGAACTTCCGTGGCGATGCCCATCAGTCCTACACTTATATTCAATAATACAAAGTAATGTTCATATCTGTTGGAAAGAAATGAGAGAAAGAGTGGTTGAGTTTTTGCTAAGTAAATATCGTCACAGCAATAAATCCGAGTGAAATGATTAATGAGGGAAAAGATAGCGAGAAAATTTTGTAACAATGAGCCAATTTTCTCCTTTGATTCCTCAAGTTAAGGCTCTCTTTCTCAAATTCATTACAAAGTCGCAATTGTATGTAGAATATTTCCTCAACAAACGCAAGAATTGTTTGGAAAATAAATTCAAGCCACTTCTGGCTGAGAGTCCTTTGAAATGGGTTACAACCGTGGAGAGAGAGGTTTCTGTTTTTCACTTTCTGCTGTATTACAAATTAATTTGCTTGTGCTACAAATTCATTCATACAATTTTCCAACAATTATTCAGCAAAAGACGAGATGAAAAGAACGACAAAGGGAAGAAAGCCACACACTCACGTAATACGTTTAAATATGGATGAAATGTCGCACAGTGGCGACGAGAGATTTTGCAAAAGTTTCGTGGAGTATAAATCAATGGGTTTCAATAGAAAAACACTCTTCAGTAACTCAGTTAGTCTCGTTGTGATGATGGAAACAGGTTTTAATTCCCTTATCCCACAGAAAAACAGAGTTAGCGAAAAAGCTCTCAACGAATTATGAAGCTACACGCTTTATTGACTCTTCCCTGTTACATAAAATTTACCCTCATGACTTCAAGTGTGTGAGGAAGAAAGTGAAGAACATCTCAGTCACTTTTATTGGTCATTACTTTACTGAGGATTTCAGAACAAAGGATCAGTTAATTTAATAAAAACGAAGGCTTAAGGAATGTCTCCACCTACAATATTCAAAATTATTATATATTTCCAAGTATTTCCATTCCCAATGAGCTTGAGTGATGTAATTATTTGCTAACTTTCCAGCAAAAGAGCATATTCAAATGAGTAATTAATTTGGATGATAATAAAATGTGTCAGATATGTCGCGTGAAATTTTACGATAAAGCTTCGCAGATGAAGTTTTTGGCAAAACTTCCATTGTTAAAATGCAACACATTTTGCATATTATCTTCAAAACTAACATTTTACACTGGAGGAAAGTCTCTTTAGAATGTTCTATTTGACTTTTTAATTAGCTCAATATCCTAAATCCTAATCTAATTCTTGCAAAAAGTCACACCATTTCGGAAAGTAATTTGCGGCTAAGAAGTCACATCATCAGTGGACGTGAATAAGTTGAATTTAATTATCTGTCGAGAATCACCCAAGTTTCTGGCAAATTTCAATGTTATGTATGGCAAATCTTCGCAGGTGAGATTCTGTGGTCCTGCAAGAATACCCATAATTGACTCCTCGACTTTGGTGACAACTTTCGACGGCAAATTTCGTACTGAAGCAGTTTGAGAAATCTCCTGGCTTTTCCTCACATGATTACCGCCTCTCCTGTCATCCCCAAAGCAGGCGACGAGGATTAATTGAAGTCTAAAGTTGAATCTGTAGAGCCTTATTTTCAACAACTTCTTTCTCGACCTCAATAAATTTGCATAGTTTACGATGAGGGCAAAATTCAATAAATTATGTAACCACTTGGGAGTGTCTTCAATTTTTAACGAGCAGAGAATTACCATGAAAATATTGACAAGTCTGGGAATCATTTGCTTGCTATTGAATGTAAATTAACAGAATTAATAGGTAAATCTCCTCATTTCGAGATTATACAGAATAATTAAGCTGCCACTGATAAATCCCATTAAGGAATGCTAGAGGATCATCTCAATGTGGTTGTTTTCTCCCATGGGGATTCAATCGATTTGTGTGGCAAGCAGTCTGGGGATTTGAACAGGTGAGGATGTAACAACGCCAGACACTGGAAAGGTAGACAAATGGGTTGAATCACTGGATAAAGTGAGACAAGTTTGAATTGTCTCGCTTTTCTCCAAACAATCACACTAATCCCAGGGAGAGTTGTCATTTTTCTCGGGGATGAGAAAAGGGAAAAGAGGTGAAAGAGTGAGCTCAGAGACGCTGAGACTTACCTAAAGATGTAAAATATCACGAGAACAGAGGAAAACAGCACACGCTGGGCTGCCTCAGAGTAATCACATTCGCGCAAATCCAGCACAATTGCAATGAGATGGAAGGTGATGACAATGACAAAGATGTCATTGAACTTGGTGGTGTCTTCGTTTGGCATGAAGAGGAGCAGATTCTCGTATTTGGGGAAATAGTGCCGCACTTCCTTCTCAATTTCCGGTGCTATGAAAGTCTTGTGGTAAAAGTGGAGGAACACAGTGGAGCCACTGAAGAAAGAGATATTCCAGATATGGCGAAACGTCGGATGCCATTTGTATCGTGGGGTGCTCGAGGATCTCAGGAGGGCCTGCAATAAATACACCCAGGCACATCAGAGTAGCGCCCCAATGTTCATTTTCCCGCTCCGCCGACATAACCTCACATGTCGCCGGAACGGCGAAACATTGGGAAAACCACTGTGGCACTTTTCGCCACACTTTCCCACTGTGTGTGCACTACACTCACCTGCACAATCTTGCGAACGAGGTAGAAGGCAGTCGAGAAGCATAAACAACACCAAAATATGCGATTTATCAAGCTATTTACGTCGCTTTGGGCCTCTCTGCCAAGAACACTGCAGTCGCCTGCGGGTGGAAGAGAATACCCATGAAAAATCACTCTTTTCACACATTTCGTCCCAATCCTCCGCCACCACAGGACTCTCACGACCATCAAGCTTCCCTCTAGCACCACTTTTCAGGGAAATTCACGTGGAAAATGCGATATTTACCCATTTTTCATGCGCGAACTGCACTCTCACGTCCACTTCATCTTTGACAGCACCCTAGAAAACCAGGCACATCCGCGAAACCTTCCAAATGATCCGGCATTTGAACGCAACGGCCAAGAATCACGTGAAAACACTTTTCCTCAAGTATAGCACAGATACTTTATTTAATATTTCAGAGTGATGTCAAAATTCAAGTTCTCAGTGGATTAATGTGAGGGAATTATAACTATTCGATAGTAAAATAAATATTTCAAGTGACTACAACAAGTGAAAAAATAGCACAAAAGTACAAACTCCTCTTCTGCTCGACCTTCTTTTGGTAATCCTTAATCACACACACACACACTCTCTAGGGGATTCTTGTCCGGTCTACACGTTCGTGGGGGCATCCATGGCACAGATGATGCTCTTCATCACGGCAGCAGCAGCGAGGGAAGCGTAATTCTGCCACTTCTTCGTCGTTGTGCCATCCTTGTAGTCCGATATGCCTGCAGAAAGAAAGAGAACAATAGTCACACACATCCGTGGAATGTTGCAGAAATTCTCACCTTTGACAAGGATGAAACTGTCGCGACAGTTGCCAATGATGCTGTCCAACACAGAGCTCATCTCAATGTCTGTTGCCAGAAGGCCGAAAGTTTTAGAGAACTCTGTTCGCAGTGTATCTGATTTTATCTGGTCACTGCCTGAGCCAATGGGGCCTAGGTGAACACGCGTGAGTGGCCCTCCAGCATCCGTGGCATCCCCCTGTGCATCCTGGGGGTTCTGCTGTGGATGCGCCACCTCAATAACATCCCGATTCCCAATGTTCATGTATAGCTTGTCGGTGTTTGCAGCGGGACGGGTGAAATCGTTAGTTGTGCGCTCCTGCAGGTGCCTCAGGCCATCTTTCAGGTAGGTCTCCCACGGCTTCTTCACATGTTGCATCTGCAGGTACTTGGCAATCTGCTGGAGGCACGGATTGACCGGAAAGTAGGTCTTCACCTCGCGGACACGGCTGTTGTACACGTACACGAACTGATCATCTCCCCAGGGATTTGAGTGACTGCAACGAAAATAGTAGTGTGAGAAAATTGCATTTGCCATGCCATCGCTCGACAATCAATCACACAGTCCCGAATGTGGGGGGATGGACTGTTCCGGGGGAATAGAGAAAATGAGAAATGATTTCCATGTTAACGAGTTGTATGTGGTATTATTTTGTCACTGCACAGCAGACCACAAAAAATCTGAAACATTATTACCCATTCTCGAGCACAGAATTCCTCTTGATGTCAGGATGTGAGACAACAACGTCCCCAAGGCGCACATGCTTCCTGAAGTCCGTGTAGTGCGGCACACCGCCAGCCACTCCCACGATGAATACGTAGTCCACCTTCTGGAATGTGCCCAGGAGACGAGTCGTGGTATTTCCCGTGGCTGTCATCGCCTCCCTGCTGCTCCCCACGCTGGGCAGCTTTGTACTGACAATCCGGTGGGCGCCAATGTTGCCCAGCGTGTACACATTTGACTCGCCTGTGGCGAAGGAAAGAAGGAATATCTATTAATTCCTAGCACGACACCACTTTATTTCACGCCCTCCACGTCCATGATTTTTGAGAATTGATCAAACTCAGCAAAGCATCAACTTATCTCACAGATAAATTGCCTTCCCGAACCACCCACCGGGAGGTGCAGTGTGACACCCAGCATTTAACGATGTCCCATAATTGTGTAATTAAATTAAGTGATATAGAGAGAGTCACTCTTTGGGAATATACATTTCCTCACTTCCCATTTGCTCCAGCGCGCAGAGTGATAAAATGCAATACAGTCGCTCGAGGACATTTAATGCGCGATGACGAGGGAATGGACAAGAAAATCGAGCAAAAGTAATCAATTACTGTTTCCCCAACAGCACTCCGTGATTTCCGCTGGGACGCCCGCCCTCAAATTGCATCAATTTAATTTCATTGGAAGTGTGTGTACTAAATGTTTATTATTTGCAGCATTACTTTCACGCTAAGCGCTTCGCCGCAGCTGCTCCTTGAGCGAGACATTCATTGATATCTGAACCATATGTATAACACAAATGCTTTCCCACTTCTCCTCTAAACCCATTTCAAATGGTAGTTTGAGCACAAATTATTGTAATATTGATTGATTGAATAGTATCACGAAAATCTCTCAAAATAGAATATCCATAATCGTTTCGCGCTTTCACAACCCACAGAAAATTGATAAAACTCCACATTGAGTTTTGATAGATAAAACCAAATGCTTCTCTCTCGCTGATCAATTCTCATATTCACCTGTCAACAAATGGAAAGCGTGATAAAATAATATCCCAGAAGCCACACTTTACAGATAAAATACTGGGTGATTAGAATCAGCATTCTATATTTATATGAATAAGTTAAACCATCCAAACAATTGTGATGAAACAGTTTATGAATTTTAACACAAAAGCCAACATTTCGAGTGAATTGCATGAAAACCAGTGCAAATGTTCATCTTCGCCTCAAATGGTCACATGGACATTCGGTCAATCGTAAATCTTAATCACACAATGGCCCACACCCATAAAAATGCTTTGCCCCATCCTCAGAAGAAGCCACAACATTGTCTATTCTATGTAATTGCGGACAAATTTAATTGCAGTTAAAGCATTAATTGATGTAGCCCCGCATGGCGTTTATTGCCAAAAACACTGCCATACAGAGGCTGCAAATACACCAATGAGGAGAATATGTGTATGTATCTCTCCAAGAATTTATTGCCCTCAAAGATATGTACAAATGGTGCTGCTAAAGTGATTCCAAAATATGCGTTGCTAATAAATTCCACTGAGAGAGAGAGAGAAAGAGACACAGTAGAGAAAATTGGGAGTGAAAGTGAATTGGGAGGATAGACAATGACAGAAGACACGGAAAAATAGTGTGAAAATTGACTGTAAAGAAAATATCATTTCTTACCAAAACGCTTCTTCTTTTGCCTCCTCCTCTCTAACCCATTCACATCTTTCTCAGCTGATGTTCCTGAATTCCATCCCGCACCCCAGATAGAGAATATCCACCCAAATCATGCCAAATCATTTTTGCATCGACAGCCAAAACCCCAGTGATTTGTTTTCAGCAAACAGAGCGCATAATTTGGCCATAAAGGTAAACATGCCACAACATCCGCGAACAGCAATTAATTTTGCACCAGGATACAATTTTCAAGAGCGATGGGAAGAAAAATAAACACAAAAATTACATTATAATATTCATGCGATTAATACACGGATCAATTTGTCTCTCATACGAGGATTAAGTGGTTATTCATTCAAGGGACTCTACTAATTCCTCTGCAGATGCTAATATTGAGATAGCCTACGTGAAGGGTCCACATTTCACCTTCCTGAGCATGACAATGTCAGACGTTCTGACTATAAGTGATATACAAAAAGTATTTGCTCAACAGTTTGTGGCAAAAGCAGATAAATACACCTTTTGTGCTATCAGTCATGTACAATATCATATTGAGTTGTTCTCTCTCGGAAATGTTTCGGAGGAGATACATGTGTAACATCTTCCTGTCAAAGGAAAAATGCTCGATAAAATATCTCTACCAAAAGAGAAAATTGCATTTTACCACATGTCCAATCATCCCACACTCAAATATTAACGTCTGCAGAGGAGATACAAGGATACATCAGGTTGTCGGAAACCTGTGAAGCAAAGTAAATACAAGGGAAAAGCAGAAAATTCCCACTCACCCACTGTTGTGTATCGTACAAACGTCTCCTTGTTCTCCAACATAGCATCAACGGCCAATTTCTCACAATATTGAGCTGTGATTATGGCAATTGTCGGCTGTTTGTTTGATGCAATTGTGGGCATCTGCTTTACCACCTTAATATCCTTGTCCTCGTGGTGAATTCGTGTGAAGGAGTTGTACTCCATTGACTTCACCAGTCCACGATTCTGCAGTGAAATGAGCACTTGTTGTACTTCTTCCTCACTCCAACCATTGTCCCTGCAAAGAGGACACAACACACAATATAAATATCAATTCTCCACGTGTTTTCTCGCCTCCCCAAAATGTTCCAACTTTCCACAACATTAAGCCCTGAAATTTCTGCGAGATGCCAATTGCGCCCTTACCGTGCCAAATCCTCAGCAGTTATTGGATTAGGGTACGCCTGTTCAATGAGCTCCAGAACTTTCTCGGGCGTCAGTGGTATCACTTCAAATTGGGTGTCTTCAATTGACACTGCAAAGAAAGAGGTAGGCTCAGTATACACACAAATATATAGTCACATAAGAGGCACATCTACACAATCAAGGGGTTAACAATTCGCCAGCATTTCCGTGTTGTGTTGTCACGCTTTTCAATTTTGCATGAGTGCAGACTTTTAATTTCCACCGCAGAATTGCTATTCTCCTCTCGCTGCGCCAGTGAAAACTTTTAAATGCAAATGGCTATCCTTGAAAATGAAACATAAGGCGGATGGATGCATTAACTCATCCTCTTTTTCCTTCTTTGGTCGCACTGAAACGGATGTTAGTGCCATTTCGTGCAGCCAATTCCAGAACAAATTCGCCATTGAAAAGGGAATGAAATAGTGTAGAGCAGCGAGAGAAAATTGAAAGTACCCTTTTTGCAAACAATACTCATGTACTTTTAATTAAAAGCTAAAACAGAGCTTATTCGTTGGATATATTTGCACGGACATGGAAGCTGTTGTTGACCCCTTGAATATGGCAGATTAAATTAGTATGAAATTTCTAATTATGACATGAATAATTATTTTCGTATAACATCACATTTTTCTTCTTAAAATTAGAATTCAGGATGCTTTCAAGCGACATAAAACACAGGGGAAATCTCTCTTCGGGTCACAGTATTCAGATATTGAGATAGATGGGAAAATAAATGGCAGGATGAATTGAACAAAAAAAAATTCTAGTTAATTTTTTCTCACTCAATGATATCCGAATGAAAATCTGGTAGATTTCAAAACACCATAAATAGTTTATCACAAATGTGACAAAAGCGCCAATGAAATTGCACAAGAGAAACTCATTAAAATTCATTTCTCTCCCATTTCCTTCTCTGCAATTCGGTGAAGAACATTTATTTATTTAATTGTAGACATTCGCATAGAATAATGGTTGTCATTTCACTCTCATACTCCCACAACTATATTATTACTTTTTTACCCCTTCCCCCCTGTATTCATTCACATATCTACACACAGGCGCAATCAATTTATATTAAGAAAAGCTGCAGTCGGGTGGAAAATTGCAAAATTTCTTTGATATTCGTCAGCACTTTTCCCTCTTTTTTTGCCTCTCCTGCACTCTCAAGAAACCATTCGATTTTAGAGTGCTCCAGGGCGACTGAAATGGTTGGGAAGAGCCGAGTGTATTTCCATATGGAAAATTGCCATTAAATTTTCCCATCACATTCCTGCCAATTTTTCCATCTCTCTGGGTCACGATTCGGGCGCCTTCCTCCGCGGAGAAATAGAATTCTGCCAGTTGAGTGGGTCGAAGGGTCTCATACCTTCCCATTTACTGTGTTTCTGTGTCACCAGAGCGACGGTTTTTGCTTGTTTAATAACAAATTGATTCATCAACACGAATCAATAAATATGAGCATGAGAATTTTTGCGATTCTGTTCGCTGTTTTTGCCTCTTCGTGACTCGTTTTACCCTTTCAGCAGTGCCAGAAATCCCCAAAATCATAACTTTCAATCACGAATTGGGGGAAATAAAACCCACAAACGATTAATCAAAAAAAAAGTGTTGAAAAACCAAAGTATGAATATTCAAAAGAATTGACACAATACGCAATGTTAGAGGATATTAAAACAAGAGATAACGTAAGAAAAAAAAAACAACACAACATAAAGTGCAACTAAATCACAAAACAATTCTTGTAAGAAACAATAACAGAAGGAAGATTATATTTTAGCATGATTTAAAAGAGATACAGAGGTTTCTGTGTTGTTTATTAATGCGCATTTGGTTTTCCTTTTATTTCAATTCACACTCTATTATTATTTATTGCTGTTATTGTACATATCGAGCCAGAATTTCTTCATCAATTCACCTGCACTGGATGATAAGCGGCTGTGCAATTTTCTATTGCAGTCACCATAGCAAAATATCAAATAACCGGGTCGCGCTACCAAACGGATGACAACAGAGAAAAAAAGTAATGATAATTTTGATATTTCTATGAGTCCTGCAAAGGGCCAATTTAGTGGGGCATTTTCCAGACCCCAAAATACATCACTGTCTTCATGACCAATACATTTTCTACTTGATAACAAGTTCACGAAGAGAGAATCATTGGAAAACTTACGTGGTCTCGATGGAGGTGCTGAAGTTGTCTCGAGTATCTTCAGCTCCACCTCCAAGGCCTGTATCTCGTCATAGCCCTTCTGCAGTTGCTTCATAATCTTCTTGATGAAGCCCACGTAGTCGCGGGGAAACTCTTTGGGCGTCACGAGTTCGCGGAAGAAATCCTGGGCCACCTGAGCTTGCCTCTCACCATCATCCAACCACTCCCGGAACCAGAATCGCAGCGTGCGTGACTCCTGAGAGTGTTGACCTGTGTTGGCGCTGACTAGAAACACCCGGAATTCCAGGCACAGCTGGGCAGGCACAATCCGTGACTTTTGATCTGTTTCAAGTAGATTAAAAAAAAGAGTTTTAGTTACGCCACATAAAACCGCAAGGGAATAATTCTGCTCTACCTTTTATGGTATCTTTGTTGATGATGATCCCCTTGTGATCACCTCCAGCCACGTGGACTCGCTCGCTGATCTCCTCCACCAGCTTCCTCTCAATGAGGATCACTGTGGAGTTGGTGGTCTTGCCCTTTGGCGTCATCACCACTTGCTCCTGTCGCAATGGCTTGTCTGTGGCTCCGTTCCTCTGTTGTTCCTCACTGTGCTGGTGGCTCGCCACTGAATCATTGCCTCTGTGATTTGACGGCTTCGGTGGCGGCGGTGGTGGAACTTTTGGGGTCGACATTGTGTCTCTCTCACTCACTCTTCAATTCCAAAATGCCAGCCTGCCAAAAAGGAGAGGGAGAAAGAAAAATTACAGACTTTGTTTACACTGACAACCGCTGGCGATGGAATTCAGCAGAAGAGCCCCCGTTCGCAAACACTGCCTCTTTGCAGTCATGATATTCGTGTGTCTTTAGGGGCGGAAAGTTAGAGAATATATTACTGTAGAAATTCAAATGAGACAGCTTATGTCGCCCAACAGTTGCTTAAAGTTTCTAGAGTTAAACTATATGAGAAAAAAAATCACAATAACGTCACAGAAAATATATTTAAACTTATGTATAATTTTATCATGCAATTTTTCTGGGTCGCAGATCCACCCCGAATTTATAGCTCACATATATTCCAATCACCTCAACCTCAATGGCAAAAATATCTGAAATAGCTGCAAACACATTGCCATCACCGTCACGGAAATCCACGTGAAAGACATCGAAAAACATGAGATTCGCTTCGGAACACATTCGAAACTATTGCCAAGAAATATTTACCGGAATAATAGCACGAGGAGAAAATTGTGTGGCATTTTTAGGACATGTAAAAGTATCGATTTTCCAGCTCTCTATATCGTTATAAGCAGAAGTAATGCTGTGACAGAGCTTAGGAATATATACTTGTGTGTACTTGCCTCAACTAGACACATCTAAGAAACTCAACCAAATTGTTGCGAGAGAGAGAGAGAGAGAACAAAAAAGCAAGTCTCAAATGACTCCAGAACCACACTTGCGGAGAGAAATTGGAAATTCAAGCACTTTTCCATCTTCCAACTACTTCGCTCTGAGACCACAATACTGCAATTACTATCTCTTCACTCCTTTCTCATCATCTATCAAAAACCTATATGTAAAAACCCACGAGAAAAGATAGGAGAGTTCGTGATATGAATTTCACAGGATGGATTCATTTTACAGAGACTCTTCATTTTTCACCGGATTTCCAACTATATTTCATTTCCTCAGAGAATGTAAGTCTTTGATGGAAAAATAATTCTATACATTAATCCTTGCTTGAATACACTCTATAGCACCGAAGCACAACTCAGACATCTAATTAGATAGACTTCAAGTTCTGGAGAAACTTCATATATAGGACATAAAGTCAGGGATGATATACGTCGTCGTGAGCCAAATTTAATTTTTTTTTACCACTGATTTCAATTACTTCCGTCGTCACACAAGTTTAATGAGTCCTCCAAAAAAAGGAGGAAAGGAAAAAATATCTCCACAACTTTTGCAAACTGCACTGTGAGTTGGCAGAAAAATTCTTCCAGGAAAGGTAATTAAAAGTACATCAATATTCGGTACCATCTTCTTGTCGGGATAAAAGTCCTGCCGTGCAATTTAACTCCAGACATATTTGGAAAATTGAATTATCAAAAAGCTAGTTGGAAAGTAGAAAAATTCTACACCTTTTCTCCGCAATAAATTTGCATTCAATGTTTCGAAAAACTTTTCTTCCACATCAGGGTTTTTTTAAGCAAAAGCTTGCAATATGTTTCACAATAAATCACTCCCTCTTAAAAGAATTTATATGTTCATGTCGGAAAACTTTGTCTACAAAACTACCCAAACATTCTTCAGCATATGGAATTCTCACCACAAATGAACCATCGAATGGAGACTTCTATTTTATGACTCCAGATTCATTTCACAGATCAAAAGCACAAGCAATGAGAAACGCCCACTGAATTAAGATAATAAACGGCCAGATAATTAAGTAAATCCATTGTGAAAATAGCACAAAGTTCATTGGTGAAAATGTGCGGGCAAAGCAAAAACCATCTCGTTAAGCTGAAATTTTTCCCACTTCGCTTCACCTGGTCAAAGTGACACGATTTTGTCATTTGCAGAGACACATCAGCCCTGAATGTCCCATTTTTCTCTCCTCTGGAAAGCGGAAAACAAATTACCGACATTTCTCTTGATTTACCTGTCGTGTAAATAATACTAAAAATATCACGTCCAATCTCATTTACAAGTCCCTTCGTCCTTCTGCATAGGAAATATCTTGTGCACAGAATGAAAATGTTGCGATAAATTCACCCTGAAAGCAGAGGACAAACGATTGTTTGCTTCCTCGCCCAGTCAATTCAGCTGGGAAATCAAGTCACATTTTATCCATGGGCGAGCCACTAATTATTTTCCTTCCCCGCCAGTCAGTGAGAGTGTCCTATTTATCCACCTCACACCAGTCATCGTCAACAATACATAATTTGTCCGTCATTTCAGCTGATTTTCCACATCAGCAACATGTTAAGGCTTCTCCGTTCATCTCCACATGCCAGGCAACTTTAATTAAACTCATTTTGCTCTATTTTACGATTTTTCTTCTATTTCCATCTCAAATGTCGCTCCGAGTGCAAAAAAAGCGCCTCTCTCGACTGTGGAGAAAATGTTACAGTCGTTGATCTTTCAATTAGATACTTCCTGAGTTGGAAAAATAATACAACCTTCTTAATTCAATTAAGTAATTTGTAACGCATTTCACGCTTCACTACGCCCAATTGTCTCGTTTGCTATGAATGAAACTTTCGCAAGTCCAACATAAAAGATCTCAGTGGCCCTCTTTTCGCGACATGCCGCTTTAAACATCAATGAACAGTGAGAGACTCACCTATTATAGGGGAAAAAATTAACAAAAGAAGCCTGGCCACTTTCCCAGGGGATATTCAAGCTCGGTAAATTAATTAAGATGGTTTTTCTTTGCTGAATTTCCTGTAAAACGTGCCTCAAAGATTTCTTTAAAACGCTCCACTGACTCTCAAAGGATTCTTTCCGCTAGAGAAAACAATTGAAAAAAAAAGTATTTTTTCCTTCAAAATTGGGTTATCTAAACTTTCATTCAATTTAATTTAATTTATGATGTAACTTCTCTTTAGCCATGCCTTTATCATTACACTCAATGCACTTTATTCTAGCAGCAGACAATATGCTAATTCAACTCTGCAATCTTCAAAGCACTCTTTCCACTTCATAACATCATCACTGCAATATACAATCACGTTCTTTATTAACAAGCAGCACAGTGAACGCCAAAAGTGTATCATGAAAGAATCAATGCGACTCCTCGTGTAACGAGCGCGGAATCTATCAAAAAGCAACTTGCGAACTCGAAGCGTTCTATTGATTATGTTGAATTTCTCACCACTCTCCACTATCTCAGCATCATTATTTATTATTCACATAAATTCTCCCCTGCAGTTCTTCACCCACCCACAAAGTCAATAAACAATCCCATCCGTCTGGCATTTGACCTCTCCACACGCACTGAGAAAATTTCACTCTCTCCCTGGGAAATGCCTCAGTAAAAGCAAATATTCTGCGTAAGGAAAAACATATAGGAGAAGTGTAGGTAAAATGGAGACTGCGTATAGCAAACAAATTAACTGACAGAAACTAATATTAAAACATGACACTTCATCTCTATTTGCCAAAAAGAAAACCTATTTCCTGAGCAAACACCGCTTTGCAGTATCCATTAAAGCCATGCCTACCCTACACAGTGTTTACGATCGTGTGTAAGGTCAGAAAGAGTCAACAGAATCACACACCGAGCATTTTTCACACACTGAATACAGACATATTTAAATTGGCCAGATAACCTTGTGATACTTTATTGTTGAGCGCGCAAAATAAAAGCCTGAGTCTTGTATTGCTGAATCAATCAATTCCAATTCATAGCTCATTCTGTGGCTTCTTCGGCTCAAGCTTGAGGAATTACTCTATTCAATGTGTGGTTTTCTTGAGCAGATGCCCCAGAAATATCTCGCTTAATTGTGCCAACTGACAAACGTTTAATGACCCTGCGAGGCTTCGTTCTCTCTCTGGTTTTGGCCTATTGTGTGTTTTCCCTCCACCAACTAATTAGCATAAGACCGCTCCAGAGTTCACCAGTCATAAAAAGCGACCAAAAGAATAGCAGCGAGAGTGACGACAAAATACGAATGACGTGCTCAACGACTCATTTCCACCTCCGGATGGACAGTGACTCTTTTATTGTCTCCCTCCTTCCTTCCTTCCTGCCCACCCTCAACAGCTGCCTGGCAAAAGTATGCCTCTTGTTTCGGGAATAAACCTTGGCCAAGATCATGAGCCATGAATCACATTTCGTGGAATTGAATTGGACGAAATATTCACGACAGCATCGGAAAGGTGAAACCTTCGATGACGCCAAAACGTGACACATTAGCGACTTAAAGACATGCTGAGAATTGAAGAGAATGGAAGAAACTGTGCTCAAAATTAAATTGAATTGAGAATTTCGAGAAATTCCCAGACATTTACACAAATTAACCGAAATGTTTATTGAATCAAGAATCACAGCGTATCAAATTAGAATTTTTCTACTCAATTCCGCTCAATCAACTCGTGAAGGATTTTTCAATCATATCCAATTCTCAAAGAGTCACTAACTCAATCAGCCACAAAAGCAACACGTTTTCCATAGAGTGAACCCACCCGAAAATTTCTTCGTGAAATTGAAAACATCGCTATCTTCCTAAAATTAACATTCACTGTTTACAGATCCTCTTTAAACGCGAAGAGGGAGTGGAAAAAGAGCCACAATGTGTATTTGATTTTTGAAATGTGAAGTACAGCACACATTCTACGTCAAGAGACTGAATAATGAAGAAATACCATTTTGGCCAAATGGGAAAAAATTCTCAGCTTTGAGTGAAAAATGAGGATTGAAGGAAGATTAGCGAGAATTCACTGTTTATTTACCTTTAAGAGGCGAAATATTTTGTATTCACATTTATGAAAATTTCACAATTTCCACATGATTAATTCACACATTTTACTCACAGTTCTTATTATTCCGCATCTCAACAATAGCTTTTCACATTGCGTCCTCAATTGCGTGAAAAATCTATGAATTTGATTACTTTGTCAGAAAAATTTCTTATAAGGTTTCCTTACGACGAAACCCATCAAGCGAAATGATTCTTCTCCCTGAGGCGAGAAAATGAATTTTTCACAACTCTTCCAACTTCCTAAATACACTCAGAAGTTGTTTGTTCATCTCGAAGAACTCTTTCGTAAATTATTGTGTAAAAGAAAAACACAAAATTTAGGGATTAAACTCAAAGAAAACATTTTCATTTACACCCCTAAATTGGCCAATTCACACGCACAAAAATCAACGAGCTCAGCGAGAGAAGTCAGTCGGAAAATGCATGTGTGAATTTCACACGATGGACTCCCAAATTAGATCACGAGAACATTTTCCATCTTTCGAAAATGCGAGCCATTCGCCCGGTAATCTATTCCGGGGATTTGTGGTGAGCATCAGACGCATCCTCCTTTTCGTTAAGGCACTTTTGGATTTATTGCACTCAGAGTTGCTTAAACTACAAATGACAGATTGAAGATTACCACTCTTAATGGAAGAAATTTCACCTAAAAGCCTTTTAATTGAATCCAATAACTTTCATAAACGAATTCAATATTTCTAGAAAGCATTTTTACAAAAATTGATTTTTATTAGATCAATAAAGTTTAATTAAATTTCAACCAACAACGCAAAGTGAAGTTCCAAAAATATGATCAAAATTGAATTAGTGAAAATGAATTTTTAGGAAAATATTCATGACACATTAAATAAAAAATCCTGAACCAACATGAGGGGATATTCAATATTGTCACGTCCAATTTATTTGTAGATAAAAAAACACAATGAATAAGATAAATTTATACACTTTATATACTACGTGCTTAAATTGAATTATTTTTATCTCTCCAATGTTATCCATGTGTTTTCAGCGTAAAGCCCAAAGTTCAAGATACATCTTTAGACAATCGCTGCTCTATTTTCCTCTACAATGCAATAAAATATAGAAATTACATTCCCAGCAACAAAAACTACTAAATGTTATTATGTGATAATAATTGGTTGTCAAGAACTAATAAAATAAAATGACTGCAGAAATTGTTATATCAATTGATTCCTTATTGCAACAAGCCAATTGTATTTTTCAAACTATAAAAAAAACAAAGATGATTGAAGAATAACAATGTCATCAATCAATAGCCTTTTTATCTGTCTTTTTCTGAGTGCATTCTTCTTCAATTAGCTTTTATAGTTTTGTGCACCATTTAATCATTATTTTGGTCACAAAAAGCGCCTCTTAATCCACAGCACACTTTGTTGTGCAGACAAAGTATTTCACCACGAAAATATTCATTTAATGATCACTGAAAAATTCTCCATGACTCATACAATTAGCATAAATTTACAGTATTGCGTTGGACATTCTCCGTGATGACCACCAAGTAATTGACTTGAAATCACAGTCACCAGCGCACAATTCCATCCCTATCTTATCTATAACGTAATCCTCGGTCGCGTTTCTCCTACTCTGGGCAGAAGGAGAAATTTTCACCAAAAAGACAACTTTCTGTGGTTATTTCTGAGAAAGAGCAACGTCTTATCGCCTCTTGATAGAGTCCAATTAGAAATTGTAGCTGAAAAATTCGTCTAATTGGTCGATGTTGCTCTTCTGACTGGATATCAAGTGGAATATGATAGGGAAACGTGGCGAGAATCGAGAAATGGCATTTTTTTTTAAACTAAAGCAGCAACAAGTGGAGTGATAACGTGTTTCTCCCCACTGAAAGGCTTATCAGAGGAGGGAAATTCAGTTATCGCGAGAGTGGGCTGCTTTTCTACACACCGACCAGCTCAAATAACACAAATTCTCGAGGAATTTTTGGTAATATTTGAATAGCAAGTGAGTTGTTTCTGGGAATTTATCGATTTCCCTGACTTTTTTGTCGCCTCTCGAAGGCTGAAACGTGCGCTCACCAGTGAGTCATCTCACGGGTGATTGCGAAGAGGGAAATCCACCAGTTCCTCATCCCCTTTTCGCACTCCCTGACCCGAAATCCCCTTCTGTTTGCACTGGCGACAGGAGGGAAGTCTCTGTGGCGTCGCATCGACCCTCCCTTGTATTTTTTATGTCTTGTTCTCTATATAGGGGAGTAGATTTTGCGGAAGACAAGAGCGAATAACCTCACAAACAGCAACCAAATTGTGGCAATCTAACAATCTACCTTCTTCAAACTTGTTTGTTCCTCCTCGTTGGCTGCCAATGCAGGAAACTCTCACTTTTTCACATCCACTCGCACTATTTTCTCGCCCTTCCGGAACGATTAACGCACAAAAACACAGCAAAAAGAGCGGGGAAATCCCTTCACAGTTCTTCCTCTGAATCCTGCAGCAAGATTCACTGTGCGTATTGTCCAGTCGTCTTGCGTGAGGGCGATGGTATCCAAAGCAGTGGCACTTCTATAAATATCCACTTGAACTATTCAGTAAATTGACCGCGATAGTCTTTCACACGAGCAACCATTCGAAACTGCGGGCTTCGTTTTTACTCCAACGACGACGACGGAAGGTTGACGTGTTTTGTGCACGAAATCTCCCACCATCTATCCCACTCTCTTATCGACGGACTCTCAGCTCGCCACCACTATATTTATGCACATGACGTCAGCCCGTGATATCATTCAGCGCTTGCAAATTTTTAATTCAACTGCACACAGCGAAAACCAACGCACGAGTTTGCTTCGCAGAAAAAAACTGACACCAAAACAGAGCGAGCGCCAACTCGCGGAAAAAGATATCAACTATGCTGCCAGAGTATATTTTTGAAATATTTTGAACGTTAAATGTGACTGTGTAGAGTAATGGAATAAATTACATATTAGTTTCTATGCTAGCACTGCAGGAAGCGTTTTCAGGCAACTCTAGATGTGCGGACTGGATGACGTGATGGTGATCGAGGGATTCTGCGGAATGGGCGTCTTCTTGTCCGCCTCCTCAAACTCGTCCAGCTGATTCATCCGCAACTCATTCAGAGTCGCCGCAAATTTGGTCCACTCGTCCATCCGCGGATTGGCCACGTGCTCAGCCACATCGTACACATATATCCTTCCATCCACATCACCCACCGTCACATGCTGTCCGGTGGGGCTCCACGAGAGTCTGTTGAGGGCCGGAGCAGCGTCCACCACTATTGACGCTGTCGGGACCTCAGTGTCCTGATTCAGATTCCACAAGTCCAGTCGCCCATCCCCATCGATGCTGGCAAACAAAGCCGGATGAATTGGAGACCACGCCACGTCCATCACATAATCCGAATTATCCTCGAACGAGTACAACGGCTTGTTCTCCTTCAGACTCCACAACTTTATCGTCCAGTCCATCGATGAGGTGATGAACAGATGGCCAAAATCTGGACTCGACTGGTTGTAGTGCGTCGAGATGCCTGTCACCGGCCCGAGGTGCTTCTCGTAAATCTCACTGATACCCGCACGATTCCCATGGCGTGACGCAGAGTACACGAATCCATCCTCACTGCCCACGACAAAGTTGTTGATCTCCCCATTGGGGAACGCCATGCACGTCACAGCGATAGACTTCGCCTGCTTGTGCGTCAGCTCAAGAGTATCCTGCGGCATAGAGAGCATATCCAAGCTCCAGGAGCACAACTTCCCATCCGTCGATATCGAGATGACATTGTGGGCATTCTGCGAGCCCACCATCGACAGCGAGAACACTGGATGCGTGTGAGCTGTGGCACTGAGCGGTGTCCTCTGGATGGGAGTCCTCTTCTGCACACGATTGTCCCACAGGACAATTTGACCAGAATATGTGCCACCCAGAATGAGATTGGGATGAAATTTGGCAAAGCACGCTGACATTACGGCACTTTGACAGTGGAATACATCCTCAGGCGTCTTCTTCTTGAACTTGGTATTCCACACAGCCACCACGCCGTCAGGCTCATTGTGTCCCTCATCATTGTTATGATAGGACGCCACCAGAAGCTCTGGGAAGTGAGTAGACCAATCCATGGAAGTCACACAGCGATTCTTCGACCAGCGATCACAATAGAAAGTGCGATTCAACGAGAGTCGAGCATGAGATTTCTCATCCCTGCAAGGAGAATAACATTGAAGGGAACATTGCTAGCGAGATGTTGTGTTTCACTACTCACGTGGACTCATCTGTATCGCCTCCTCCCACGTAGTCCTTGTAGATGTCAATGCTCTCAGACAAAGCACGTTCCATGATTCTTCCACTCCTGAGTACAAATCTCTGGAACTCCTCAGAGAGAATTATCATCTGCTTCTGTTCCTCAGACAGCTCGACAACTGTGCAGAAAAAAGGAAGAGAGATTAGAGGAAGAGAAAATAATTCCGAGAGATGTTCTTCTCTGCTCACCTTCCTTCTTCTCCTCCACTTCCTTCTTCTGCTGCTCCTGCGGCGTGACAGCCGGAGCCACTTCGCCGACCCTGGGAAGTCCATGGGGCAGAATTCCGGGTGGCAACTTGGAGTGGAATCCATGATCGATGTGTGGCAGAGAACTTTCCTCATCGTCTCCTTGGGCATCACCAAAAGTAAGCACTGTGTGAGTAAAAAACTAACGAGACTAGACACAAAACACATCCAAGCACAACTCAGACTACCCCACACAAAAAATGCTTTACTTCCTTATTGAAAAAAAGAACAACAACAATGACAAGGGAAGTATAGAAATTGAAAAAAAAACTCTTTATAATTACTCAATTTGAAAAGATAATTTTGCAAAAAAAAAGTGATTTGACCCGATTAAACAGATCATGCAACTTCACAGCTTTATTTTATCACTTTTCAACACCTCTTCTTGATCATATCAAATCCAAATAGTGAAATAAGATAAACCATAAGACACTTAAACATGCTGAAAACGCACAGAAGATGCAAAAGAAATGCGAGCTTCACACTTTTTCATGGAATTCCAAACTGATCTTCAGGTAATCTTGATCGTGATCGCATTTCTTGGCGCTCTTCCATACAATTCACGTGCAACATGAAATAAAAAAAACATAGTCTTTTTTTTGTACATGAGAGTAAATGGTGAGAAATTTTCTTCATATTGAACTTGATGGGTATATAAAGTCTTATTCATTTGGAAAAATAGAAAGAAAAATCTCACGATCGCTTATAAATTCAATTTCTCCACCCAATTCTTTTGTCTCTCGACTCTATGGAATAATTTCTCTCTTCTTCTTCTTACACGCTAGAGACAAGTGAACTAAGAAAAGTCCCCCAAAAATGCACCACAGAGAGAAAATATATTAGTAACAAATTGTTAGTACAAGAGTTGTTAAAAGCATCGATCGTTAGATTGTAAAAGAACTCTCCTTCCCACCGATAATATTCCCTCAGTAAATATTGCCTCAACATTCACGCAACATTCTCACTGTCACACATTCTACTGCTATTCTTCTATTAACCATTATTCTTTACTTAATAATTAGAATTTTTGTTCAACTAGCTTTTAACAATTACTGGAATTATTTACACAAAAAAGAGCAAGGAATAGGCAGAAAGAAATTTTACAAATGAGTGTTTTCTTGCTCTGTTTTTTTTTTAATCGCTTGATTTTCTTTTATTTTACCTACCTGTAAATTCATCCTCCCACTCTAAACCGGGATTTAGATTGTATTCGTCTTGAAATGAAAAGAAATTCTTCCTTTACTTCAACTGGTATTTTGCAAACTCTTGTGTGTGGTTTTCGTGTTATTATTTATTAATTTTTCTTCTATTGCAATGCAGGAAAGAAACAAATAATAAAGAAGATAAAAAGAAAAGGAAACGATAAAGATTAATAAGAAAATTATGAAGGAGTGTTGTGTAAGAAATAAAGGAAACATTAACTTCATCTACAGCTTATTTTTTCCTTATACTTCTTCTCGACTAAAATTATGTGAAAGATCAAAATTCAATCAATAAATATAAATAAGAGATAAATCAACAGTCATTCATTCATTGAGCCACAGAGAGACAAACATTTTTTGCATCTAAAATTTACCAAAAAGAAAAGATACAATATTTGCCAAAAAAATTATTTGCGGTGAAAAGGACAATTTTGCAAATTGAAAATTACATTATTATTCAAACTAAGACAAAAAAAACGCATTAGAAGTCATGCAAATTCTGCACCAAATTAAAATTAATCTCTCACAAAGAGATAAAACGACAAATACAGAAAAACGAGGCGCATTTTTTAAAACACTTCTTGCATTTTACCATTCATGCAAAAATGACAAAACAATAAACGATAAATCATAATATGTAAAACAAAGTTCCTCTTGGGTGTAAATTCTTTTTTTTTGTAAATAAAAGTGGGTGGAGAAATTAAATAAATTTTGAGAATCTTAACTAAATTCTCCATGGAAATATTGCTATGAAAAAAAAATTCCAGAGAAAAAAACTCAAATAAAGCTGCGACTCTTATGCACAAATATAAGATTTAATAAAACAGACATTATTCTTACGCAGTAAATTGAACAATTAGACACTTACCGTAATAATCAGTGGCGTGAGCTGAAAAGAGGGAGGAAAGAGAAAAAGAACTTCCATGAGAAATTGCTCAGGCATTAAAATTATTATAGTTTCAGAGCCTAATTTGAGAGAGTTCTTCTGAGAAAACTTAATACTAAGTGCGTCCTTTGCATTTCATCATTTTTTTTCTGGTCTTCCATACATTGAATTTACCTTTTCTTGGACGCCACCAATCCTCCATATATCCTGATAATGGTGAGGAGTGGCAAGAAAGAACTGTATTCGTTATTCGTTACTTCATTTATATCATCTTTAATGTGATTTGCAACACATTTGCGACAAGGCAAACATCTCTTTGCGTGGAGACACAGACAGAAAGAGGAGATATACACACAAATGTCCTAAAGATGTGTTCTTTTGAGGCAGAAATGAATGATTTTGCGATGTTTTCACTGACAAGGTGACCACTGTCAATTCATCTTTAGGGTTTAGTATCCCAAGAAGAAACTTCCTTGGTCACCGTGCAGTCTTGTGTGAATACATATATGATGTAATATCATCTAATAAGTCTTCTAGGGTGCACTATAGTGAGGGAAGATTACTTCTCCCCAACCCACTGGCTGTAGATTTATCATCTGCGCGAATGGGAATTTGAAAGCCTGTCGACTCTGAGCGTCACAGCGAAATCCAGTGGGTTTGAGAAAATCGATTGGGTGGCAGTTACAGTGTGGGATAGGGAGCTTTGTTCAAGAGACACTCACCATCTCTCTCGTGTCCTCCGGAACTGTTGGTCTGCGTCTGCTTCGTGTACACAACAGTTTCCTTCGGCGGGATGTTAGTCGTCTGCACCGCCACCACGCTCAAGTTCACGGGCTTCCGGTTCTTCAGACTCGCCGTCTGGCCATTGAGGCTGGTGGGCTGCAAGCTCCCGTCCGGCGTGTGCGTAGCGGAAGTGTCAGAGGCAGCAGAATTCACCGAGGAGAGCGAAGACAGAACTTCAGACACTGGAGCTACGCCCAGAGAAGACAACATCTCGTCCAAATCTCTGCAGAAAAAATAACATCCTCAGCATTAGCGGGTGCTCCCACGCAAAACATTGTCTGCTATATACCTTCTGTTGTCTTTTTCATGTCCAGAACCCAGTCTTCCGGCCGCTTCCTCCATGTCTTTTTGCTCTTTTTCGCGCCGTCGCCGGTCCTTCTCCTCCCTCATAGCGGCCAACTTGGCCTTCTTTCTCTCCAACTCCGCCTTCCTGTCCATGTTTCACCGACACTTGGCTCCTTGCCTCCTCTTCAAATGCGAAAATACTGCAAAAAAGAACCCATCATCAGCTTCCGGAATACGGTAAAGAATTTGATGATGTCATCAATCGCTCAATAGAACGGATAAGAATATCTCCAATTCTCCCTCAATATTTCACCCTCAGCACATTTGAGCTACTCAACCAAATGAAAATACTGAAAATCGTCCAAGAATCCAACAACAAAGGTTGCATAGGAGGAAAACTGGGTGTGCATCGAGGAAAAATCAATAGCGAGGGAGTGCAAAGTGTGTCGCCCAGAAACTCAGAAGCCCACTAATTTTCTAACTAACCAACACCTGCATTACCTAATATAGAGGATAAATTTACAGATAACACATCACTTTGGGTCTACAAGTTAGGTTTTCACAGAAAATTTCCACAGAGAAAATCAACGAGAAATTCCACCCAGCGCCATTTAATTTTTTCTCCGAAACTGCGCCCCAAACTTCACAGCATCTGACAGCATCGAGAGGGCGCTGCAGTTGGGAAGCGTGAAAATCTACCGCCAAAAAGTACCATTGCCTTTTTGACAGCATAGTTTTGTTTGCGCTTGGTTTTCCTCGTTTTATTCATGGTTTATCAATGTAGACATGGAAAGTGTGGGAAAAACAAAGTTAGTGGATGCCGTGCCGAACTCCGAAATAGCGAGACTTGTGCTGGGTGAGGAAATACCCTGAGTGAAAGGGTGGAATGAGGTCAGCAACATTCATTTTTTTCTTCTCTTCCCTTTGGGAATAGGATATCTCCTGGAAGTGAGCCCCGAGACGGTATATCTGGAGTTTGCGAGGACAAATCAATACCTCCGAGATGAACACCAGCTCCTCCAGAACGGTTGCAAGCCAACATACTTCATAAGCCTCGTGCACATCATCAAGGAGTTCTATGAGATGAAGCTGCTTGGTAAGCCTACATATTTCTTCCGCGTGCTTATAATCGATAGCTTTGTTTATATATATTCACAGTTATGCGCTTTCATCAGCAAAGTGGGATGCTCGAGGGTAGTATATCTTTAGTGCAGAACCTGAAGACGATTTTGGGCATTCAGAGTGCGAAGAAGAGTCGCCCAGTGAAGAGACGCTTCTCTGGCGTCAAGAGAGGCATTATTCTCGACAAATCCTCAGACAGCTCTGATTGCGAGATTGATTCGAAGAGGGGCAGGTACACTGACTCTTCTCCAACGCCTTCCTACGTTCTGAATGAGGCCAATGAGCTGATTCCAGAAGAGGAGCGTATCAGGGAATGTCCGAACTTGGAGACAGCCCCGCGTCCGGACACGAGTTGCTCCACTGCTTTAGGTTTAGAGAGAAAAGCTGTGCCTAGAGTGCAAAATCTGCGCGATAACACTCCGCACTCTTCCCAGGGAGATGGACAGACAGAACAGGTAGAGAAATCACCACAAGTGCCGTTGAAGCAGAGACTGAGGAAGCAAACGAAGAAGCCTGAAATGTACAGTGAGAAACCACAAGAGAAGAAAGTCACGCGGAAGAATAAGATAAATATCATATCAGATGAGAAATTGCCCACCATTGAAGCACCGGCATCTTCAATGGGGACCTTGGCTGCTCCTCTGCCAAGTATTCTTCCCACCAACTCATGGTTCCTGCCCACGATGGGATCTCAAAATTACGTATTTTTCTCTACATCAGACGTCCTACAGCAACCCATGAGCCAGCCCATCCTCAACTTTCCAGTCCAGACACAACAGCCTGCACTCAATTCGGGACAATTGATGGAGGTTCCAGCGCAGATACTTCCTGAGGAGGTGAACTCCTGTCCATCAGTATTGGAGGGAGTGCAGTCGACACCAAAGAACACCGAAATGCCGCCTATACAGTTTAAGAGTCAATCAACTCCACGTCGTCTTGGTTCCCACGTGCGCTTCCTGAATTTTAACACGCCCAGTGGAAAATTACAACACTTTGGCAGTCCCATTGTGACCACGTCGAATGCAGCAGACGCTGAGGATGGCGCCAAGACGCCCCATGTGAGGAAAAATGCCAAGACATGCGCTCGAGTGCTGTCCACTGCTGCAGAGGCTCCTCAGGAGACCATTGATGAACAGATGAAGGAGTGGTTGACACTGAGATCGACGTCAAAGTCCAATCAGTGGGATCAGCATATCAGACAAGTGGAGCGTGAGAAGGAAATTGCGGGTAAGATAAAGAAAACGCCGCGGACAGTGAAAAAGAAATGCAAAACCCGGTCAAGCTTGAACATAAAGGCTCAGATGTTGGAGGATGCCTTGAGGAGTGCCAAGAAGCAGCCACCGGCACCGCCGGAGGAAGTGAAAGAAGTGGAACTATCTGAAAGACTGTCAGGCATTTCAGATGGTGATATAGTGGATAAATTCTTCCCGAATCTGTCGCAGACGCCTCAAAAGGAGACCGAAGGTGAAGATCCACAGAATACCAGCCAAAAGGAGACCGCTCTCATAATAGATCTCGAAGCGGCCACAGTTCAGGCGTCAGCGGAGCCACAGCAGTCCGAAGGAGAGAGGAGCGCTGACAAAATCCTTAGTATGTCAATGTTGCTGGATACACCATTTAAGGATGAGATTTTAGGACAATTTCCCACCACGCCGCGCTTCCTTGTGCCACTGACAACTCCGGCATTGAAACCTCCGGTCGGAAGTGCGCCAGAAACAGCGATCAAGATTGCTGAACTCACGACGCCCTCCTTTGCTATCACGCCTGGCGCGAAGATGACTCCAGAGCGAGAGAGTCCTCAGATTGGACCCTGCAACCGGCCCACAGACTACTCTTCCAGCAGTTCCTACTACAAGCCCGATGAGTCTGAAGACACTGACCACAAGATTGAGAGTATGATCAAAGCGCGCAGAAATCGACGGGAAAGTGAGAGGTGTGATGAAGGACTTTCTCAACTGGCACAAATGCATGTTCTTTTGACAAAGACGCCCGTAAAGCCGGACAATCCCGTCATTTTGGAACGCATGAAGTCCTTCACGGAGGAAACGACTGATCTTCACTACAATTTTGCAATTGGAGAGATTGGAGAAGATGTGCCAATTGAAATTCTCGAGAAGTCAACAAGCGAATCATCATCTAGCAGTTCATCATCTGACGACAGCTCATCTTCCTCATCGTCGTCGTCTTCGTCCAGTGAGGAAAATGATGATGAGGACAACGATAAGAATTGGGTGTCTCCAGAGATTGAAGCAGCGATGCCAAAAGATAAAGTTTCGCAGTTAGTCAGCGAGACAGGAGAGATTCGCTTTCCACTGAGGAATTGGATGACACCCAAGAAGAGCGCTGAAGAAGTCGTGAGTCCTGAGATTCCGAAGCCTGAAGAGAAGAAAGCTGCGCCAGAAATTGAGCGGCCAGATAATATGACAAGTGAATTGAATGAGAAACGCTTAAGAATTATTGAGAAGATGAAACAGGATAAGCCACCACCAGCCAGGACACAGGGCAGAAAACGCGTCCCTGCCAAGAATACTCGAGTGACGAAGCCGCTACAATCGTCAACAGTTGGAAGCTCTCCATCTAAGAGGAAGGCCGCAACGCCCAGGAAGTGTGTCCGAGTGTCTTCGGCGAAGCCCAGGCAAAGTCGTGTCACGAAAGAGATTTGCAAGCCTCCTGAGCCAGCAGTGGCGGAAAAAGTTGCGGAAGAGAAGAAGGAAGTTGTGTCCAAGGCGACTGGACTCAAGGGATATACAATCCCGAAGAAGATGCAAAATCTTACTAAAAAGACATCTTTTTACCACGAAGTTTACGCGTCTTCGTCCGATGAAGAGAACAGTCCGAAATCTCAGGGACAAGTGGAGGAAGTTAGGCAGGAAAAGCCTAAACAGTCAATTCTAAGTATGATGGTAAATTCACCGATGAAAGCTGAAGCTGACGACTCGAAGGCATCTTCAGAGGCTACTTTCCCGCCGACACAGAGCGCTAAACCTGTCCAAGAATGCCAGGAAGAGGCAAAAGCCACTCAGAGTGTTCAGAAGGAAACTGAGGAGGGAGAAATCGAGGATAGCGATGAGGAAAATGAGAAATTCACTCTTGAAACCACGGACAAAGTAATAGAAATGCGCCAAGATTCCTCCACGAAGCCTCCGAATTTCCGACTTGAAGACTTTAATGCTGACGCAATGGTGATGAAGATCATTCTCGAGGACAAATCTCACTTCCAATTGAGTCTCTGCGATGCTGTGAACATCTATGATGTCCGCCCTCAAAGAAAGAGCAAGATCGTTGATAAGAAACCGACGAAGAGGAAGAAATCATCCAGTTCGACGCCTGAAAAGCCTTCAGAGCCGACAAGTGCGACTGAAGGTGCAAGCAAAAAGTCAATGAAGCCAAAAATCAACCTCAAGTACAAAGACTCGACGGAGAATCCGAAGAATTTGTGAGTAAATGTTGGTCTTTTCTTGCAATATTGTCTCAGAATAATTTGTAATGGATGTACTTTTGGTGTTTCAGAACTCCTGCTGTGAACAAAAATGCATCTTCTTCAGCCTCAAAGGGCAGATCGCTGCCGAAAGTACCTCAAAATCAAATTGACGTCGTTCTGGCGCACATTCACGGTTCCGAGAGGAAGTGAAAAGTCGTAAAGATGTTCTAGAAAATATTTCCATCTCTATTCGTTCATAAAGTATAATAAAGTGAATTATTAGAGTTTCTTGAAGAAGTCCACGATCTTAGGTTGGTTCTTAGGCGGAGCCAGGATATTCACCACCACCGGCGGTGGTTTGGTTTTACTGGGATTCTCTCGAGCGAAGTACTCATCGAGGCAGTCCACGAGGGATGGCGTTTGATCCTCTGGATCCGTGCCGGAGACATTCCTAGGTGATCTAGAGCTCTGCGGTATCGCGGGATCGCGAAATTTCCGATAGATGTAGTCATAGAGACTGTATCCTGCCATTTTCTTCCTGCTAAACTCGCATAGGCATCGATAGATGTCTTGCACAGTGAGTTTCCGTTCCACCAGAAAGCCAAACATCTCGTCAATGTCACTCTTGAGGACGCAATCGCCAAAAGTGAAGTACACCAGGTCTCTCTTGGTAAGAGTACACACCATTATCTGCAGCAGGGACTTCAGTTTCGAGTCCCCATTGAAGGCGCCGCAGCCCCAGTTGCCAGACGCCACGGCGGCAAATGGTTTGTCCCTCTCCGACGGCAGGAATCCCACATAAGCTTTGTTCAGCTCCCTCAGCATCAACTTAGCTTGATACTGCTGCGCTTCCTCGGCAAAGTGGAGCGCGTCAATGGCCACAATGTGGCATTTCCGCCGCCCACACTCGTCCCTCGGCGTGTCATCGATGTGATTACCTTTCCACGTGAAACTTCCTGCATAGCCTGAATACTCACTGAATTGTTCAGCCCCGATCACATGTAGAGCCTCAGTTTTGTCCAGCGCCTCAGTGAAGAGCCGAGAGATCAGCAATTCGGGACAGATGACGAAGCGAATCTCCTCCTGAACACAGCCTGAGCCCAGAACACCTCCTCCAACGAATTTGTTCGCAAAGTCCACTTGAAGAAGACCCTTGCCATTATCCTCAATGGTCCCATCCGTTCTCACATCCACCTTCACTGCCTCAAAGGGCGCATCTGCCAAATCCCACCGCGGCATGAGGCGAGGATCCACGAATCTGCGGGAGAATGTGATCACTCCTGTGGGCATTTTGCTGAAGATACGCTTGAAGTAGTGACAAATGCACTTAATCTTTTCCAGACACCGCGCTTCTGTGCTCGCAAAGAGTCTGTTGAAGTTAATGTCTGGATAGTTCCCATACTCTGACTCCCACTTCAAGGTGTTCCTCCGCGGAAAGGTGCAGAGGAAGGCATTTGCAACCAGGCATGCAACCTGCTCTTGACTCAGGCTTATCGAGTGATTTCGGCCTTGCTTCAGCAGTGGAATACCACCGGGAATCAGTTGGGGCAATTTCAGAGCCAAATCCATGATCTTCGGCAGCATAACTGTGAAGAATGTCTCAGAATCTTCCTCATCGCCTTTGTCAAACAGACTATGGAGTCCCCGAAACGACCAGGATCTCGCGTATTTGTTGTTATACGACAGGATGGCCGTTTCTAGCTCTCGACTGGATTTTATAGGTGGCTGCAGAGCTGTCCGGATCAAATCCCACCTGCTGACAACATCAGAAGTGCCGTCAGACTAAAAGGAAGAATTCCACAACATTAAGTATTCTCTCTCCTCTGCATTCCACTTAATAACGCTTACCTTTTTCAGCGGGTACTGGCTCATGTTACTGCAGGGCATCCGGACATGATCTGAATCCCACCTGGGGGCGCTTCTTCGGGGCACTGGAGGCTGATTTGACTGCACAATAGGAACATTGTACAGCACTGTATGGTTTCCGGTTGGATAAACAGGTGGCCAGTACTGAAAATCCATACAAAATTAACATAGATCGTAGCTACGGTACTCTCGTTCCACTTACGCTTTTCGCAAAAATATCCCCATTTCCTTGCGTTTCTCTATCACAATTCGTATCACTCGCGGACATTGCTGTGACTCTATGTTTACAATTGAAGCTTCTGCTGTCACTTGTGTAGAGGCGCGGTGATCGAAATTTCGCTCGTGTGGCGCTAGGATCGCTAGAGGGGCGAGTGACAGCTCTGAAAAAATTTTGCCCACATATTTTGGTTGATTTTTACGCAGGGAAAATGTCTGGCCTTCCCTCAGGCATACTCTCGCACACGCGGAAGGTGCAGAGTTTATACAAGAGATCCCTGAGGAACTTGGAGTCCTGGTATGATAGGAGGTAAGTCGTGAAAAGCTGTGCTTATGTAATTTCCACGAATGAAAACAATGTCCGTCTGATGTCTCTCCTTGATATATTTTAGGAATGCTTTCCGCTATCAAGCCACTCTGTTGAGGGCAAGATTTGACAAGAATCGCGACATTAAGGATATGCGAGTGGCCAGAGATTTGATAGTGGAGGGAGAGAGGGAACTATTTGATAAACAGCACTACCAGCCGCAGAAGTGTAAGCAAATGATAATGCGACTAACATTTTTGGATATTATGTGTATCTCCCTGATTCCTTGCAGTTGCTGGAAGTCCTGGAGGATGTGCTTATGAGCGTGAGGTTATCCCGCCGGATTGGGTGCTGGACTACTGGCATCCGCTGGAGAAAGCCCAGTATCCGGAGTACTTTGCTCGCCGCGAACAGCGCAAGAAGGAATACGTGGAATGGTGGGAAAAGAAGTACGGAAAGCCCACGGCTGATGGGGCTCACCACTAGAGCAATATGTGAAGTAAATATCTAGCAAGTTGTACCACTAAATCATCTGTTTTGCGCTGGGATATCAGGAGTTTTCTTGTGGGTCAATTGCAAGGGTGGAAAATCTGGTCGAAAGTCCTCCTCCATCGACATATTTTGAAATTCGCCATCCGTTGAGTGTGAAAATCCCCAATTAGTGGAATTGAGGATTTATTCCCTCATTTCCCATTCAAATTTGCGTTGGCGGACGCACACAGAGGGGCTCCGTGAGGCACACAATGCACAGGCGGAGGAATGCGAAAAGGCACATTTCGCCAATTGAGATAAATTGAGCAAAGATGGGTGCACAATTGCCTCGCATCTTCTCGCAATCTATTGAATTGGTGTCAAACAAATCAATAGAGCCGCGCGGAACACCCTGTACCATGCACGAATTCATTAAAGACACTTCCCGAGATATGAAATTTCAGTCAGTATTTATCATTCGTGCGAGATAGCCAAGATAGGCGAGCGTGTACGCAATTCCCAGTGAAAAAGTTTGTGTCTTAAAGTGGAAAAGGTGGTGGAAAGTGCAGGAAATGGTTCGTGATCGCCTTCAGGAGTTGAAATCTGTGAGTGAACGAGTGAATCTTGGCCCTGAGATATATTTTACACTCAATCTTGGGACATTTCATTTGCAGAATTCACCTTATCGCGACGATGACGACATAGGATTAGATATCGATGTGACAACAAACTTGGAGAATGATATTGAGAGTGTGTTGAATGAGGTAGAGTATTTGGCCACTTGATGAGAGACTGGCAGATGAAACTCCCACATGGTATCATGGTAATAAAGCATTTGCCAGCCTCTCGGCTCTAAATATTTCATGCTAATTAGGGAGAAAAATTGCTGAGCGTGATGGAATAGTTTGCAGACGCGCGACGAATTGTTCAGGAAATCCGCGGGAATACGAAGTCCATGCAGAAGCTCGAGAGTGAAATTGCAAATCGCGTTCCTACGCCTCAGGGAGCGATGGAGGAGTTCGAGGAGCGTCGAGAGGCGAACATGCTGCTCTGCCAGAATGTCTACAACAAGATGAAGAAGCTGGAAGCCACGCTGCCCTTCAAGGATGACTTTAAAGCCATCTCCAGGATTAAGAGATATCATTTCCACTTTGTCAGAGAGGAGTTTATCGACGCTTGGAACGAGCACGAAGCTTTCCTTGTAGAATATGAGGAGAGGATCAAAAGGATTCTGAAGAAGCAGGCCAGAATAGGTGACATTTTATCACATAAATTCTTTTTAAAACTCTAGACTTCTTATGTGCGCATTCATTTCAGTTAATGCTTCCGCTGACGAGGAGGAAATCGAGAGTTTAATAACGGAGAAGAAGACTTCACTCTTTGTAGCAAATGTGAGATGCATTTTATCACTAAAATAATTGAATTTTCCTACAATTTTCATCATTTGCCACAGATTGTTCAAGAGACTGAATTGGCGCGAAGACAGTTACAGGATATTACACAGAGGCAAATCGAGTTGGAAAAAATTGAGAAGTCTCTAGTGGAAGTGAGAGACATGTTCTTGAGAATATCCACTCTGGTGATGGAACAGGTGAGTTGGAAAATTGTTTTTCCCAACATTTTCCGAAATATGTTGTTTCACATTTCAGAGCGCCAGAATTCAAGTCATCGAATTTCACGCCCAACAAACGGGCATAAATGTGGAAAAGGGCGGCGAGAATCTCGGGAAGGCACGCGAGCTGAAAATCAAGACGCTGAAGAAGAAAACTTGCCTTCTAATATGGTTGGCCGTCGCTCTAACTATTATTATTTTGATTTTAATAATATTTTGATGATTTTGATAGTCAAAAAATGTCGCCTTTGAATTTTCGACGAGATTATGTTTGTATGCTGTGACCGCTTGGAGGCGCTGTTGATCAGAAGGAGAGCTGTCAATACGAATATGGCGTGAGTGTTGGAAAACGGTCAATTAGAGGAGTTCTGAGAGAAAATCTAATTTATTGCACTAGTTGTGTGCTATTTTGTGTGAAAATCATTAGAAACTATCGAGTAGTTGGTGATCTGTTCGGATCTTGTGGAGAAATTAAAACATTCTCGGAAAAAAGTGAGTAAATTGAAGGAACCAATTAGTTGGCGTGGCGTCAGGGTGTAATTTTGTTCTGCAGACGGAGAATCTTGTCTGAAAAATGTCTGATCAGCCTGATCTGTCGATACTGGCGTTATTTGATGACCTCACGCGATGTACTTCCGTTCTGACCGATGGGGCGTCGGATGAGGTGTTTCTGGCCTTCCTGAAGTCCTATCGGGACATCAAGAAAGCCTTCTGTCACGGCACAGAAGAGATTCAGCGCTTGCGACAAGAGTTGGACGAAGCCCTCAACACAATTTCTGACCTGGAAACCAAGCTGAATAATGCTCGGCGTCTGCACGACTTGGAGAGCCGGATGCGGAAGAAGGCGGAGAATGAGCGCGACGATTTGGAGCGAAAGATGCGAATTTGCCGGGATCTTCTCTGGAAAGACGGCGAGGCTCGCGATGATGAGACTCGCAGCAAGCTCGCCTTTCTCAACTCGCCCCGTCGACAGAGGTCTTTCTTCGGAGAGCACACAATCGACGAGGAGGAAGTGAGGCGCGTTGGCTACGGGAACACCACTGGATCCCTCCTGTCGGACTTGTCCGTGACGGTGTCGGAGGAGGACTTTCTGGAGCCGCAGAGGGCCCAGAAGAGGTCAAAGTCGCGTCGGTCGGAAGCAAATGCGTCGCTCGGAAAGCGCTTCCGCCTCAGCTCAGACGCCAGGCGTCGCAGCTCGCATCGCGCTATGGAAATCGATTCCACGGATAAGATTGTTGCTTCCACGAAGGTCACCGTGCCCCAAAGTGGTGATGGTCCTATCGTGGCGGAGTCCGTAATTGAGGCGAGACCTTCGAATGACGCACAGGAGAAGCAAGAGCCCGAGGAAATATTCTTCACGCCGAAGACGGGGTGCGTTTTGTATTTGAAAAACACAGTGATGAAAATGGTATTTTAATGTATTTCTCTTATCAAACAGGAAGTCTCCAAAGCGACGGGTGAAGCCGACGGCTCCGAGCGCTCCGCCAATGGAGGATCTCACTTCGTTGGATGATGTGGGCAGCGGAGGTGGGCGCAAGGATCGCGAGGAGGTGGTCTACGCTACCGTTCACAAGCCAGCCACGCCGTCGAGTGTTCAGCGTCAGCACAACTATTGCACAAAGACGGTCATTGTCAACGAAACATGCGCTCACTGTGGCAAGAAGATCCACTTCGCCTCGCTGGCGTACAAATGCAAGGACTGCCGCGTGTTCATCCACGCGTCCTGCAGCAAGGACTACGTCATGTGCTGCGTGGCACCGCCGGCGGGAGGATCGGGCGTGCGTGACGGCAAGCGCACCATCGCCAACTATGCCTCTGTGCAGGGGCCCATGGTGCCCGCTCTCATCGTGCACTGCGTGAGCGAGATCGAGAGGCGCGGTCTGACCGAGGTGGGCATCTACAGAATCTCCGGATCGGACAAGGAGGTGAAGGCGCTCAAGGAGAAGTTCATGCGCGGCAAGGGAGTGCCCCAGATCAATAATGTGGACGTCCACGTCTTGTGCAGCACCATCAAGGACTTCCTGCGCTCACTGCCAGAGCCTCTGATCCCGCGATCGCAGTGGAATGAGTTCTCCAATGCTATTCAGAGTGCCGGCCGAGAAGCGGTGCACGCGAAGATCTTCGAGGCGATTGAGCGAATGCCACAGGCCAACAGGGATACACTTGCCTTCCTCATTCAGCACTTCCAGCGTGTCGCTCAGGTGTCCGAGGTGAAGATGCCAATCGGCAACCTTGCCAAGGTTTTCGCGCCTACAATCATGGGAGACTCGGATCTCAACAACTACCACGCTTACCTCGCCGTGATCAACATCCAAGTGAACGTGATGGAGACTCTGCTGTCCATTCCCACAGAGTACTGGATGCGATTCGTCATGTACGACTCCTCGGCCGATGAGTTGCCCAAGAAGACGCCCTCGAAGTACGCCGTGTCGCCCGTGCGCAAGCCGCGCAAGGAGAAGTATTATGATACACCGCCTTATGGTCCCAAGAAAAAGTAACATGTGCGCGTGTGTTAAAAATTTCATTCTTCGGACAAAATATGCTTAAATCATCCTTATCCACGTTATCCACACGATTTTTGCGTCATAAATTAAATGAAGATGCCCAATATGTGATGTTCTACGCGAATTTGTACACGTAATCAATGCTGGAGTCCACGTGATTATTCTCCTCACTCACAGGACTCTTTGTCCGGCATTCCAAATGCGAATCCAAGTGGCCGAGGAGACTGCTGAAGCTGTAGTCGTGCATGTTCTCCTCCAGCCACTTGCTGTCGCTGCCCTCCCTGATGATCCTCATGGGACTCATGGGCGGAGTGGCTGATGGGATGAAGCCTGCAAATGCCAATGGAACATCATCTTAGCCTGTATGTCTTAAATGGTTTCAATAAAGTGTACTTACCATCACCCATCAGGCGGCTCTCGTCACTGTCTCCGAATCGCAATGAGGGCAGCGAGAGCTCCATAATGCTCCTGATCGCTGGATTATCCTCAATGCTAAAGTCCTCCGACTCCACTGACTCCTCCTTCAGCATCTTCTCTGCTATCGACTTCATGTCATTGCTCTCAGGCTCCTTCTCTGTTTTCTCACTCTTCCGCACTGAAGACTCCGGCTTCGGCGTCTCCACTTTGTGCTGCACACTCCTGGAAGTCACCGTGGCAGTTGGAGCTGACGTCTTGCTGGCCACACTCGAGAATTTGGACTTCAAAGGCTGCGGTGGAGCAGTAGACATTTGTGTGGGCGAGGGCGGCTCCTCGTAATCCACACTGGCAGTGACATAGCTGGACTTGACTCCCGGCTGCAGTGGGAGGATCCTCTGCACCACCACTTGGCGAGAGGGAAAAGCGCTGCGATGAGAGCGAGGCTTGAGCCAGCGGAACGCGCGATTGTTGCGCATCACATTTACGTATCTATATGAATCCGGGAAATTCCTGGGCGGCACCACAGGATGCTTGAAGAGCGCTCCATCGTCAGATTCTCGCACCTTGAAACTCTTGTCACATATGTGGCCGCAACTGCACGTCGTTCTGCGTCGTCCAGTTTTGTCCATCATGCTGGAGATCAACAGTAGTTGACTCAGCTTTCGCCCCAGCAAAATCTCAGATTCCTTGTCAGTCGGCAAGCTGGGCTTTTCTGTCATCAACTTGTTGAAATCCTCAGTCTCCGGAGGTTCTATTTTCACCACAACTGGCACTGGATGATTGTCAGTCACGTCATTTTTCTCCTCGCCACTCGACGCTTCGCTTTGCTCCACTTTTGGCGGTGGATCCACCCATCGATACTCCAGGTTAATTTTGAAGTCACTCCCAAACATCACGTACAAATCTCCAAAGGTCACATCACAGATATTATTTATGGTCCAGCCTTCCTTGATCTTCCTGATCACCTCCTCACGAATCAGGGGCTTGAAGAACTTTGTGATGTTGCGCTTATTTGTTGGAGCATCCTTCAGGGGATTCCACTTTGGTTCCCTCTTCTTCTTCGTGGTCTCCGGGGCAGGCTTCACTGGTGGCACTTCTGGCTCTTCCACCTTCTTCTCCTCAACCATTTCCTGAGGCACAAGTAGAGGCTGCAAATTCGAATCCTGACTATTGATAATAGCCGAGAAGTCAATCGCCTGGAAGCTAATTTGAGATTCAGGAGCAGATTCCGGCTGTGCGTTCTGCTGAGCCACACCACCACGGATCTTCTTAGTGTCGGGAGACTTATTGTCACTGCCACTATCGTGTCGCTGACGTTTCTGCGCCCTGACGAACTCCCTGTGATTCTGCCACTTCTCCGGGAAAAGCGTCTCCCCGCGTACAGTCGCTCCAATTCTCTCCTCGTAAGAATTCAGACAGATGTTGTAGCTACTGCTGAACTCTGTGAGATTCACCATTGGCCTGTGGATGACAGTTTTGGGCGGAGGAGCGAGACACAGAAGTTTCTCAGCACAGATCAATTCCTCCTTCAATTCATTCTTCTGATGCTGCTGCATCAGTTTGCATATCTTTGACTTTCCTCCGCTGCTGTGGCACTGCGTTGGCGCACTCCTGGAACACAGTCTAATCTCTTGGCTCTGCCATTTGTTCTGCAGCAACTTCAGCACACTTAATACCCTCTTTTGCAGTGGAACAGTCGCTCTTATCCGTGGATTTTGGGCCATGCTCTGCACTTTCGCCCACGACTCCATATTTGCCGGCACAAGTGACACTTCCACTCGCTGCGGCAACTTAATCTCCTCCTGCCACTCCTCTAGCTGATTCAGCTTCCGCAGCGCCCGACAAGACGGCGTCTTGATGCGTATATTCCTGCCCTTCTCACGGATCGTCACATAGCCACGGTACACGAGCTCCCTCAGCTTCATGCACGCCTTCTCATTCACGAAGATCAGCTTGCGGCGCATCTCACCGTAGTTTATCAGCGCATACAGCTCCTGGGCATATTTGCGGACATCTGTAATAAAGAGTAGCCATGTGAGCATAGCTGATAAATGCCACGTAGACTAAAGATACGCGCCAAATAAACAAACGAAGAGTGCAAGGAGCGAAAAATGTAGATAAGCACCAGTTTTGCTTAACTTTTGCGGAGTTGAGATTTTGGAGGCTCATTCGAATTGAGATAGATGTACTTTAAAGCGAAAACGAAGTTTATCAGCAATAGAAATAAATAAATAATAAATAAATAAAACGATATAACGCGGAATAAGTGTCTGAGAACATCTTTTTACAGTCATCCAAGGAGTCTTTAAGATTTTAGTTATATAATTTCACGACATTCACTTTCTCAATCGATCACAGAAGAGCTGTGATACGGAATTCCAGCCCCTAAAGTTGCGAGAGATTAGAGAATTGTGAGAATTAAACTGCAGAATCTCATTAAGCCTCAACACACGGCTTTGCAGATAAAGAAAATGTACCGTTCTTGCAAGAGAAAGAGATCAAGCTGGAGGAATATGCACAACATGAAGTCGCAATTGCGCAGAAACTCATTAATAAATGTTCCAGAAAGGTAAAAAGCCTCGTGAGAGTAATTGACATCACAAAAGAGAAGCGTGACTTTCCTGGTAAACAAATAAATTGAGCAGGCATTTGAACTCATGCCAAAGCGTTCTGTTGAGGAAATACACTTGCGAAATTGATTGATAAATTTTCGATAAAAATTCACATCAAGAAAATCATTGCTGAAGATCGTTATAATTCCTTTTCACCACGACAGTTTAATATGTTAAAGCGCAGTTCAACATTCTCTTTGTTTGCACTCTCTCGTGCATTCAGATGATTCAGATCAGACAAAGAACATCCTCCCCATGAAATGCCTTTGGAAATTCTGCGCAGTTCTTGCATAGCATGCAAAGGGGGCTTGAATGCTATTCGTCACTCACCGTCTGAGAACTTGAGATACTTGGAGATCTTATGGAAGGTCTGATAGTAGAGCTGTCGCACTTGGAACATCTTGAACATGGGCTGCTCCAGAGGCTGCTTCCTCTTCAGCTTGTGGTTCATGAAGTGCGCGATGGCCTCAAAATCTCTCCCATACTCATTCAGCGCCTCAAAGAAGATGTTCCTCTCGACATTGCTCCACAGAATGCGATTGATCCGAGGCGGGGGATTTGCCTGCTTCGGCGGCACTGGTTCCTCCTTTTCCTTCTTCTCCTTCTTCTCGGGTGGCGGCGGAGTTGGCGGCCTGGCCGTGTCCATCCGCAGCTTCTGAATCACCCTCGCACTGGTTCTCACTGCGTGTCCGCTATCTGGGCCCCCATGGGGCGAGAAAGTGACACTCCCAAGAAGTTCTCCAGGGCTTCCGGGCAGATTCTGCAAGTCAGGAAGGTGGTAAACATGGGATTTCTTTGGGACACTGCGAACACCTTCTCACCTCCATCTGCAGGATGTAGCTGTAGTTGGAAGGTGTGGTTTTCCGATCATTATCCACACTTTTCACCTTCACTCCATTCACTGTGGCCTTCCCGGAATCCTCCTTCGTCTCTGTGCTCCCATCGTTCTTCTTCTCCTTCTCAGTCGCCTCTCCAGACGCGGGCGTCTCCTTCTTGACCGCGTCTCCACCTGCCTTCATTTTTCAGGGATTTACCACTATTTTCCACACCTGTTGCAAGCGAAAAAAGCACTCGAATTATTAAGAAAACACATTACTTTTCAACAACATGGCGACTGAGAAAAATTCTCGACGCACTTCTTAAGACCACTTTTGATGCAAAATTTCTCCTGAGATTTTCCACACTTTCCCGGCGTCAATTTCCTCACAACATGGCTCAAAAGAACACTCAAGACCCCAAGAAAGTACCACGGTGGGTATCAACCTCACCGGAGGGATGGTGTTGAGTGAAAAGTGCAGAGAATTTTCTCATATAAATTTTGTTTTGTGATGGCGGATGGCATCATTTCTTTTTTCTGCCAACTTTCTCAGTCACTCTTTTGGTGCAATCTTCACCGGGAAGGCACGGAAAATCTCAGAAAATGTTCGCGGAGACACTCACATGAGGAAAATACACATTGAAATCGATGGTAAACAAATAAAATCAACAAATAAATTAGGACAAATAGAGCAATAAATTTATGCAGCCAAATACCACTTTCGTCTGGGACTGTGTATTTTCTAACTGACACTTTGTGCCAAGCCCAGCTTGTCAGCCAATCGTCTCCCATCGACGCATTCAAACTGTATGCAATACATTCCGTGCCTGCTGGAAGATATCCTTTTTGCACTAAAAATTGCTCCTTTTGCTCCCGCTGCACTAAAACATGCTCTTCCATTTGCCCAATAAAAATTGGACCGTGTTTTTTTCTTTTATGATCATCCATAACCAGATTTTCTCACAAAATACTTCAATTTTTCACACTCAAAAGTGGATTTTGAATTAAACTGATAATCAAGTCCAAATAAAAATCGTTTTTTTGAGTATTCATTTTATTTCAAGTTCGATTACAAATACATTATGTTCAAGATGGTATTTAATACGTTTCATCGCGAGATTCTTGGGTCTATCTCAGGAAGCAAATGGGCAGAGAAATGATCCTTCGACGCTCTCGCCCGAAGTTTAGACGGTGATTGAGCAAAACACCTACAGATTGACTAAACTCCCACTAAATATTGTTCAGATAGATAAAATGAGTATTGAGAGAGAAATCGAAAAGAACACTTAATCGTAAAATCATTAGAAAATTCAGGCTTTGGGTTAGTTTCAAAAATTCGATTAGTTGTACTTGACTAAAGAGGATTAATCACTACGAATGTTAGTGAAAAACAGTCCACGAACTCTTGTTAACAGGAACAACTGGGCATTTTCAGTGACTAGGCGGCAGGCTTGTCCGCTCCGGCGTCCTTCTTGGCATCCTTCTTGGGCGTCTTGTCAGCCTTCTTGGGCGCTGGCGGATCCTTCTTCGGCGAATCCGACTTCTTGGCCTCCGGAGCTGGAGACTTCTTTGGTTCATTCACCTTCTTTGGAGCATCTTTCTTTGGTTCATTCGGCTTCTTCTGATCCTTGTCGGATTTCTTCACTTCGGCAGCACCTTGAGGTGGAGATTCCTTCTTTCCACCCTTCTTATTTCCCTGCTTTCCACCACCCTGCTTCCCAGCATCCGCCGCTGGAACTTCAGGAGTCACAGCTGGAGCACTCTCTGGCGTCTTTTGTGCCTCTGGCTGCGCAGACGACTCTGCTGTGGGAGTGTCTTTGGGTGGAAGACTTGCTACTGGCTCAGGTTGCGCAGCAACTTGAGGCGGAACACCCTTTTTCTCATCACTGGACGGTTTTTGAGATTCAGCCGCTGATTTCGGAGCATCTACTTTCGGTTCTGCAGGAGCAGCAGGCTTTGCAGGTTCAGAAACTGTAGGAGCGGCCTTAGCCGCTTCTGCGGTGACTGAAGCAACTTTTGCAGTTTCAGGGGTAGGCGGAGTTGCTTTTGGTGCTTCCGGGACAACTTTAGGAGCCTCGGAAGTCTTCTGTTCCCCTTGTGGAGTAACTGGAACGAACTTTGTGTCTCCTTGATTTGGTTTCGGTGGCTGTTGTGGAGCTTTTTGGGTTTCGACTACAGCGGAAATTGCCTTTTCAGCTGCAGGAGCTGGCTTTGATGCCTCAGCAGCAACTGGAGCAGCTTGTTGAGCTGGCTTCTGTACCTCAGCAGCAATTGGAGCAGCTTGTTGTGCTGGCTTTTGTGCTTCAGGAGCAACTGGAAGAGCTTGTTGAGCTGGCTGAGCTGACTTTGGTGTCTCAGCACCAGCTTGAGGAGCTTGTTGGGCTGCAGGAGCCGGCTTTGGTGCCTCAGCAGCAACTGGAGGAGCTTTCTGAGCTGGAGGAGCTTGTTGAGCTACAGGAGCAGCTTGAGGAGCTTGTTGGGCTGTAGGAGCCGGCTTTGGTGCCTCAGCAACAACTGGAGGAGCTTTCTGAGCTGGAGGAGTAGCTTGAGGAGCTTGTTGGGCTGCGGGAGCCGGCTTTGGTGCCTCAGCAGCAACTGGAGGAGCTTTCTGAGCTGAAGGAGCTTGTTGAGCTGGAGGAGCTTGTTGAGCTGGAGGAGCTGGTTGAGCTACAGGAGCCGCTTGAGGAGCTTGTTGGGCTGCAGGAGCCGGCTTCGGTGCCTCAGCAGCAACTGGAGGAGCTTTCTGAGCTGGAGAAGCTTGTTGAGCGGACTTTTGTGCCTCAGCGGCAACTGGAGGAGCTTGCTGAGTTGGTTTTTGTGCCTCAGGAGCTGGTTTAGCTTCAGGACCCGTCTTTTGAACAGCAGCAGCAGCCGGAGAAGCCGGTTGGACTTGTGCGGCCGTTTGGGCTTGAGGTGCAGCTTTCAAAGGTTCCGATACAGCTGGTTTCACCTCTTGAGCTGGCAGTTTGGTTTGAGGAGTCGGTACAACATCCGGTTTCTGCTCCTGAGCCTTTTCCTGTGGTTTTTGCTCTTTCACCGGTTCCTTGGGCTTCTCTGGCCCTTTGGCAGTATCGCCAGTTTGTACAGAAGCGTCAGGAGCAGGTTGTGCACTGGTTGGTGGTGTTTCCACGGGCTTCGCAGTTTCTTGGGGAGCAGGAGCACCCGGCGCTACTGCAGGAGTGGCTGTCTGTGCCTGCTGCGTCACTTCCACTGACTCAATGAAGGGATTAGTGGGCTTGACATCGGTGACCTCTTTCTTGGACGCCTCCTCGAAGTTTTCAACCAAATTGGGCACATCGTCCTCCTCCGTGACACTGCTCAGGAGCTTATTTCCCACGACAACATTGCTCGCGATCCTCTTGAGTTGATTGAGACCTTCAGGACCGAGTTGGGTCAAGATTCCCGGCAGCATTTCAGCGATCTGAACAAAGAGAGCAATTAGAAAATTATTTTCTTCCCTTCCGGAAGTCTTTCTAACCTGTTTGTTTTCCCCATGACCCGTGATGGCAAAAGTGTTGGCTGCCAGGGAAGCCTGAGCCTTGGGATTGTTGAAGTGGATCACACTCCCGTCATTCTTGATCATATTGACTTCCTCGATGCCTGGGATGGTGTTCACGGCCAGCTTCTTGAGCGATGACTGCAATTTCTTGTCATCCGTGGCCGCCGTGGTGTGGACAACCTTCTTCTTCCTCCTGGGAGTGCCCTTCCCGCCAATCCTCACCTGACTCTGCAACTTCTTCAGTTTCTCCGCATTCATTGTCACTCACAATTCCTGGGCACTAGTTCCGCTGCGCAATTTTCCGCTAGAAAGAAAGTCTTTTTCCTCCACGTGCTGCCGAAACCGGGGTGAAAAGAGAGATTTTCCGCTGAGCACATGCGCATGCCGACGCCAGCGCCGCGGCGCTCTTGAGAAAATCGGGAAAACATGCCGAGAGCTGCCGAAGTCTTTCGGCGCCGCGCGAATATGCCTCTCAATCGACCTCAGCGCCACGGCATCCACGGGCGATGCAATTTTCTTTGGAGCCGCCATAATAAAGCTCCGAATGCCCTTGAAATCTTCCCATTCGTATTCAGGTTCTCATCAGATCCACACGAAGCTGTATTCTTGCGCTTTTCTGCACTCCTGAGACACTAAAAGTGAGTATACTGCCCTCAGAGATCTTCCTAAAACCTCGATTTCGCGCTGTGTGCTGAAACTTCTTGTTAAAATCGTGGATTTTTATGTGAAAATCGGTAGTGACGTGTGGATGCACTTTTCTTGTAGTAGCCGCCATTTACGCCCATTTCACCTTCGATTTGTCCTCCGGAGGGTTCTTGAAGTATCTCCCCTTTACTTGTATCGAATACAAGGTTCCTTGGGCTTCCCGGGGACGATGTATATCTCCGGAGTGCTAGATTTCATAACTTCCGCTCCCACTCTCATCATATTCCTTATTGATTTTACCCCTATTTCAGTCTCCTGCGTATTTGATCCACTCCGAGTGGTTCCTGTTATGCAATCACGGAAGTTGCGATCAGGATAATTCACTTTTGACCCATAAAACGAGACGCCGGATTTGACCTCCGGGCGACCTTCAGCTTGTTTGGAGCTTTCACGCCAAAGCCCGATTTGTAACCAAACGCCTCTGGCGGCGGAAAAGTTGTAGAAAATTCATGATAATACTTGTGATAATATGAATGTAGGTTTTTGCTGTCCGGCAATCGAGCCCCCAGAAACTGAAGAGAGACAACGTAACTCTCTGCCTTATCTTCCAAGTCGTTTAACCCCATTATCGTCTTGTTGGCGGAACAATTAAATACAACTGACAAAACTCCTAAATGTTCCTGCAGGTCAGTCAACATGTCTAAGATTGGAATCAACGGATTTGGCCGCATCGGTCGCCTGGTTCTCCGCGCTGCTGTGGAGAAGGGCGCCCAGGTTGTGGCTGTAAACGATCCCTTCATTGGCCTGGACTACATGGTGTACCTCTTCAAGTTCGACTCCACCCACGGACGCTTCAAGGGTACCGTGTCAGCCGAAGGAGGCAAGCTGGTCGTGAACGGCCAGCAGATCACTGTCTTCCAGGAGCGCGATCCGGCCACGATCAACTGGGCCAGCGCTGGCGCTGAATACGTGGTGGAGTCCACGGGTGTGTTCACGACCATCGAGAAGGCATCTGCCCACTTGCAGGGTGGCGCCAAGAAGGTCATTATCTCCGCGCCCAGCGCCGATGCCCCCATGTTCGTGGTGGGCGTCAATCTGGATGCGTACACGCCCGATCTGAAGGTGGTCTCGAATGCTTCGTGCACCACCAACTGCTTAGCTCCGCTGGCTAAGGTAGTCCACGATAACTTCGAGATCGTCGAGGGCCTGATGACCACCGTGCATGCCACCACGGCCACGCAGAAGACTGTGGATGGACCGTCCGGAAAGCTGTGGCGCGACGGACGCGGTGCCCAGCAGAACATCATCCCGGCCGCCACTGGAGCTGCCAAGGCTGTTGGCAAAGTCATCCCGGCGCTCAATGGGAAGCTGACGGGCATGGCTTTCCGTGTGCCGGTGGCCAACGTGTCGGTGGTGGATCTGACGGTGCGCCTGGGCAAGCCGGCCAGCTACGATGCCATCAAGGCTAAGGTGCGTGAGGCTGCAGAGGGACCGCTCAAGGGCGTGTTGGGCTACACTGAGGAAGAAGTGGTGTCCTCCGACTTCATCGGCGATTGCCAGTCTTCCATCTTCGACGCCAAGGCCGGCATCTCCCTGAACGACAACTTCGTGAAGCTCATCTCGTGGTATGACAACGAGTTTGGCTACTCCAACCGTGTCGTTGACCTCATCAAGTTCATGCAGTCAAAGGATTAGAAAGCGCCACTCTTCCCAACAACCGGTGCCAAGCATCACAATGGTTGATTCGTTCGCATAAGAAAAGAAGGAAAAAAAAACAATGTTATTTGGCCCTCAATGTAGAGCTAGTCAGCGGAAACACATCATTTTGGATGATTTTGTGTCATTTTTATTACACACAATTAATTGTAATAATCTCAGAAATTTGAGAATAAATTGTGAAATTCAAATTTCAATGCTAGACTTTGAATTTGAGGATTGTTCTGGAATTTTACGCTTTGAGCACTTCGATGATGAGGATGATGATATAATAAATGACGAAATTTGTGCAACAAAAATGTCGACAATTCCGCGAAGATTACCGCGTAGACATTGCGCATGAGAAGAAGTGACAGCATGCGCCGAGCTGTCAGTGTGCAAAAGTCAGGGAAACGCGTTTTCGCTCGTTTTGCGGAAAATCAGTGAAAACTCCATCTGCAGTGGACGGAAATGATGTCAGGACATGACTTGTCGCGGAATGAAGTGATCCAGCTTCTGCTGCGCGTGGGAATCGCGTCGCTGGTTACGTTTTTCTCTCTCAAATACCTTATGAATGCCCTGGATCCCACGAAGCAGAGCAAGAAGAAGGCCAAGAATCGGGCAGAGCACCAGCTTAAGAGGTATTTTCACCCCGAGTCTATTTATAGGGTCGCACGTTCCTTTCTGACTGTCTGGATTTCTTTGCAGGCTGAAGAACATGGAGGGAGTTTCCGTGGACCCGAGCTCATTCTCTGAGTATGAACTGGTCATTGCCAGTCACCTCATCATTCCGGAAGATATCACAGTGACGTGGAAGGATATCGCGGGTCTGGACACGGTGATACGCGAACTGAGGGAGAGTGTCGTTCTGCCCATTCACTATCGCAGCATGTTTCACAAGTCGCAACTCTATCAGGCGCCCAAAGGGGTGCTCCTGCACGGGCCACCGGGCTGCGGGAAGACCCTCATCGCCAAGGCGACGGCCAAGGAAGCTGGCATGCGATTCATCAATCTCGACGTGGCGATGCTGACGGACAAGTGGTACGGCGAGTCCCAAAAGCTGGCTTCTGCTGTCTTCACTCTGGCTGAAAAGCTGCAGCCATGTATTATCTTCATCGACGAGATTGAGTCTTTCCTGCGATCGCGCAACGTGAACGACCACGAAGCCACCGCGATGATGAAGACACAGTTCATGGCGCTCTGGGACGGCCTCAGCACAGAGACTGGCTCGATAGTTATCGTGATGGGGGCCACGAATCGCCCTCAAGATCTGGACAAAGCCATCCTGCGTCGAATGCCTGCGCAGTTCCATATTGGACTCCCATCAGAAGAGCAGCGCGGTCGGATTCTTCGCCTCATTCTCTCAACCGAAGCCATAACTGACGATGTTGACTTCCACCGGATGGCCAAGCTGACCACCGGCTTTTCCGGCAGTGATTTGCGAGAACTCTGCCGACATGCGTCCGTCTATCGCATCCGGGAGCTTATGGACGACTTCGACAGTGCGGGAGGAGTTGCTAGGGCCTCGTCAACTTCGCGTCCGCCTCCCGCCATCTCCATGGAGGATCTCCTCAACTCCTTCGCGAAGATGCGCGAGAATAAGCTGCACACGGGTCTCCTGTCGGCACTGGAGAGCCGCATTGATCTCGATTGAAGCGCCTGGTCAAGGGACAAATTAGCAAAAGGCTTAGGTGTTATATCACAGATATTCAACTAATTGCACATAAATTGTTTCCCTCAACAGGGAATTCACTTACAACCAAATGAAATGCGAGTTTATGAGTTTTCCCGCATATTAGAGATGACTTCTAGTGGTTCTAAATTATTTCACAGAGATTTTATCTTAAAAACGAAAAATAAATATGAAATGTGCTGAAAATAATCGAAGAATGTCAATTTAGAGAAAGAAATTCTTCTGTACATTTACACCTATGTGGTGTAGTTTCCACGGCATTTTCTGTTTTTCTCCATGCGGATGGAAACTGAAATTATAAAATTTTAACTCTTGAACTACGCTAGCGCCGTGGCAACATGCGGCATATATTTTTTTGTCATTGTCCCGAGGTTCTTTACCCCTCCCACTAGAGGCGCTAGCATAGATGGTGCTTTCTGGAGACCCCGTGGAGGTAATCCTCGCAACAGACACTCTATGGGACAAATCCACGGAGTTCAAAATATTTTCAGAATTTCAAGAAGAAAATTCTATTCAACAGCCGATGAAGTTACATTAGTTTTCAGAAAAACAGTGCTTCTGAGCAGAAAAATCCGGAAAAGCGTTTCAACACAGAAGAGTATCGTTGAAACACAAGGAAAATCATTTGTGGTTCGGAAAGCTCCGACCCTTCGTTGGAGATGTCTGCTGTAAGTCCGGGTGATCTTCCGCAGAGTGATGTTGAGGGGACTCATTGTGTGCTTCATTTAGTAGGGTATAGAGAGAAGGAAGATGAGTGAAATAAATCGGCGTGAAAAATCATAGTACAACTCGATTATGATTGTGATAGTAGCAATTAGTGTGTGATTAACAGTTGACAAGGTGGAAAAACGGATAGTGAAGGGTGTTTCGGTGGATGTAGTGTGTGCTATTTGGAAAAAATCATTGGATGTAAGGAAGAATAGCGAATAAAAAATTTCTTCCCCTCTCCCAGCACACATGGCGTCTCTCTCGCACCCACGCGCCACGTTATTTGTGCATCTCGCTTGCGCAAGAGTGAGTTCCTTATGTGAGAGCCACTCGAGGCGAGTCGAGGCAACGAGTCTCGCGAGTGCGACAGAGATAACTCCATACGGTCGTGCGTGAGAGCTTTTTCACTCTCCGCGATGTCGCGTTTTTTGGGGTGCGCGCGTGTGAGAGAGAGCAAAGAGTGTAAAAATGCGCTTTTCCCTCGAGAATTCTCCCCATTTTCACGCACTTGTCGGCGCTAAGGTTCTCTCTGAAGACATCCCAAGTGCCCCAGCGTGGCCCATGGGCCGTTTGGTGGGCAAAAGTGTGCGCAAAAATGCGTGAAAATGGGCCTCTCGAGAAAGTCGCCATTGATTCTGAGGTGTTCCGCAGATGCCTCTCTGGCGCTCTCTCGCCACGGAGTCCATTTGACATTTTGGCATCTCTCTCATTGACATTTTCTCAGGAGCTTCTATCCCCCTCTCACCCACCACTCGATGGGCTCATTGACGCGCGTGCGAGCGAGATGGCGCGCGAGACAAAGTGATGAAATGTGATTCAACCCTCCCCTCCCCGGTGTCATCCCCACACTCGCGCCGCCACTGGTGTTAGTATTGGATATAGAAAATCTTCCGGGATACTTTTTTAACCAGCCAAAGTATCGGCAGGCCCTGTCTCCCCTGGCAGATACATTCTTAGGCACTTTTAGCCGGAGTTTGTGGTGCAGATTTGTGGGTTTTTGAAATGGTAGTGGGTGAAAAATCAGAGAAAAGATATCGATGTAACCTTCGGTGTGTGTTGGTGGTAAAGTTACATGCGAGAGAGTAAAGAGAAAGAGAGAGAGAGAGAGCGTCATGGAGAGTAACCCTTGAGAGTCCCTAAAATTATTCACTTACATCCAGTGATTTTTCCTTTCACTCACTCATCTCGCCCTCTGCGGCTACCCCGCAGAAGGAAATTCCTCTTTTTCCCTGGAAAAGCACTCGAGACGGACACTCTCGTGAAAACTGATAAAATTTAACTTTCCGTGACTGAACAGGGCAGAATTGAACAGAGTGCCGAAGCAATGGAGGAACTGTGAGGAGGAAGTTGTGAAAATTTGTGGAAAATAGCCAGTAAAGGCTGTGGACCTGGTGGTGGCAAATTGAGAAGGGGTCCGGCGGAGCCTTTCTTTACTTCCGGCGCGGAACAGTGGATTTTTACATCGGGATTCCATCGTCGCAAGGATGCCGCACAAATGTCTCGAAATGGACCACCCGGAATTCATATCGATCCATCCAAATTGACCAAGAACGTGTGGAAATTCCATGGAAAATCGCCGCAAATAGTGTGTAAGTATCCTCACATTAGTTTATCAGATGGTGGGATCCCTGTGGATAGATAGGCACCTCAAAGGAGGCACTCGGTGAAAATTTTCCTTGCAGTATCGCCTGATCCTTTGGATAAAAAAATTCCTTTGTTCCCACGGGCGAGAGAGAGAGCACATCTCACTCACACATACGCAGCGCTAGCGGAGTGCATCTCTCGCCAGACCAGACGAAATACCATCAGTTGGTCGAGAGAGGGAGAGAGAGAGCATGGGCAAAGGAGGAAAAAGTGATCCGTCAAAGTGACAGAGAGGGCGAGAGAGCACGAGAGCGACTGCACGTAGCCGGAAAGTGGGAGAGAAGAAGCGTGAGAGAAAAAGGCTTGTAAAAGGGCTGCGCCGGTAGCGCGCTCTCTCGCTCTCGCCCCTCGACGGCGCCGCTCAACGTCTCTCGCTCATCCCCACGGTGGGGCGCCTCTTCGATCTCGCTCACCTTGCCGGCAGCCCGACAAAGTATGAGCAAAGAAATACATAATTTGCTACCCTAATTAAAAGACAGCCAAGATCGGGGCCAAGATACAAAATGGGAGATTACAAAAGTGTGGAGTGTGGTGCTCAAAATTGTAGCTAATTGTCTTTCGTACATCAAAAATGGGAGCTTTGGATGTGGGAAATAACTGGAGAATGAGAAGGATAAATCACAGTTGTGCCGGAAGGAAAAAAGGAAAGAACAAACGATAACTTGGAGAGCTTTTAATGGATGTAAAATTAGAAGATTTCCGGCTTTTTTTAGAGCCCGGCCTCGAGAGCAATTGGAAGAGTTTTTCCAGTATTTTCGACTCTCTCGCTCTCAGTGGGTACATTACAAGTCCTTTGTCCTTTTCCTCTCTGCCCTGACCGCCGCTCCGAGCCCTCTATCCGGGAGATGGAGCATTTTTAATTGGCCCGTTTCTCCCTTTCGCTCTCTCCCACTCTCAGGAGTGTTCCAGGAAGAAGGGCCTCAACAAAGGGAGAGTGCGTCGCAAGTGAGAGAAGGGAGAAGAAGAGATAAATCACCCCAAAGAAAGGGTCTCATTTCTCGTCTCATCGTCATCCTCGGGCAGATAAGGAATCTCAGGTGATTGTGATGATGAGAGGGAGAGGCTCCTTTTTGACCTTGAAAGTCTATCACAGGTGAATTTCTCGTAAATCCTCTCATTGGAAACAATGCAATGTGGTTTCTCTCTCACTTCGTGTGTTCTCCTTCTCTTCCCTTTTTGTTGGCTGAGAAAGTGAGAGAATTCACAGAGGGAGAGTGCGAGAGTAAAAAGGGAAATGCAAAGAGAGATAGAGAGAGGGAGAGACCTTTGTCAGTGTATGTTTACACAGTAAATTCCCCAAAACATATCCTTCAGAAAGGATAAAGTTCTTTCTTGGCACTTTAAGTTTACTCCTGCTGTTCTCTCACATCCTGGCACCGTCTCTCGCTTGAACTTTAAAGCTCTCTCCTCACGCCATCAAACGAGAGTGAGAGTTTTCTTTCTCGGTGGGTGTCCTTTTTTCCTAGTTTTTTTCGACAAAATTTATTGCTTTCTATTGTGTATTTTTGGTATATGTTCAATGAGCAAGGGTGGTGGGATTTTTGCCCTCATTTTCCCCTCTGCTGTGGAAAAACTCTGTACAAAGAAGAGACAGAGAGATTCCAACTTCTTTGTCCACCCCGGGAAAAGAGAGGAGGCCAAAATTTTCGGGATACCAGGAATTGAGTGGAAAAAAGAGTCCCTTTTTCCACTCAATCTGACTTCAACCGGAGAATTTTCCATGATTTTTCTTTGTGTTGCCCATGTGATGGAATTTTCAATAAAGCCCCACATTTCACCCGTTTTTTTCTTGTTCTTCTTCTCTCCAACAGGCCATAGAAAATATTAATTGCCAGAGAAGGAAAACCAGAATTGCTCGAAGGACCGTGGAGGAATTTCCGTCTGCCAGAATTTGCTGGGGAATTGAGTGCAAGGAGTGAAAGATTGGAAGGACACTTGAGAGCCTTCTCTGAACCACTAGAAGAGGAAGAAGTGTGAAGGGAACTGGAAAATCCTCCGTCAATAAGCAAGTCGAATCTTTCAATTTTCATTACAAGTCACAGAGGAGAGAAGGGCAAAAAGTTGGTGAAGAGGAAGGAGCAAAATGGCAAATACGATATCCAATATGAAAATGACAAACCCAATTAAGGGGCTTGTCAGCAAAAGGAAGAAGAGATACACCGAGGATGGATACAATTTGGATTTGTCATGTAATTTTACTATAATTCTCACACTTTTCAATGGAAAATAATGCGAATGTTTCATATTGATTGCAGATATTGAGCAAAATCTAATTGCGATGGCGTTTCCAGCTGAGAAACTCGTTGAGGCTGTCTATAGGAATAATATTGATGATGTCCTGCGATTGTTTGAGTCGAAACACGGAGGATTCTACAAGATCTACAATCTATGTTCCGAGCGAACATACGACTATAGTAAATTTCAACATGTAAGTGAAGATGACGAGAATGCCTTTCTCTGTGACAAATTGCCTAATTGTTCATTGATTTCTTGTGCAGAGAGTTGCATCGTATCCATTCAATGATCACAATCCACCAACAATTCAATTGATTCAAGCATTCTGTGATGATGTCCAAAAGTTTCTGAGTGCAGATCCCAACAATGTTGTGGCTGTTCACTGTAAAGCTGGCAAAGGACGAACTGGTGAGTGTGTCATTCTTTGATAAAGCATTTTATCAAATACTTTCTGATTAACTCGACGATGCAATAGATTAGAGAGAATTGATTCTCAGAAATGCTAAATAAAATAATGTAATGATGTATCAAGGAAATTTCAATTGAAAAGAAAAAGAGAATCAACTGTCGTGTGATAAGAGAAATTAATAAAAATTTTCCATAGCAAGGGTTAAATGATTGCGGATGTTTCTAATTATAAAATTTCCAAGTGCGATTTCTTTCGCAATTTCCTCAGTTGTTGTTGCCTGGCAATTCCTCCTTCGGTGTGTGGCTTCGTTCCACAATAAAAATTAACCTCTTGAATAAAATTTAATTCTTATCACGACACTTTCTCTCTTATCAAGTGAAGAGTGAAAGAAGGCGCAAAAAATGTGAAATATTGCTTTCTGATAGGTGTGACACAGAAAAACTTCACAATTATCAGAAGATTAGTTAGATTATTTACTTTATCGTTCATCTCACAATCATATTTTTGCCTTCTTTCACCTCCAACACTGATTATGTATTACGCATAGAACTGGAAGAATGCGGAGGAGAAGTGTGTGCTGTGCTGTGTATGTGATGTTAGAATGTTGATGAGAGATGTTATATCAAAATGTGGATCTTTTCTATTTTTGACCAATTCTTTTTCTCTCTCGCAAAGTCATTCGGAACATGCGCACAAGAAGCCTTACACATTATGGCCAATTTTGCAGTATTTCCATGTGCGCTGCTTGCCCTCGTCAAGTTTAAATTGGCATGATTTTTTGCATCCAAATTGTCCAATTAGAGATTTTTTTTCTCACACATGATGGATGGATTAGCCAGTCCACATCCAATCACATGTGTTTTGTGAATTGCAGTGTGTAAAAAGAAAAGACGAAGAGACGGTGCGAGTCGAAAAATATAAGGTGGAAATTTTCCTATTGATTCTCTCCTCACTTGGTCAAAATGTGTGTCTGGGAGTGTGTGTTTAATGTTTGGAACAAATTTGTTCTCAATCAAGGCCATCATTTATCATGTCTCTTTTTGCATACAAACTCTCGGTTAGCCGAGAAAAGACACTTCTTTTTTAAACATCTTTTTGTCATAGAGGAAGAGCGATAAAATGTCAACGACAATATTCTATATGGGAGGCACGGCAGACAACAAAAAGAGTCGAGAGACATAAGCGAATAAGGCGATATGGACAGAGGGAGAAATCTCATGTGGGAAAATTCAATAGCATTGGGGAAATTTTTATCTAATGTGTGAAAATAAATATTGAGTTTAGTAGGTATGTCGTTTTTCCTTCTTTCTTTTTGAAGCAAAAAAAAAGAGAGAAGAAGAAGATTGTCTCTTGTCACAATTGAATATCACTCAATGCTCTGCATTGACGCTTGCCTCTGTAAATGTGTGTTCTCGATGGCGTCTGAGCGGCTCGAACAAATTTTTACACCGGGGGGAAATTTCATTGATTTGAGTTGGGAGATTACAAAATGAATTATTACACCCGTGCCCACATATATAGCATTTTTTATCGTGAAAAGGTCTGATAATGGGGAGCTGGTTGCTTTGGACGCAAAGGCGTCCAAAGGGGGGCAAGTAGATAACGAAAAGAGATAGAGTATGAGACATACAACAATCTACCACGCGACTTAATACAATGATGACTCTTTTGATATAATTCTTTTTGTTGCCGTATGTACACAATTTCGCACACTCCAATCTCAAGTGCTGCATGTCCTATCTTCATGTTAGATTGCTGAGTATCACGATGAAAGTGATATTGAGGTGAAAGGGTGTCTTTTATCGTGCAATCGAGCTCATGGAATGTTTCATTTTCTGATATCGCTGTGATTGAAGAGTAATTAAAGTAAATCATCGGTAGGACATCTCTCTAAATAGATGAGCACTTGTTATAAGATTATATGTACATGTATATCTAAGGGGAAAAATTGAAAGTGAGGTCAAATTACCGTTGATGCTTAGTCGGAAAGGCTGTGGTTTTCGTGGGAAAATAGCAAATCTAAGGAAATTGCACATTAAGATCTATAGGCAGAATTTCATGATACTTTATAATGGACTGTGCGACATTATTCTATTTGATTTGCCACTTTTGTATATATATACACTAGTGGTTGGCGGTCTGTGTGTGAAATCCACGATGAGAAATTGTTGCTATGTCTCCGATTAAATGGGGAGTTGATGACAAAAGGTTGGTCGCGCGCGCGGGAGGGAAAAGGTGGTGGAAAGAAGCGCAATTTTTAATTAATTAATAATCAAAATGAAGCGAGAGAGTGAAAATTGTTTAATGAGTAAATTAAGTATTCAACTGACTCATGCGAACAGCTTTTTTTCTGCTGTGATGACCAATTTCTGTGCAAATCAATTTGATGGTCTGTCTTATTTGCAGGTACAATGATCTGCTGCTACTTGCTCCACGTGAGGAGATTCAATTCAGCTGCGGAGGCACTTAGTTACTATGGACAGAGACGGACCCATGACGAAAAGGGAGTCACGATACCGTCACAGCGACGATATGTTGAATATTATTCACGTCTACTGAAGTCGGGTCGACCTTATAGTGAAGTAAAGCTGTTGGTGAGTGTGAATCCCAATAGTCAATATTATTATTTATTCTTAAAGGAATTTCCAATCTCATGAAAATCACATTGCATGACCATGAGATGTAAAAAAAAATTCAATATATTTCTAATCACAAAATGTCAATTTACTCTGCAACTTTTTTTCTCCTATATTCTCTCTGAACATTTTCATTTCTGCACTTAATGAGCTGAATAGCAAATGAATGGGAACTCATTCCCATTCATTTGTGTGACGGCTGACAACAGATGAATATTAAATTTCAAAATAAATAAAATCGATATGTCGGTCTGGGAGAACAGCTGACCAATGGTGAAATTAATTGATCTCTTTGCAGATTTGTGAGTTAAAATTATCACCACCGCCATTACTTAATAGCCATCAGGGGAGCCTGTATTTTAGTATATCGGATGGGAAGGGCAGGAAGCTGCATCGGGACAGCGTCTCGGATGTGAAACGATCGCAAGGGAATGGTGATGGACAAATTGTGATCAAGCTGGATCGCTGCATTCCCCTGTCTGGTGATATTCAGGTTGAGTTCTACAACAAAGGCGTGATCAAGAAGGAGAAACTGTTTCATTTCTGGTTCAACACGTATTTCGTCAATGAAGAGACGGAAGGTAAGATGATTCTTTACTCAATTGCGTGTTTTATTTTAATTATTAATTTGGCAAAATCCAATGGAAGTTTGGCTTTAGCCAAAATGTCATACAACTTTCATCTCCTTCTATTTTTATTTATTAGCTCCTCGTCTCGTTTCAGGAAATATTCCAGCGGAGGGAGATTCCTCTAAATTAGTCTTTCGATTAACGAAATTTGAATTAGATGACGCTCACAAAGATAAACAACATAAAACATTTTCACCTGATTTTGAGGTAAGAGAAGCACATAAATTTTGAAGAGGGACACAAAGAGAAGAAAGGAGTCTAATGTTTCTGCGTTGTTTGTGCAGGTACAAGTAATTTTACAACGGATACCTTCCGATTCTTATGATGCCCGTGGCACAAGTCACCATCACAACAATCATTCGAGCAACAATCTCCACCATGTGAACCATCGGAATTCGCAGAATAACACAGCACCATCTGTGGCGACGCTCAACTCCCATCCAGGTGCACACACACCGTCCGAAAGTTCTGAGGCATCATGCACAGATTCGTCCACGGAGGAGGATGGCTGGGAATCTGGTGAGTTATCGACACCAACAACAGCAGCAACTGCAAATGCATCCAGTAGTTTGTTCAATTACACCTCATCACATTTCCTTTCTGAATTCGTATCAAATGTTGTGTTGGCCAATGACTCCAGCCTTGTTTTTGCCCTGTCCGTCTGTGGTGATGAGGAGTCGCGGGTGGAGGACGGCGGACGGGAGACGCCAGAGGGTGAGGTGACGGAGACAAAGAGGCCTTTTGTGCGTCGCAAGGATCGACGACGCAGGCGGCGTTCGCGCTCGAAGACGCCCCAGCAGCAGTTCAAGGTGAAGACGGCAAATGTGAAGATTGTGGCGGGCTCGCCAGGCAGCACGGCTCACCAGAGTCGCAGTCAGAAGTTGCGCTGGCTGTCCAATATGCGAAGTGATCCGGACTTTCGGGAGACACTGGCCAAGAGTGTGGTGTTCAGGCCGCCGCACGCCAGCGAAAGTCTGGACTCCACGGACTTCTACTCGTCGCTGTGCGACAAACAGCTGAGCGTGGGATCGCCGTGTAAGAGTGCCAGCGATCTTACGACAGCCCACCAGACGAACGGTCGCGAGGAGTGTCGCCGATTGGTGGCCAAACCTCTCGAATCTCATTCAATTGGCTTCAATGTAACACCGCCGTCGCCGCCACCCTCGCCTGCGCCTCTACCCTCCACCTCCGCCGCCGCCACTGCTCCCGATCCCGTCACCACGGACGATGGTGTGGATGATAAGATTCCGAGTCGCAATCGGGCTCCGTTTACGTTTCGTGAACTGCGCCAGGAGCTGCAGTACGTTATAAAGCACAGCGCGTCGAGTAAAGGCGCTGCTGGCGGTAGTCGAAAGTCCCCGGAAAAAGGGACGACGACGACGACGACGACAAAGAAGAAGAAGAGATGGGGAAAAACCTAGGAATCTTTAAATATGAGTAAATATACAAATGAAAAGATGTTGACGATGAAATGATGATTTTGCAGTGGCAAAAGGAATTGGATTCTATGTGCTGATTTCTATATCTTTCTGCTATTGTTATTTTGTTTAGTTCTCTATTTTGCAATCTTAAATCAACTCATACCAACTCATCAAATTAGATTTAGTGTGTAGAAAATACTTTTCACAATTTTTTCCGTTGATATCTCTTGAGTTTGTCTCTTCACATTGAAAATCGAAGGCTAAGGATTTGCGTGGTGCTTTTTGATTTATGGATAAGCAAAAATTTCCACGAAAATCCTGAGTCTAAAATTACTTTTGCGTTTTCTTTCTCTATATTTTTTTTTAACATCAATAACTATAGTAATATGGCTTTAGGCGGTATATTGAATGTAATTCGAATTGATGGATTTTGTTGTCACGTACAATTTCGTGGTTAAATTGAAAATGACTTTTTTTCATCTGTAGACAATAAACACCAGACGATGGTGGAGATAAACAATCGTCAGATGAGTGTTTTATCTCCTCACAGCGAGGGAGTTTTCCAGGCGACCTAAGAGATTTTCCACTCTTTCCTCACAATTTTTCATTTTATTTCTTGATTTACAAACTCAAATATTCCCAGATTTATACAATTGTGTATATAATTTTCAATTATTTATCCCACTTTACTTTATTTCTTAATTTTTATTTCCTCTCTTTCCGAGTGGAATATCCGTTGGGAGAGACAAAGGTATTTTTGGTGTAGTGTTTGTAGACAAATGGATGGGCAACTTGAGGTAGATAAAATCTGATGAATTCATTCATTGATGTGTATTCCGTTTTTTGGGGGGAAAGAACACAGGAGATTGTTGTTAAAACTATAACTAGAAATTATGTAAATTAAATGTCTCTTTGAAGTGAACCACAACCAAGATATAAAAGAAGATGTAGAAAACAATTTTAACTGTTTCTTGTGTATATGGCTGTGAATATTAGAGGATGAAATTTAAACAACAAAGATAGGTGAAATCTAAAGTGAAATACTTTACAATGGGGAAAATGACTATTTTCTTCATATAATGAATTTACTTTGCTCTTCGATGGAGGAATTTCATCGTGGATTGACGAACAATTTCAAATATAAATTTTGAACAAAAACCTGTACATTTAGGATATGCAAAAACCTGTTCACTAAAATTGTATGCACGTAGAAGAGAAAAAGTTACACTGATTGAAATTCAGAGAGAAAACGTTGTTCCTTCATCTGCGTGATTTTCTTGTGTGAATTGAAATTGACATAATAGAGCTTCTAATTTGGTAGGACAAAGATGAATCTAAACGAAGGAATGTTTCACTAGAGAACCCTACAGGCATTGTGAACCGAGAGGAGATGTTAATGTTTCATGCTTTACTGGTGTAATGTACAATTGATATAAATTAGCATTTAGGTGATGAAGAAATCTCTCTCTGGTTTTTTTTGTAAGTGTAAATTTGTAAATGATAGAAAAATTTTGTGGACTGCGAGAGAAGAAAATCAATCTGTATAGAAACGCACAAGGTTCATAAACAAGAGGTGACATTCGACGCGAATGGACAAACTTGATGAAAGAGAAATTAACTCTATCTTTAAATCCAATTTCTTTTGCCAAGAAAGAAGAAATCATAGTATGAAATAGGAATAAAATTTGCCGAGCTTATCAACATTGCAAACAAGGATTGAAAGAGGAAAAATGATGAGTAGAATTTTATGCTAGAGTAGCAGAAAGTATTTTATTTTTTTCTCTGTAAAGGTGTGTAATTTGATGATGAGAGAGGTTGAGTTGGCAGGAAAACAAGGTTATATAGAAGAGAAATGGAAGAAACTCAAGATTTAGTGATAAAGAAATTGGACGAAGTAATTTCTGTGAAAATTATGTCAAGAAAATTTGGCGCTTTGAATCATCTCATCAAATCAACACTGCGATCAACACTACTTGTCTGATCATTTGAATGCTTTTGTTGGAGGCTTGGTAGTTGTTTTATCGAACTAATCTTCACGATCACTGATCATAAGTAGGAGTTTGCCAGGAGATTCGAAAGGATTTCGATATGGCGAACTTTTACACAATATTTTACCCATTAACCATTCATCTTTTACAGCCACACCACACTTTTCATTGTATATATTTTTATTATTAGTTGTTGTTTTTAAACTAACGTATTTTCTCACCCGCATTGTTTCATAGATTTAAGAAGATATCATCTCACAATAGATAGACTGTAATCATAAAATATTAACATTTCTCTAACATTTATCATTGACATTCTTTTTCCTTTTTTATTGTCTTTCATGCTGCTTCTCTCTGCTGCTGTTTGTGTGCGCCGAAATGTTTCTCTATAAAAATATGAAACAAAAATATGATTATGTTCAATATTTGTTGTTGGACAACCAAATATTTACCAACACTAAATGTCCCATTTTGGTTAAATTCCGCCACAATTCCGTGTGCAAATCCTTATGAATCCATCTTCACAATAATAATAATAATAATATGAACATACGTAATTTTAATTGTCCTGGATTCAGTGGGATCCACGCCACAGAGTCCTATTGGACGCTATAGACTCCTTTCTGAGTCCGATGTCAGTGGAGGTGGTGTCTATTCGCAGGATTCTCACAATAATCTAGTCCAGGCTTAACAAGTTACACAAGAGATAGTTTTACATGTGACGCAAGATATAAAGAAACGTAGTGACAGAAAAGAATGCCAGGAAATATTTCCTTAATCTTTTCCTTTTTGATAATCGCGAACAAAGGATTTTAGATATACATATGAAGTATATAGTAGCAACAAATCTCAAAAAAATAGAAGACAATTTCTCTATCTTTCTTTCTAATATATAATTTTTATACTTTAGTCGGGAGATTAGATAACACATTTTTTTTCTAATAATTCTCTATGAATATTTATTAAATAGAAATCCCTGTATTTTTATAAGCAAACGACCACTATTAATTTTACTGACCCTTTTATCAAATACCCTTTTTCACTGTGACCATTTATTGTGACATTTTTGCAGGCGAGTCAACGTATTTGTGACCCACAATAAACATCACAAAGAAAATTTGAGAAAATGAAAAGAAGAAACATTGAGAAAATCAGTAAACACAAACACACACACACACTCAAAAAGTCAATTAGATTTTTAAGTATAACAAGAAGAATGCATAGATTTAGCAATTTACCGAAAGGTATTTTTTCTAAGAGAAGACAAATTAGGAAAACAGTGCAAAACAAAGCTTAAAACACGCTCGATGAGTCTTCAAACTGTGTTGAAGGCAATGTGAAACAGTGTGAAACACTGCATCATAAAGTATAGCGACATGCACCTGAACACCAAGCGACGATCCAACGTGAGTTTCTGCCCGTAACTCGCCTCACAGTGAATGCAAAACGAAAAAAAAGAATAAAACTAAATTATTTTTTATTTAGAAATGATAGTGCTTAGACGAGAAAATGTAATTAATTCAGATAATCTGTCTTGTGCAAGTCACAAAAAGTCTAACAAAATCTCTTTTTACGTTAAAGAAAAAGAAACATATTTGATATGTTGAGTATAAATGTCTGTAAAATATTTAGGTGAAAGCAAGAAAAAAAATATGAATATAAAAAATTAGTATGAGAGAAATGAAAAGAAATATTTTTTAAAAATTATTTTTAGGCATTTTCAAATTTTTCAAAAAATTGAATGTAACCCGGATGGGGAGTGGATTTTCATCATGGCGAAGTGTTGATATCTTGACTCCCTGCAAGTTTTTTTCTTTCATAAGATAGATATAACTATTTTTTATATGAAAATTTGTTCGAGAGATTGAATGGCAAATTGAGAGATAACTCAAACAACTCACATCCATCACATTCACAAATTGGTTTCATCTTCTCCTTCCCAGAGGCCATCATTTTTTTCAGTTTTTGTTCACTTTGCCGTAACCCTGGATGAATATTTTTAACACTCACGACTGTTCTTAACCAACAATTTATGGGTGAAAGGTGTCATTGCGGTGTTTGACTTCAATTATGGTTTGCTTCTTGAATGAAAAGATGTCATGAGGTTTGGTGTCATAATTGAGGTCATACATTTCTTGGTTTTGCTATTCAGAATAAAGCATACTTTGGAACATTAAATTTATATATATTGAGAAAATCTATCCGTAATGACACAACAATCTATTCACACTTGCTTCATCATCACTCATGAGTTTATTTTTTTTTACTATCATGCACAGAATTTTCTCGTGGGGGTGAAGGATGAAAAATTTGTGCAGTGTAAAAAGTGTAATTAACATCTTATAATTTTAACTTCATTGGTCTGTGGATGGTGAATTGTTTTCCATGTAAAAAAAAGAAAATCACACCTTTTCGTAATTTTAATGATATAATATCAAAATTTCTGCATTCAGGAACATGAGATAGGAATATTAATCAAAATTGTGTTGTTGCTTTTATTCGATTTAACTAATTTATATGAAATGAAAGGAATAAAAAATCTTTTTGATATGAAGAAAATAGAGGAGATATGAAATGGATATTTAAGGACGCATCGAGAAAGAAAAGATATAGGGAAATGTGGATGAAAAAGAAATTTTTGCGTAATATTTGTGTTCGTTTTTCACCCACCAAATTTGTACTTTTTTGTTTATTGTATTTTTGTTTTATTTGAAATTTGTCTCTGTGAAAAGGTGAAAACAAAATTATATTTTTGTTTTTTTTTTAATGTGGTTCCGTCAGTCATGCTTTAGAGCTTTTTTCAGCTGTCAAACTATTTTGATGTGAGAAAACAATTAACAGTGCAAGAAAGAAAGAAAGAGAAACAAGTGGATTATGAGGCTAAAAGAGGAGAACAAGGTATAGATAGCGGGAGAAAATATTTTTGCAATACCCTCAGTTTTTTTTTGTAAAAAAGAAGAAGAGCAAGTGCGTAGTGTAGCGAGAGAGGGAGAAAGATAAGTAATAGAAGAGGAGAACAAGTAATCACATTCATTTCCTTCCAACTCTCCATCGAAAAGGTGCAAAGGAGTAACACAAGATAAAAATAAAAAATGATGACGTAAGATTAAAAATAAACTAAAGTGGATGAAATTTTGCTTTTAAATACATAGTTATCAATAAATGTTCAATGTTTTATCAGCCTGTATTAATAAAAATGAAATAGAGAAGAAAAATAGTGGGCAAGAATCTATTAATGAAGAAGAGAATGTGTTTTGAAGAGATTCAAAACTGAGAGAGAAAAACAAAAACACCGAGAAGAATTATTCGTAATTGAAATATAAAAGTCAATGGTACAGAAAAATATAAATTATCCCAGTTTTTGTAGGATGTGACACAGAGAAAATATTGGAAAAAATATCATTTGAATGAAATCAATGGTGAAACATAGAAATAGATGGAAAAAATCAATATAAATATAGATAGACATTTGTTCATTGTAGATTTCATTGTAAATAAAATGGGAGGTTTTCTGCAGAAGAGAAAAAGAAATAGCGATGAGGAGAAATATGAAAAAGAAATTTAGAAAAAAAAGTACTCAGCTAAGATCACATCGAATCTGAAGTTTCTGCTGTTAGAAATGTGTGAATTCACCATCGAAATGGTCTTTCGAAATTGCAGCAGCCAATCGAGAGACCTCTTCAGATAAATTCTTGCATTTGCGATATGGTTTTTGTCACCAATTTTTTTTTCTACCTGCAATGCATAACAATAATTAATTTCAGCAAAATGATTGGTTATTGGACAAGAATATGGAAAGAATGAACGTCGGACATTTAAGAAATAGGCATGAATAAATAAAATAGTAGGAAGAATGATTTAAAAATTTGTGTGATTGTTGAAATGGAGGAGAATAATGAAACAAGAAATATTACGAATGTAATCTTAAGAAAACAAAAAAAAATACTTTTCATAAATAAATAGGAAGATGAAAGAAGGAATATAAAACCACAAACATTTGTAATAGTAGAAAGAAATAATTACTAAAACAAAAGAGAGAAGAGAAACAAGAATTAAATGATGATAGTTTTACAGAACACAATTAAAAGAGAAAGGAGAAAATAAGATGAAAAAATATTGAGAGAATAAGAGGAAAAAATAATTTTAATTACCTTGAGAGTACAAATCAACTGAAAATGAGTTATTTGATCTCGCACTTTTTTTTACATATATACTAATTCATTGTAGTGAGAAAAGGTAAATGAAGATGAAATAACTAAATAGAAAAAGGAAAAGGAAAATAAAAGAGAAGAAGAATAAAGATCAATAGGAACCATTTTGAGAAATAAATTTTTGATAAAGAAGAAAAAATGCGATTCACCAAAAGGATGAAAATACTTTAAAAATTTTTCTAAAATTATTTATTACTACTATATATTGATATTTTACTAAAAAAAAAACATACAGTGTAATAGCAATTTCTCTGAGAAAATCAATTTTTTCGTGAAGGAAAAGGAAATCAAAATTAATGAGTTTATTTAACACCAACACACACAGTTTAGTACACAAAATAATTAATTAATCAAGTTATTAATTACATTTAAAATTGAAGGAGGAATAAAACCTTTTTTACGTCTATGATGATGAAGAAATTGTTATTTGTATTTATAATTATAATAGAGATGATGCAGAACGAATGATAAATGATAAGGATTAATTATATATATGTATGTAATATATACATATATGTAAATGGATATAATTATATATTTATAAGATATTATGTTAAAACTAGTAGTTTAATAAATTCTTAAAAATTCTGAAAACTACCTGTGCCTTTCACTTCGTTTCATTCAAACCCCCCATTGTTGGTATCTGCCGTGGCGCGGCGCTTGAGTCGTGAAGGTGAAATTTGATTGAACTGTCAGTGTCAGAAGCACATGGCGATATTGTTTGCGTTGTGAGAAAATGAGCTTAAGTTTATTGTGATTTTTATCGAGAAATTTGTGTGAAAATGAAGAATAAACCACAGAAACACAAAGCGACAAACTCTTTCAAGGTTTTTATAGTGAAATTTCTACAATTTTGTTCGTTTGCTTAGAATTTACGCGGTCTCTTCTGCAGCATAAATCCTTCGGTGACCGGGTGGCTGAAATTGATGTCCGGAAAGCTATTCTGTACCATATTGACTACAGATATGATGAGGATTTAGATGAGAATGAGTCCTACTTTGCGGTTGCCGTTACCAAGTGGCGTGCCCTCAATCTCACTGATGAATATGAGGTGTTCCACAAGGGTGTCCGGGAGATTGTCACTCTTCCGCAGTTACTGCACAAGAAGGAGTTTGTCATCCGGCATTTGCTGGACTGTTTAGCCAAAGCTACTCACCTGTCTCTTCAACCTCTTCTAGAGTAAGTAATTGAATGCCTATGCAAGGAATTACTGGTGAATCTAATTGATTTTCTTTGCAGATTTGTGGCGATCTTGGCTAAAGAACTTCAAAATGACTTCTGTGAGGTTTTGCCAGAGTTTCTCTCTCAGCTACAGAAGCTTCTGCACAGCACTGATCCGGATGTGGTGGAATGGACGCTGGTCTGTTTGGCATATCTCTTCAAGCACCTCAAAAGGTATCTGAAGAAGGATATTGAGATTGTGCTGAATCTAATACTGCCGATTCTGGGAGAAGACACCGCGATCAAGCGACAGAGCACGAAGGAACACATTCAGAATTTTGCTATCGAGTGCTTTGCATACGTTGCTAGAGATATTCGGGACCGGGAGAAATGCATCAATGCTGTGGTCCAGTTTGTAAGACTTCACGAGGGAATAGAGGTGAGTTGCGGACGTTTATTGTTTCAAATGATCAGAGGAGTTGGAGGAGGACTTCACAGCTGTACCGAGGAATTCCTTACAGTCCTCTTGGATGCATTGTTCAATAGAAAGGAGGATCAGGAGATTATCTATGCGCTTCTGAGTGAAATGATCAATTGTTTCGACAAGAACATCACTGTAGACAGCACAGATGTCCTTTGGCGAACATTTATGAAGCAACTTCACAGAACCGCGGACCTACAAGGATCGTCAAAGAGTATAAGACTGTGCGTCGACCTTGTTACTAGTCTCACAAGAAAGCATAGCGATGTTTTCGTGAGGAATCCCCAAGAGCTGTACAAAATAGTGATGAATCTGATGGATAAGGATCACGAAGAGTTAATGTCAATGTCTGTGGCTGAATTTGCAGTGGTTCTCTTAACAGAATCAAATATCAAGTTACCTCTGCATGATGCCACTAACATAGCTAAAGATGCTCTCAGTACTGAATGGCTTGACGTCTACAAATATTTCGTGACTGCAATGTTAAATTCGTCTCAATTTGACTTCATAGTCTTTCCTGAAGTCATGAACACAATTCTGAAATTTTCGATGGATAAGAATAACTTTGTTGGCTTGGAAATCTTGGCACAAGTGGTACAAACCAAATTTCCTCTCTCAAAAGATGGATTGAAGTTGCATGAGTGGAAACCCTACACTTGTCGTCTGATTACATCTGAAAACGATCGGTCTCAACCTGAACAAATCAAAGACTTCATTATGGATACTTTTCCCTCCGAAAGTTTCTTCTTGGCTTTGATTTTCTGGCCACATTTCGTAAATGATGATGGAAAGTGCATAGAGAAGAAGCTTGTTGAGCATTTGAGAGGCATGGAGACAGATTTGATTAACAAAGAGACATTCAAGAAGTATTCTTTGATCATCAGAGTGCTGATTCATCTCAACAGTCACGAAATTGACCCACTTGACATCACTGGGAAAGTGATATCCTTCATTTTAAGCACACCTTGCGAAAACTACGAGGATAAATTGGATGCTTTGAGGCTTATTGATCTCTGTGTGACATCCGTGAAGTTGAGAGAAGGCTCAAAATTAACATTTAGCCTCTTCGAGAGACTTCACAAGCAACTTTCATCACTACTGTCCTCTCCAAGCCACCAGATTCGTCTCCTCGTGTCACACACTCTCGCTCAATTCAACAATTTGAAAGAATTCTCCGGCTCCAGTGAAGCTTTTCTCTTCGATGTGATTTTCTCCATCGAAAACACGTCATCTTCAATTCACACTTACCGCGGTCAACTGCTGTCGCTGCAGAAACTCTCTCACGGGACGCTGTACTTCAAGGAGGCCATTCAGCGCCATGAGATCCTCCAATGGGATGGCTTGAAGTACCTTTTGGGAGTTCTCTACATCAATTTCAAGCTCCTGTGGGAACCTGTAGTTGAATATATCACAACTTACGCCCTCAATTGTGATCGAAAGATCTTCTGGAGTGTCTATAAGGAGCAGCTGGACAGCATTGAAGGGAATCTGAGGCAGAGTATAAGCGAAAGCAAGGATTTTGTGGAGGAACTGATACCAATAGAGAAATCAGACGATTTTGGAAAGCTGGCAAATATTGTGAAGCCCGATTTCATCAACTATCGAATACTTCTCTGGAGGGCTCTTCCACTGTTTGGTGGTCTTGTGCAGGAGAAGAATCGAGATCTTGTGAATCACTTTTTGGAATTTTACGAGAAAGTCTACAAGATTTATGTTCTGGAGCACTCAAATAAGAAGATTGACATCAGAGTTCAGGAGGATATGATGGAAAGTGAAGAACTTCCAAGTGAAGAAGATGAAGGTGAGCAGGAAAATCCTGCAGCAGGGGAAGAGGAAGGTGACGATGAGAGATTGGATCCTCAGATAACGAAAGCTATTCACAAAGAGCTTATAACTTATCTGCAAGTTTTCTCAAAAGTGTCTAATCCAAAATCTCTCTTTAGAGAAAGTGAAATGCACGCAACTTACTTACAACTGCTGTCCAGTCGAAATGCTGATGTTCAGAGAATAGCTCTTGACTGTTTGTTCACGTACAAACCGAAGAATTTGGCAAGTTACAAGGAAATTTTGCAGAATTTCATCGATGAAAAGAAGTTCAGAGATGCATTGGGAAGCTTTGTTATTAATCAGGAACAGAAGGAGCAAGAAATGTCAATGGTAGCAGAGCATCGACCTCAAGTGATGGAATATCTGTTGAGAATCCTGCACGGGAAGATGTTCACGAGGCAGCAGCAAAAGGGAGCGCCTCAGGCACGGAAAATACTGATTATCCGATACCTGAGTGGTTGCACGACTGAGGAACTGAATAAGTTCCTGGATATGATTTTCGGTGAAAAAGTTTCCTCAACTATTGTGGAACTGAGCAGTGTAATGCATCCAAGACATCTTCAGGGCTCTCTGGCTGTACTCGATGTTATGATCAAAGAGTTTGGTGGAGTTAGAAAAGATGAGATCCTGAAGAGACTCTTGAAACTGCTCATGGATTTCTCAGCAATCGTCCAAGGAATTCTCTCTGCGGCTAATGGAAATGTCATTCGCTATCTGAATCTTCTGAAGAGTCTTAGAACTGAAGCTGCGAATATGTTGAGACAGTTCTTCAATCTCTTTGATGCCTATTCCTGGACGGAGGAGGAAATTGAATCAGTATTTGATATCTTTATTTGGCCACAATTACCTAAATTGACTACAGAATGTATTCACTCTCCGACGCCAATCTTGAGACTCTTCTTAACTTGGAGCACACATCCCAGGTATTTCACATTGCTGTCTAAGTCATCGGATGGAATTTGTCTGGACAATCCATTGAGGAATGTTTTCGATTTACTGGAAAAACCTAAGGTGAATCCCAAAGTGACGGATGCTATTTTGGAGATCATTTCTAATCTCCTGAGCCTCGATGGAGACGTTCTAATGCAACAGGAAGATATTCAAGTGTCTGAAATCATCGTTCGGCACTCTAAGATTCCGGAAGTTGCGGGACAAGAGAATATCTCTGTAGGACGAAGAATGATTCTGCCTCATATAGACGTTATCATCAGGCGTCTGCAAGTGAAAATGAGTGGACCGAGGAAAGGTAAAAGCCTGGGAAAGCGAGATTTGTCTATATTGAGCAAAATCACAGATCTCGTCACAGACAGAGAAAAGTGTGATATTTTGGTGGGACTTTTGCTTCCGATTCTGACGAAAAAGGCCAGCAAAATGATTCATGAATCCGCAATGACACAAATGATTGCCTCGCTGACGAACTTAGTGGATAAGACTGAGACTCCTGGACGCCATATTCGTACTTTGCTGCCACTCTTTGAGGAGATCTCATCTCAGGCCTGTCGAAAGCTCCTCTGCGATCTGATTGTGAAGATTTCCCAGCGATCTGGAGAGCAGAAGATTGCTGAACTAGTTGTGGAGTTCAATGCACTGAACAAGCGATGGATTGATCAACCTGACTATGACAGAAGACTTTTGGCGTTTCGGGTGATTGATGATCTCGTGGAGAAGGACAATATGGATGTGAATGTGGGACTTTTGGCGATTTTTCATTCATTCTTCTATCTCAAGCACGAAAAGGACTTGGCTATGAAGAGTTCCGCCAGTCACTGCTTGAAGAGCGTGAGTTTGGTGTTGGCCAAGAGATTTTCTGCTGATCTTCAGGAGAGAAAGTACATTTTTGATGTAGTTCTCTTACCTCTCATCAAGAGCTCTTTAGCTGGGAGTAATGAAAATCTGCGGACTGAATGTGTGAAAATCTTGGGAGACCTTTCGAGAGAACATCCGGAAGTTCACTACGTTTTTGGAGACTTGAATCCCTTGACAGATAAGCACGACAAGGAAGTCGATTTCTTTGAGAACATCGTACATCTTCAGTCTCATCGACAGGGAAAAGCTCTGGCGAGGTTCATCAAGCGCGCTGCTGAGATGAAAGATCCCAATCCAAAGACACTCTTAGATTTCCTTCTGCCCTTGGTTAGCGTTTATCTGGGCAGTGAGAAGCACACCGCTAAGAATGCTCTGGTGGATTCTGCAGCTGAAGCTGTGTCTGTGATCTGCAGTAAACTTCCATTCCTTCCATATCAGACAATCTTGAGACTGTACATCCGGAAGTTGAGAACCAACTTGGAGTTCCAGAAGCAAATGGTGAAGGTGGTGATTGCCATCATCGATGCCTTTCATTTTGACTTTTCTGCTGATATGAAGACACCAGGAACTGTTGAGGAAGATGAAGACTCTGATGACGAGGAGGATAAGGATCTGGAGGAGGTGAAGAAAGACAACAGGGAAATTCTGAGGAAGAAGAGCAACACGAGTCCAGAGTATAATCTTATGGTGGGCCTGATTACTAGTCTAATTGGGGCGATTTCGGAGCTCAGCACTAAAGAAGCCACTCACAAGTTGACAAAGGCACAAAATGCTGCCCAGAAAGAGGAGGAGGACATCCTCAGAGTGCCAATCGCCGTGGCCACTGTTCAGTTGCTACACAAAGTCTCCAAGGAATTGCTGGATATTCATTTGCCGAAGATCTTCATGAAATTGTGCACATTCCTGAAATCTCGCCTAAAGTCTGTAAGAATCGTGACAAGAGATATGCTGAGAAGAATTATGCTAATTCTGGGACCGGGATATCTGTCGACATTGCTGGATTTGCTCACGAGTCTCTTTACCAGAGGATATCAAGTGCACGTTCTTGTTGTGACGCTGCATAATATTCTGAATGCACTCAAAGGGAACTTTAGAGCAGGTGATATCGATGCGAATCTGCAAGGATTACTGAAAGTGTGCCTGGAAAATATCTTCGGGGAGTCTGCTGAGGAGAGAGAAGTGGAGAAGATTGCTTCCAAGACTCCAGAAGCGAAATTTAGCAACAAAAGCTTACTAATCCTCCACATTTTGTCCGTGAATATAAGTGAGAAGTGTCTTCTGGATTTGCTGATGCCCTTCAAGGATCATCTCTCTCGCAGCCAATCGAAGAAGGTGGTGAACAAAGTGCAGGATTGCCTGTCGAAGATTGTCATTGGATTGGGAGAGAACAAGAGGATCCCCACAGATTCTCTGCTCATGTTCACTTTTGGAATCGTGACGGAGAGCATTGACACGTTGAAGATGAAGGTAGCGAAGAAGCAATTAACGGAGACTGATCGTGAGCTGTTGAAGAGGAAAGCTGCAGACATTTACCTCATTGCAGATGAGAAGAGTGTTTCCCGAAGGAAAGTGGTGAAGACGAATATCCAGACAAATACGTACGTGTTGACTGAATTCGGCCTGAATCTTCTGCACACAATCCTGAAAAGTGGGAGAGCGGATGATAGTCACTTTGAGGGTTTTCTCAATCCTCTGGTGAAGATCTTCAAGGAAACTCTGGGTGGAGTTCATGTGAGACTCTCAACACTTACTCTCAAGTGTTTGACTGTTGTGTGGACCCGCCAATTAATGCTGGCAGTGATGAAAGGGCAGACAATTGATGAATTCATAAGCACAATTATGGAGATTTTGAAGAGATACTCCAGCTCAGAATTGACTAACAATGATGAGAATTTCCATCTCGTGAAGAACGCCTTTAAAGCTATCATGGCTCTGCTGCGCTTCGTGGAGGGATTTACAGTCAGTGAGGATCAACTACGGGAGATTCTTCTACACGTTGATCGCGATCTGCACTCTCGCCAGGCCATTGCTTTCCCTCTGCTGAGGGCGATTGTGGCTAAGAAGCTTTATGTGACAGAGATCGATAAGATCATAGGATTTGTCGCGGATCTTTGCATCACTTCTGAGAGCGACAGTGTCAGGTATGATTTTCCAAATGCATTTGATTTCTCAGTCAATCCTAATTTTAGATTTTTCGTTCCAGAGAGGAAGCCAGACAGATATTTGTGACTTATTTGCTTGATTATCCGATGGATGTGAAGAAATTCAAGCAACATTTAATGTTCATCCTCTCTCAATTGGCATACACAGAGTCCACGGGACGATCGTCTGCAGTGAAACTGATTCAGAACCTCATGAAGAAACTGACGAAGGTTTGAATGGAAAGTTTTGTGGCTGCAATTCAGAGCTTAATTATTATGCTGTTTTCTTTTCAGAATACTCTGAAGAGTAATTGTGGCGTTATATTTCTGTCGTTGGGAGCTAGATTCGTCGAAGATGAACTACCTGAAATCCGCGAAGAAATTGCCAAGTGCTTGGAGAGCATCTTGCGTCGTCTCGACGATGAGGCACGCCGAGAATTGTGGGAAATTGTCTTGTCTCTCTTCAAAGACAAGAAGAATGCTCATATGGAAATGGGAGCGATTCTCGTTGTGAGATTCATGCTGGCAGAAGGCGATGCATTTCGGAAACGTTTGGATAATCTTCTTCCCATAATGATAGACAGACTGTCTGGCCAAGAGGGTGACAATCTTCCGGGAAAGTTCGTGAGGGCGAATGTGGAGGATGTTGAGCTGGAAAGTGATGAATCAATAGCGAAGGCTCATGACCATAAATTGATACAGATCCTTATAGCGTTGGGGCGGATTTTTGAGAAGTTTCCAGAAATTCTGAGAGAGGAGAAATTTAACTCAGTAATTGATGGTTTGGCATTCAAATGTCAAGGATTTCTGGGTTATGAACATTCCTGGGTGCGATTGTTCTCAGCCAGAATTCTAACTGCTATTCTCAATGAAATGGACATGGATTTGTTGGCCAAGAGGTTTGATGATCCGGATGAGGACACTGAACTGCCCAGAGAGTTTCTCTACAGAAATCCTGCGAATCAAATTCGATCCCTGATGCTGGATCTCTGTGCTCAATTGCAGCCTGAGCATATTCAGGAGAACATGGCTCAGGAGATTATGAAGATCGCTTTGAATTTGGCCAAAATCATTCGACCAGTTCCCATTGTGAAGAAGGAAAAAGACGCTGATGATGACGAGTTGAAGCCTGACAAGCGAATTAATTTACTATGGATGGTTAGACGACTTCGATATGCTGCCAATGGGGAAGTCACTCAAACTCCTCATTCAACTGTTCTTGTAAGATTTCACAGGAATTTCAATGATTTAGAATATAGCAATAATTTTTGACGACTTTTCATTCTAGCGTACAAACATCTTCAATTGGATTCAAGGAGTTGTTCACATTGTGGACTACTCAACTCTGAGGCTTCTTACCAGGAGTCTTCTGACACCACTTATCCGGGAAATGTCTACTGAGATGAATAATCATGATCCCACACTTGGACAGTTGGCGGGAAAAATCGCGGAGAAGATCAAGAAGAAGTTGAACTGCGCGGATGAGTTCACGAGTTTAGTGAGTGAAATACAACTGAAGCAAATGCAGAAGCGTGCTGAAAGAAAGAAAGTTATAGCGCTGGATAAGGTGGTAAATCCAGCGAAGGCGGCCAAGAGAAAGTCCAGTCAGAAGGAGAGGAAGAAGGTGGCCAAGAAGCGGAAAATGGACGTAATCAAGGGAAAAGTGGCGCCGAAAAAGCGATCATTGCCGACAGACGGCACAAAGCCTACAAAGAAGCGGAAGAAGGTGAAATAAAAACGATATGTTACTGTTTTTGGTGAAATATAAAAATGGTAATTGAAATAGTAATTAAAGGATTTTGAAGAAAATTTGAGTCTGTAACGCAAACTTTTAAGTATCAAAGGGTTTTAATTGCTCTAGTCCTTGCAAGTCGCCACGGAATATTTTCAGGGGAATATTTAATGCAAAAATCTTGTTGCACGACTTCATGGAGAGAAGTCATGGTTTTTATGAGAAGATTTCAGCACACGATTGAGCCAATTCCTGACTTCTTAATGGTCGTCACATGCGAGGCGAGTTTAACTGTTCACATAAGGAATTCTCATTAATGGCAACACACTTGTTGGAGTTGTATTGTTTGCTCAACAGTGAACTAAATATTTAATCTTTGTGGTTTTTGCAATCACAATGGGGAATTTTATGTTTACTTAAGTGGGTTATAGGAATGCGATGTGATTGACTTTGAAATGGAACACTCTCTGTGCGTCTGGAGATTTTGTGTTGGAAAATGTGGCGGTTTCACGACAAAATTCCTTTCTACTTGTCCACATGGAAGCCTCGGTCCCTTACCAATGCTTTCAGCACCCAAGGGAGTGAGTTAGAGTGGGAGGAAAGGGTGGTTCTGTGGGGGAGAAAGTGGGCGCCAACAATCAATTCACAATCACTGCCAATTAATCAGACAAAGTGGAAAGCAATATGTGAGTCAATTGAGTGGCTTTTCCTAACCCACAATCCCTCACATGGCGCGTCTGGGTGGCTGAGTGGGTGGTGGAAAAGGTGAAAATACGCTGTGGAAGCACGCAACGGAGATTTTCAATGCTAAACGCATTTTCTGTGGGTGGAAGAAATCACTCCCGTGAAGTGAGAGTGGGTCGGAATTGGCGCCATGTGAATTTGTGAAAAGTTCCTCGAGCTCCCCTCATTTTTGGGGCGGTGAATATCAATGCTTTTTCGGCAGTTGGGGGGCTGTCAATGGGTTCGGAGGATTAACAAGACTGCCGCTGCTGACAGGGTTGACATCCTCGCAAGACCTTCTTGAGACTTGGTCGGTCTGTGGGTGGCCAATTTTCACCCTATCTGCACAGTGTGTCTGGTCGGAGGCACGCAAGTTTGCCGCAGAATTCCAAGAAAATCCCCAACGAGAGGGAAAACTTTGAAGAATGAGAGAGAGAGAGAGATTCCGGGAAGTTGCCTGAAAAGTTCGTCTTGTTTGGGTCAAGTCTTGTGACTCTATCAAAGTCAGGCTCATGTCGCTCATTTCGCTCCACATAAATACGATTTGATAGTGTTAAATTGAAAATCGATTTGTATTGTTTAGATTGAGTGCGCCATTGAGGGTGGGAAGTTGAAGAAATCCATGAGATTTAATCACACTATTGAAAAAGTTTTCCCTTTCTTCCACGGTATTTGCTTTTCACAATCTCCCAGCGACAGTTTGTGTATTTTCTTGCGCTGTGAAAGCATCACAATGTCGAGTGAGACAAGTCACTGTGAGGGCGAATGATAACGATATTCCGTAATAAAAGTTGAGTGAAAAGTCCGCTCTGAAGTGGATTTCTATATTCTGAAAATTGCTCTTGCAAAATTTTCCTGTGGAGAAACTTCTAATGAACTCCCATTTTGATGAGGTCTAAAATGATAATATTTGTTTTCTGATTTCTGCATGTTGCTTTCCAAAAGTTGTGTGAAGAGACATAAAAACATAATTTATGTCGAAGCATTTATGATGTGAATTGAAACTATTGAATAGTTTCTCTTTCTTTTTATTTTCAAAATGATTCATAAAAGACGCGTTGAATTCTATTTAAGGACGTGTCACAAGCATTTTCAGCACTTTCGTGCAGAAATCGCAAAAGCTATTCAATTTTAACATTTCAGGTGTGACACAAAAACTTCCTTGTGAATGTTTAAACCTCTTTCTCTCAGCTGCACATCAGCAAATACTGCGACTCTGATTTGACTGAAATTAGAGCAGAAGCGCAGATAAAATATTCCATTAAGAAATAGACGATTCAAATAATCTGAGATGCCGAATCGACTCCGCTTCGTTTGACTCTCGATTCTTTTCACTATATCGCTCAAGAGACCCCATTTCGAAATTCAATCAATTCATAGTTTCATCGACTAATTTATTCCTCCGTGTCGGATTTTCATTTATCTCACCGCCGTTTATACATTTCACTTCCCTCGATATAATTACACTTCTTCTTGCTCGCTCAATTTAATCATCAGACATTCATCCATTCTCACCGCGTTTTTTTCTTTCTTTCTTTCTTGGAAAAGCTCTGGAAAAAACGCTGTATGGGGAGAAATGTGGAAAAATGGTTGTATTTAAATTCATAATTTTTATGCAAATTTTCACACCATCCAAGCGGCGGGGCGCCCATAAACATCCTCGCAAAGAGGGGGCCTTTCGGGGTAACACCTTTTTGAGGTTTCAGGAAATAAATTTGAGAATAAATACTGCAAATTTGCGTCTTATCCTTAGCTGTGCATCGGAATTTGAAGCGGAATTTCCATTTGAGATCTAATGATAGCGAGAAGAGGTTGATAGCATCATAAATTCTATTCTTTTGCTGGCAAGCAAAACGAAAAAAATGCAAGTTTTGTATGCTATTCATTTATTTTAATTAATAAAAAGCGTTAGATGCTTAATGACCAACTTTTAATTTAGGATTCACTCATTTCTTTTTAAACATTCCATGAGGATGATTAACCACTCAGTCAGATTTTCACGTGTTGCAAAATTTCACTCTCAACGAGAATGATGGCTTTTTTGTTCGCCTCGCGTGAAAAGTGAAATGCTCCACAATGCGAATGTGGGTGGAAATCTCATGACTGCGAAGCGGCAAATGAGCAGACAGGGGGAAAATGCCCTGAAATAATTCATTTTCACCACCATAATTGCATATTTGTGTGCGTACGGCCCTGATTTATACATTCTGCAGTGATTCACAATACGTATTAAGTGCTGTTCTAAATCACAGGATGATAGAGGATGTCTGATGGATTAAATTTTCGGAATCTCTGCTGGATTTTCCTCACTAATGGAATTTATTCTTGTGAATATTCTACATTCATTATCGCGCTTTTTTGCCTGCCTTCTCTTCCTTCATTGCGGAGGTGATTTCCCTACGAAGAATGGTCGAAACCTCTAATTGAGACTTCAATCGGAATGATTTTTCGTGAGCCCAATGGACGATTGAGTGACGTGGCTCAGCGTGAGGGTTGGCTGTTACTGAGAAGTGGAGATTTTCGTGGCGAGACTTGTGTGTATGTTTCCCCAGTGATTTTTCTGCGCATCTTCGGCAACCCCACCAGGAAAATCCCCACCACACTACCACCTCTCTCTCTCAACACCACAGGAAGTCAACGAGAGCGGAGTTGCAAAGTTGAATCCCACACGGCTCACTTTCTAATGCATTTCTAATGGCGCTCCTTTGATTTTAGGGTACATGCAGAAGTCGACTCATCTCGGTAATTATTAACCATCACCCATAAGCCACGAATATCGAAGAGAAAAGTGATGCCGAACAGGGACTCTCATGTGAAATATTACTATGGCAAAAAGCACGACAAAGCTCTTAATTCCTCCGCTTTCTCCCCATGCACAGATTTCCTCTCGCACACTTTGAGGGGCGATTTCCACATGGTTCAATGATTCCTAATCTCACGATGCACTCCAGGTACAACTCTGTCACGGCTAATTGGCTTCACTGCCTCTCACTTCGCCTAATTTGCCCGTTTCGCCTCATGATCTGACCAACTTTGCTGAGGGTGGAAATTCCATGAAATTCTTCTACTCTTCCAGACAACGTCTAATTAGCAACTCAATTTTAAGTGTCCCCAGACTCTCTGAACACGAGACAGAAGTTAATTTTACCTGAGATGAGAGTCTTGTCGGGTTGTTTCCTGAAGCGCCAAATGCAAATTTATAGTTATCTGTTTGCGTAATTAATCCAGATGAACCCGAGTCAATGAAATCGTTTTGGATTGTCGTCTGAGAACGTTTCTCAGAAATTACGACTGACACACTCGAGAACGATTGTGACATATGTATTTGTTTAAAATTTGCTTGTTTCATATATTTTTTCACTGTTTCCTGAAGTGCTTCCTTTGTTCTATAATAAAACCTGTAGAGAAATTTCTTTGCGAAAAGTTACGCTAACGAGATGTAATTAGGAGGAAATGCTGAAAAAGATCAGTGTAACTTCCTTCAAAGCTTTTGTACAAATACAAGGGCAAAGAAGTGTCGCAGAAGGCAAAGAATTGCGCACTACGAAATAAAGGAATTTATAGTGAGAATGAAGAAAAATTGTTGATCAATGTCATATAAATTGTTTGAAACTGCATGTTTGTAAATTGAGAGAGCATAACTTTGGTAATTTCTTCGGCAAATATTGTAATGTTCAGTCTGCGAGTGCAGATGGGTTCAAGGGGTGGGAAATTACCACACAGAGTGGAGGCTGAAGTGCAGAAGAGCAGAGAACAAAGGGTAAAATTCTCAACTGCTACGAGAGAATATGGCAGATCTTATTTGTTCGTCTTTTGCATTCCTTACTTAATGAAGTGAAATTTTTAGTGAATTTAAAGTGAGTTTAATTGAGAGCGCTCAAAGTTATTTTTCTAATGAAGTTTCTCTTGAAGTTCGGCGCGATTGAATGTTATCATGAAAAGTTTCGAATGAAAAGAAAACAACTATGGAACTAAATAATATATTCTTTTATTGCGAAGAACTAAAGAAATTGCACATTGTTTACAAAGAGCGAAGATAATTGTGAAAATAGAGAAATTATAAATGATTATTCACTATTCACACATTTCTGAAATGATAAATTCTTGGATATTTTATAAATTGTTCTTTTTGATGTCCTTTTGCACTTTGAGTTGAATAATTAAGTTCTCACTTTGATTTTTCTCTCCTTGAGGCATTACTTGTGCTTTTTTCCCCCCTTCTTCATCGCAAAGCAAACAACAAAAGGAGGAAACACAAATTCACACGTTTGAGAACGGAGAAGAGGGTGGAAAACTTGTCAGTTGCTGTGTCACATGGCATTGTGTGCAAAGTTTGATCTCACTCACAGTTGAG